CATTAATTAAAACGTTGTAGTCGTTATCAGATAATTGGTTGTAAATGTCTATTATATATCACGTAAACATTGATACGCTTGCATCAATACCTATTCCATAGCTTGTTGTGAGGATTTTCCGCGAGGATGTTAAAGGCACAGCTTGTGAGACGTCTTGTTATAACCTTTATGAGTTCATAATCTTATAAATAAAATGACACTTCGTGGTATCAGTAGCTATAGCAACTGCCTAAAAATAGTTACACGTTCACGAAACAAACATTCAAATTTGATAAAACTAGGGCAAAACACAATCGAACGACAAATAAAAGAAGATGTTTGAAAAAACAAGAAAACACAAATATGTTCACATAATTATATTTCAATCTTAGACCCAATAAAACCAGAGTAAAAAATGAACGAAAGAAAGCTTTACAAGGACACCCTTGTAAAACTACGAGGAGATTAAGACCAGATGTTCCGAAAGAGTAAACGTCTTCTGCTTCATTTACGAATCATTGGTCAATCAAAGTAATTAATGTCAGGTTCTTTAATGAGGAGAAAGTATACAACAGCGGATGGTACGTTAGACATAAATTTTCTCAAATTTTACAAAATATTACGAGTTTTAGCGACTGTTTTTGTAACTTTTGAAGCTAAAGAGAGTAAAGGAAACGCCATATATAAAAACGATGATAACATACTACACAAGTTTCGTTCTCGTCAGACAAAGTTAAGGTTTTTGTCAGATTTGTCTTTAGAGTGCACTGAAATCCATTTTTACAGATTTCCTGATCTTCACCTGTGTTATGGTGGGACGCTTCCATTCGGTTCATTAGAGTTCCGTTGATGAGATCTCATCATTCCTGCTTACTGTCTCCTTCTGTCACGCCAATATATAGAATTGATGAAACATGTTTTGTTCACTTGTTATGAAGGTCAGTTACCGTTTCATGAAACCAGAATTCAATTATGACAAGGAAAACACTATTTTTAAATCATTACTTGATTCCTTAACAAATAAGCTGTCTTTTCTGAAGTTTTTATCTGACGCCTTCAGATCAAACCACGACTAAAGTTACGTCCGTATTTCACACATGCGTAGTCGCCTGGAGCCCAAGTCTCGTCTTCTTGACAGGTGAGGTTCGAAGGATCTCTGGATGGTTTAGATGTGTACCCGAACTGAAACTAGCACCTGAACCTTTTACCTGACATTAAATTGGCGCCACTGTTGTTCCCTAGTCCACCAATGAGAAGCTTGGTAAAGAGGTAACAAATTCCTCCTTTCGAATCTTCATAAACGAATGATGCACATCCACATTCGAGCTCCGTGCAGGCAGATGCACACCTCATTTTAGTTCTAATGCCAGTCTTCAGTCCAGCTATCAGATCTATATCTGCATTCACAGAGACATTTTCGATCTTTCGAAAGTTCCTTAGAACTTTGTCTTGCATTGTTTCATCTGAAAGAAGTGTAATACCTAAAGTAGAATAATACAAACACCAATGTATCAAAGAAAAAAAGAAAAACAAAGATTAACGACGTGTAATTATCAATCTAATAGATAAAGACAATCATCCATGGTATTAAGATAAAGATTATAGCAAGAAGACATTTATTTCACCCTTCATCACACCTTGTATTATTGTCCCTGTATAACCCTTCATAACACCTTGTATTATTGTCCCTGTATAACCCTTCATAACACCTTGTATTATTGTCCCTGTATAACCCTTCATAACACCTTGTATTATTGTCCCGGTATAACCCTTCATACCGGACAGGGAGGCGAAGACAAGCAGTTCAGGAGGATGTTATCGGCTTCATTGCTGACATATGCCAATTAAATCTGAGTAACCTCACACTCTCAAAATAAGGATGAAACAATCAAGGGTGATATATTTACGGTCAGTTATTAATGTCTAGATCATGGGACAGAAGTGTCAAAACAGTGCATACATACAACGATATCAGAAACTGAACAGACTGACGAAAAACAGACAGTCCTGAACGTACAGATTCCTTGTGCATTGTCTTATTATTTAGTACCAGCGGACACTTCAAACTTGTTAACAGAGAACAAAAGCATCAATGGCGAGTCCTGAAGAGACAAAGCAGTCGGCCTTATTACATCTAATTTGTACATTAAAATAACAGATTGCAAATGGGAGACACTATATTTGGACTTTTAGCCCCCTAGGTGTTTTGTTAGCTGAATGCCACGTTTTCATTCATTTGAGAAGTGACACACGTTTCAGAATATACTTGACGTTTTTATGTAATCATTGAAAATAACGAAATTTACAGAATTTTGGGGTAAGTGTACCTCCTCTTCTGCATGACATTTCCACCGATATTGGCGTAGATGAACACCTCCTCGGTTTCAACTCTTAACGTCCTAAGCACTAATGAAGAATCCTAGAAGGACGAAACAGCTGTATGATATAGTGTCAATAAACGTCCTAGAAGGACGAAACAGCTGTATGATGTCTCATCACTGAATCGTCCTAAAAGGACGAAACAGCTGTATGATGTATCATCACTGAAGCGTCTTAGAAGGACGAAACAGCTGTATGATGTAGCATCACTGACGAGTCCTAGAAGGACGAAACAGCTGTATGATGTATCATCACTGAAGCGTCCTAGAAGGACGAAACAGCTGTATGATATAGTGTTAATAAATGTCCTAGAAGGACGAAACAGCTGTATGATGTAGCATCTCTGACGAGTCCTAGAAGGACGAAACAGCTGTATGATGTATCATCACTGACGAGTCCTAGAAGGACGAAACAGCTGTTTGATGTATCATCACTGAAGCGTCCTAGAAAGACGAAACAGCTGTATGATGTATCATCACTGACGAGTCCTATAAAGACGAAACAGCTGTATGATGTAGCATCACTAACGCGTCCTAGAAGGACGAAACAGCTGTATGATGTAGCATCACTGACGAGTCCTAGAAGGACGAAACAGCTGTATAATGTATCATCACTGACGAGTCCTAGAAAGACGAAACAGCTGTATGATGTAGCATCACTGACGAGTCCTAGAAGGACGAAACAGCTGTATGATGTAGCATCACTGACGAGTCCTAGAAGGACTAAACAGCTGTATGATGTAGCATCGCTGACGAGTCCTAGAAGGACGAAACAGCTGTATGATGTAGCATCACTGACGAGTCCTAGAAGGACGAAACATCTGTATGATGTAGCATCACTGACTAGTCCTAGAAGGACGAAACAACTGTATGATGTATCATCACTGACGAGTCCTAGAAGGACGAAGCAGCTGTATGATGTAGCATCACTGACGAGTCCTAGAAGGACGAAACAGCTGTATGATGTAGCATCACTGACGAGTCCAAGAAGGATGAAACATCTGTATGATGTAGCATCACTGACGAGTCCTAGAAGGACGAAACATCTGTATGATGTAGCATCACTGACGAGTCCTAGAAGGACGAAACAGCTGTATGATGTATCATCACTGACGAGTCCTAGAAGGACGAAGCAGCTGTATGATGTAGCATCACTGACGAGTCCTAGAAGGACGAAACAGCTGTATGATGTAGCATCACTGACGAGTCCAAGAAGGACGAAACATCTGTATGATGTAGCATCACTGACGAGTCCTAGAAGGACGAAACAGCTGTATGGTATATATCATTATCTGGTTCTATTGTATCTAATCAAAGATGTGTCGATAGTTGCTGTTAACTTTTGAACAATCTTCTAGCGTTTTAGTGTAATTGCACAATTTTCTTCAATAAAGATGTTTCTATTGTTTTTCTGTGTTAATAATGCCCAACAGATGTACAGGGGACGTCATTCCGTCTTTCTTATTTCCAATCACCACAACCAGTTTGAACGATGTTAACAAAGTGTGGTAGGATTCGAGTTGACAGTTTTTTAAATACTGTAAAAAATAAAATAAAACCCGTCAGGTCATGCTAACTATGACAATTGTATTCCTTCCTACGTCTTGACACGGAGTGCCTGTGACAAGCTTGTTTCTATTTATCAAAAATGTCGACTAACGGCGTTACTCTCTAAAAGATGACACTTATGAGAGAGCTATATCGAGATGAGTAGAAAGGATCGCAGATGAAGTTTTCACTAAGTTGAGTATAATTCCCAGTGTCAGTATGAATTGGTCAAAAAGATATTGGACAAACGAGGACCGTTAACATCATAAAGGTACATACCAACTGTTGTTGTCGCCGCTATCCACAATACGAAAAAGAAATATCTCGCCATGGTTGAAATTTTGTCCAAGCCAAGCCAGATTCCTTACTCTGTGGTAGATCTCTTGTCACCCAGACACGCGCCCACCATTACGCTTGATAAGGCGAACAAACCAAGCGTGCAGCCTGTCAGTACACAATGTATACGCTGTATACTAATGGGTTGGTTTTTTCGCCTTTTATAGGTTAGGTTTGTGATTTTAAAAAAATTCCCGTATTGATATCCCTTTCTAAAGCATTTAATATATTTAATATCTTTAGATATGATAAGATGATTTAAAATGTATTGTTCAAACACATTACCCTTCCGAGACGCGAATTTTCGCGATAGTTTTTACACAGTAATCTTTTGGTACAGAGAATTTAGGTTTGTGTGCTAGATTTAGTCTGTCCGTCGGAACATGCTCCAAGACTCTTCAACCAATTTCAACGAAACTTGAAACAAATCATGATCACCCCTCCAGGTTACACATCTCTGGATAATCAATATTATCATTCCTAGGCCGTCCCACCGCCCCCTCCTCTTCTCCCAACAATTTCGCCCCTTTTTTGGAATTATGTCCCTTTGCAGAAAATTCCTAAATGTATTTGACATGTATGTATTTATATGTATGGGTGCGAGTGAATTTCTTCCGTGCTAATCTCCACTAACTAACAACATGAAGACTTGCCAATGACTTTAGGACAGGCCTGGGTATCAGTTTTGACAAGTAACAGCATTAAAAGACCAATAAAACAAACACTGTTCAAGCACGCTTATATAATTTTATCATCATAACATACATCTTCATTTACCAAGTAAGCTGGTCTTTTTACATTAAACTTCATAAAAAACAAAATGTTCTTGAACTGTAACAAATATAAATTGAATAAATAGAAATGAACACAATATCTAAGCTTTGATACCATGATATGTTGTAATGGTAAAATCCATTTCCATCATTGGGGAACACAGGGAACTCTGTAACCATGATGTGTCATCAACTCTTAACAGTTCCTGTCATACCAAGACATCAAGCCTGCTGCCCTTAATGCTTCATATAGTAACATTATCACCAACAGTAGTAGCCATTTCTTTACATTTGGCTGTAACAAGCTTTTGCATGTTTGTTGATTTTCATGTCGGATGAATCTGAATGTCTGAGTAATGATTTCTCTAGATATCTAATAAATTCAATGTCATTTATATTTAACAGTGCCAATACAGTAACGCAGCCACATTTTATCATTCAATCTCCCATCAATATTCTAGTTAACACTTCAGTTTGGACTACAAAACAATACAATAATCAGGTTTTGTTTCAGATATCAGTCTTTAAGTGATTTCTTCCTGCCTCTTCCTCTACCCCTGCCCCGCCCACCTCCCCGTCCACGTTTAGACGGTTTCCTTGTGGGCGCCAAGCACTTGTTACAATACCAGCTGTCTTCTTCAGGTTCTTTGTTGATCCCTATGCATTCCCTACAAACCATGAAATGTACATAAAAATAAAAATGTTCACCAAATTTGCATTTTTTAAAAATTTGATCATGAGTACCATATTATCTTTAATGTTATTTATATATTATTCCAACACTGTATAACTGATATTGTGTATCTATATGACAGAGAATTCATATACCGAACATTCTGTAATCATATATCCCATCATGCTCTGCAATATATACTATTGGATTTGTACTCTGTACCAAAGTATTTCAAGTAAAAGTCTTTTTTTTTTAAGTGTGAAACAAAATCTTGCAAAATCATGTATCTTGTAAATAATAAATTAATGCATAAAACATATTGTGTCATAATTTAGATGAAAAAACCCCAGAGAACTTAAAACAATATTATGCGAACTTTTGAAATAAAAGTATTTCTTACCAATGATACCAATCATCACAAATGTCACAACCAACCATTGGGCTGCCGTCATCCTGTCGTTTACACGCTGGACAAATCCAGATCTTTTCTCCAGACGAGGCATCCTGAAACAAAACAAGAGGAAAGTTAGCTTTAGACTACAAGTTACTCCACAATATTAACGATGCTACCATCTCAACACCTTTAGTATTGTTGTATTAATTTTTTAATTCGTCGCTCTGCATACCTGTAGATATCCATACCAAACGCCAAGCACCCACTGATTTACCAGCACACTTGGAACTGATGTTGGCTCTACCTCTTTAGCTAAATTTTTACTGTAGTGATTAATACTAGGACACATACGTACAAACCAAACAAATCAAGCAATGCTACTTACATACACTATACTCAAGAATATATTAATACCTTGTAAAAATATCAAATACCTGAAAAAAGGGATTTGGAAAAAATGATGTCCAATTTTCTTCTTGAAGACAGGATAAAAAATCAGAGAAAAGTACTAAAGTGATTTAAAGTTTAATGAATGCTTTTTTCAGTGTGAAAGTAAACCAGAGTAAGTACTTACAATAAAGCTTCCAATGGTTTCCGAGGTAACGGTCCTTTGGAGGGAAGTCTTGGCAGTTGCTGAAGGTTGTGTTGCTGTCCCAATGGAGGGTGGTGGCATTGGTGGAATAACAGGTGCTTCTTTGATAACAAGGGGGCCAGGAGAGGGAGAATGAGCAGGTGTAGGCGTAGGGGAAGGTGTTGGGGGCTTTGTAGGGGTGGGTGATGGTGATGGTTGATGAATAGGTGAAGGAGGAAGTGAAGGAATGGGTGAGGGTGTACGAGTGCGTGAAGGTGATGGTGTCTTCACTGGAGACGATGACATTGATTTAGAGGTGAAAGCTGAAGGAGGTGGAGAGCTGACGCGTAGAGGTGAGTATACAGGCATGGGTGATGGTGAATGTTTCGGACTAGAAATAGGAGATGGAGCAGATTTGATTGTAGGCACCTTGGGAGGAGTTGGATTGTTTGGGGGTGGGGGTGTTGGAGTCTGATGACGTGGAGAAGGTTGGGGGGTCAAGATGGGCGGATCTTCCATCATTTCCATTTTGAGGACAGGTGGCCGATCATGAGAACTTCGGACTGGTGACTCTGATCCTGTAAACTTTGGCACAGGGGTGGCAGTTTTGGGTTGAGGTACAGAGGTCGCAGGTTTGGGAGGAGGCACTGGGGAGGACTCCTGTTTAACTGGAACAGGTGAAGGGATTCTCTTTACAGGTGACGGGGTTTTAGCTACTGGGGCTGGAGAAGGGGTCCTGGCTACAGCAGGTGGAGTAAGGGGTAGCTTTTCTGGCAGTTCTTTCTTCACCACAATATGGCCCACATCCTTCTTAGATTTACCCTCCTTTTTACTGGATTTACTGCTACCAGATGAGGTCTTAGGAGAGTCAGATCCCCGCTCCTGACTAGACGGAAGAGGTGGCATCGGTTTGATCACCCTACAGAATGTACACATTGAGTAATCAGTTTTATATAAACTCTACAATATTATCTATGCCTTTATCATGACAATTCACCTCTACAAAACAAAAGCAGTATTCCCCATTGTACTTTATAACTGGAGATACATTTTACTCTTCCATGGAAAATCTTGAATTTTACCATTTTGATGGCTTTTGTACCCTCATTTAGGGGGAAGGGAAACACTGTAAAAGTTTTGGCATAACATAGCATTCTTATATTTTATTTAGGAACAATTAGGTAGGCTTGGTATTATGGTTTAACTCCAGTTTTCTAGAAAATGTATGTAATATTGAATGAAAGAAGACATTTTGGTTAAAAAGTTTTAGTGTAATATTTCATATATTAATTTACTTAATCAAAACTTGATTAGATTTTTATCTTATCTGTTGTTAAATGATCACTCACAGTTTGGGTATTTCTGGCCTCTGTGCTGGTGAACCTGAAGGCGATCGATCCTTAGCTTCAGAACTGTACGTCACAGTAGAAGAGAATGGGGAACTACCCAATCTAATCTTCAGTTTGGTCAAACCAGCAGGGAAAGTACCAGGCGACTGAAATAAATTAGATGTACCTTAGTAATCTTCTGGCATTCAAAAAATTTGTATCTGTTATAAATTGTTCATAACAGTAGAAATACTGAAGTGAAGAAAAAACAGTGTGTAGGGATAACAATGATACACCCCAACCAGACCATCAAATCATTGGGAATCGGGGCATACCTACTGGAGGTTTTGAAACTTGCCAAATGTGACCTTTTGCCCTTTATCCTTGACCAATGACTACCAAACTCAAACTAGAAGTGCGAGTTGGTGGTCTGATACTAAGCCTATGTACCCTATGAATGTTATTTATTTTACAACAATTGACACAATAATTGACATTAACTTATATTGGGAACTGTTGTTGTCATTGTCACCAGTGAACAACAATCAATACTTACCTTGCTGCTCTTATCTTTGTGTTTGCTTCTCTCTTTGTCCCTGTCCTTATCTTTGTTTTTCTTCTTTTTTTCTTTGTCCTTTTTCTTTTCTTTCTTTTCCTTTTTATGTTCCTGAAACATATGATGTGTTTTTATCTTAAATCCTGTGTTCCAACATTTATCTGTTCATTTGTCTTGCTATAATAAGCCCTGTAATAGCTTATCATATGGAAATGTGGCATAAAACATTTCAGTGTCTGAAACCTGCCAACTTAGAACTCTTCAGGATTAAGCTCCTTTACCATGACCTTTCACCTTTGTATACACCAATAAAGAGGTATAAAGTTAGTTTGTGTACTAGCACAATATAAAACACAAAATTTAACCCTTAAAAAAAAGATGAACTTTGGCCCCTTGCCGTTAACCTCCACAAAACAGATAAACATTACCTCCTTCAAGACAGATAGAGTTAACCGCAACAAAACAGATAAACATTACCTCCTACAAGACAGATAGATTAACCTCAACAAAACAGATAAACATTACCTCCTACAAGACAGATAGAGTTAACCGCAACAAAACAGATAAACATTACCTCCTACAAGACAGATAGAGTTAACCTCCACAAAACAGATAAACATTACCTCCTACAAGACAGATAACGTTAACCTCCACAAAACAGATAAACATTACCTCCTTCAAGACAGATAACGTTAACCTCCACAAAACAGATAAACATTACCTCCTACAAGACAGATAACGTTAACCTCCACAAAACAGATAAACATTACCTCCTACAAGAAAGACAGTGTCTAACATGTACAAGACAGATAAAGCTCAACCCCTACTAGAATATCACAGATAATCTTAACCACTCCAAGACAAATACATTTTAACACCTATAAAAAAGATCAACTTTGATCTATACTGAACAGATAAAAGTTGACTCCTACATTAAGACTATTAAGGTAAGACAGTACAAGATAGATAAAATGATCTTACCTTAGATCTATGTTTCTCTTTGTCTTTACTGTGCCCTTTCTCTGGTGTAGGTGTTACAGGAGCACTATTTTCCACCTTGACATTGACGAGTGTTTCCTCAATCACAGGTGAAGATGGTTCCTCAATCACAACTGCAGGAGGTTGTTCCACAGGTGGCGGAGGACTGGGACTTCGTGGAGCAGTCATGGGTACAGTAAGTTGGGAAGGAGGAGTGGGAGGAGGAGGAGGAGGTGGAGGTGGAGGTGGAGGAGGTGGGAGGATGCCAGGTTTAGGAGTAGATCGCATCGGTGGACTCTCTGGAAAGTCAAACACTGCAAACTTCTCATCTTTTGGAGACTTGGGTTCCATCATTGGTGGTGGCTCTATCATGACAGAGGGAGCCACTGGGGGAGTAGAAGGCTTCTTGCTACTTTTAGCTTTACCTTTTTTAGGCGGTCTTCCTTTCTTGCGTGGTGAGGTTTGTGGTGTTGATACAGGTGTGGTAACAACTGGGGATGTTGGGACTACTGGGGTTGGTGTGACAACATCGAGTGCCTCCTCCTTGACTGGCATGGGAGTTACCTGTGTATCTGTCCTGTCCATCACTCCTCCTATCACAGCGTTGATAGTATCATCTATAGATGAACCAATACTTGACTCCTTTATCTTTTCCACTGACTTTGAACCTTCTTCTTTCATCTTTTCCACTGATTTAGATTTTTCTACAACTTTTTCTTCTTGCATTTCTAATGGAACAAATGTGTTTTCTGGAATCTCTGATTCCTTCTCAAGCTGCTTTAAGGCTGATTGTCTTAACACACTGTCAATAGAACTCTGAATAGCATCCAGCCGTCGTTTCTTTTCCTCCAAGTCGGTGGGTTTGGGAACTTTTTTACAACTCAAGTCCAGAGGAGTAGATCTTGGGGAATCCCTGTTTTTATGAGAAGCAGCAAGGATGTTGTGCAATTCATCTTTATTCTGGATACTTGGAGAACTTGACCTCCCTTTGTCTGAAGTCGGTCCTTTCTGTCTTTCTAACATTATTGTCTCTGAGAAAAGTCCTGCACCCCCATCACTTGGCAACTTATTCTGTCCCTTCTTGTTACCAAGCCCCTTAGGACTTTTAGCCCTTGCTGGGGATTTCGACCTTGATCTTGGCCTTGGTTTCGAAATAATCAAATTTTTCTTTACTTTACTCTTTGACTTGGATACATCTTTCTTCTCTGAGCTGCTATTTGATTTTTTCTTTATTCCACTCTTTTTTGATGAAGAATTTGAAGAAGTTTTATCTTTTTCCTTCTTGTGTGAACTATCATTTGAATCTTTTTTGCTATTTAGCTCACTAAGAATATCTCTTGCTACAGGTACCAATGGTGCTGATTTTGAAGAAGAACCTCGAGTATTATCCTTTGGAAACCTCTTTGGGAAGCCCTGAGGGGGTGTTTTGGCATCAGGCAGTTTGCCTATGTAGCCTCCTGTAGGCATCACCTCACCCACAACATTCATCGCCATGCTCTTCATTTCATACTGTGAGTGTGCTGCTTCTTCAGGAAGATTGGTCAATCTGTGAGGAGACAAAAAATCAGATCAATTATAAGGCAAGACATAAAAAAATACCAGACATTTTCAACATCATTAGGGATGAAAGTTAATTCTTTCATTTTTTATAAACAGTGTAAATATAAACTTCATTTATTTTACAACAATTGTGAAACAAGTTATGTCAACTTATACTAATCACTCTTGTTGGCCCGGATGTAAGCGCGCGAGGGGTCTTATTGTGGGAGGAAACCGGAGTACCCGGGGAAAACCCACGTGGTCGGGTAGGTGACCCCTTACCTTTTCACGTCCGTTCCGGGAATCGAACCCCGGTCGGCTAGGTGAAAGGCGAGTGCGCTACCACTGCACAGTGTACATGCACACATATGTAGTTGTTGTGCACACACCTATCCAACCGTCAGATCACTTCTCCTACATATATGTTTACCTGTGTGAAGCATTGTCCAGTTAATGTTATGTTGTCTATCCAGCAGTTAAGTTGAAAAATTCCTTAAGTCCAAAAAAGTCTTATTTTCATCATTTGTATTTAGGTTTTTTTGTCTTGGTATAAATTTGGAATGAATTGTGGAGTATAAATTTAGATCCAAGGAGAAGCTAGGGCAAGTGAAAATGAAAATTAATTGTAAGCTTTGATAAAGATACTTTCTAGTTTCCCAGCATGAAACTTAAAAATGTTCCAATCAAAGCTGAAATGCAATGAAGTATAAGATGTAAATGCATCACACAGACACAATGCATAGATCACTTAGAGTTTAAGATTACAACTAACCATAGACTGACTGAATAATTTAAGCCAGTTAATAAAGTGGAAAACTATCAAACACCATATCGATGATCTGATTCTACCAGGTATGTAACACAGATTAATGATAACAGCCGGACAGATGTGGCAGGACAGCTGTGGCAGGACAGCTGTGGCAGGACATCCAGAGCAGGACGGCCATACCAGGATAGCCCCAGCAAGACAACCACACCACAATAGTCACAGCAGACTAGCCACAGCAGGAAAGCGAGAACAGGATAGTCACAGCAGACTAGCCACAGCAGGAAAGCGAGAACAGGATAGTCAAAGCAGACTAGCCACAGCAGGAAAGCGAGAACAGGATAGTCAAAGCAGACTAGCCACAGCAGGAAAGCGAGAACAGGATAGTCACAACAGACTAGCCACAGCAGGAAAGCAAGAACAGGATAGTCACAGCAGACTAGCCACAGCAGGAAAGCGAGAACAGGATAGTCAAAGCAGACTAGCCACAGCAGGAAAGTGAGAACAGGATAGTCACAGCAGACTAGCCACAGCAGGAAAGCGAGAACAGGATAGTCACAGCAGACTAGCCACAGCAGGAAAGCGAGAACAGGATAGTCACAACAGACTAGCCACAGCAGGAAAGCGAGAACAGGATTGTCACAACAAGATAGCCATACCAGGATAGCCACAGCATATCAGTCACAACTAACAATTCTTCGCTGATTAAATTTGTAATTAAAACACATGGCAGAGAATAAAGTTACAATGTTATACATCCACTATGATACAGACAAGTTACCTCATTCTTTTTGATGGTGGTCCCCCGGAGGGTGGACTGGTCAGAAGTCGTTTGTCAGACAATCCAGGACTGACCGCAGGACCATCCACTTGTATGTCTAAAGGTGATGAAGCCATGGGTGTAGTTGGAGGGACTGCCAGCAATCCAGGTTCGGGCTGAGTGTGTGGAGGAGACTGTGGAGTCGCAATCTCTTCTAGAAAAAAAGTGCACCATTGGGAAAAACAATACACATGCATCATATGCCAGGTAGTAATACAATGAAACCTGCTTAATAAGCCATGCATGACATTAACAGTTTACCTGAAAGTCAGTTTTCTGATGTGCCAAACTCACTCGTTTCTAACAGAAATTGTTTGAAGACAAGAAATTTATAATTTGATTTGTTTTTCCCATAAACACAGTATTTTCCTTCACTTTTGTTTGTTTATTCTTTGAAATATCTAAACTGCTATCATAAATTATCGTGAATAATTATTTGTCATATTCACAGTTTGCATGCGGTCATATTCATATACAACACCACTGTAACATCAGCTGATATTTGGCTGTATAATCTATTCATTCATTACTGTATAGGCTTCATAATAGGGCATCATTGCAAATTTTAAATATATATATACAGTGTGTCTTGGATAAAATGTGTTCTGGAGATTGCAACTCGAACATTGTTGACAAAAACAGACAACAGAGCATAAACTGTTCACCTATGAAATGCCATGTTTCCTTTGCTGTTAAATTAGTGATCATTTCTAATGACCAATCAGATGTCGTGAAACACAGCCAAGTAAAAACCCAGTTTTAGACCAGTTTGCTGTCACTTTACCAGTGCTTGTGATAATTTGAGCTATAAATGATTTGAAGAAAGATCAAAATGTCAATGAAGCTTTCCAGGAAATGTGTGATAATTTTCTATGTTCAGTTAGGCCTAATCCAGACTTCATTTCGTGAGACTTGAAGTTCAAAATGGTTATTTTAGCATCTTATGCTTTGTATTGGAAATGTGTTTTTGAAAAGTTAAAGATTATGACATTCGTAATGATTCGTGGTTTGGTGTCCAATGGGTCATTGTAAAAAGAAACAAAACAAACACAATTTATCGTAAATTACAGTTTATGGTTGATTATTTCCAGAAATGTCTTTTGCAAAACAATCTTTTTTGTTTTGAAATTGATTTCGGTATGCATACTAAAGACTCATTTTTAAGAAGTTTCGGCAGCTGGTCAGACATGTCAGAAAATTTAGCAGCATGACAATTTCAAAGTGACAAAGGGTTTAAAAACTCATTTTAAAACTTGGAAATGTGCTAGCCAGTTAAGAAAACAAACTCACTATACTTCCTTCAACCTAGGTATGGAAAGTTGGCCCATAGGGTAGACATGACGTTTACATAATGTGTTCAGGTGTGACATATGACCCTGCAGATATGAAGCCATAATCACTGTCCTCAATTACCTATAATTTACCTGTGGTTTTGTGTGATAGTGGTCAAAACTTTGCCCAAGTGAAAATAAGTGATATTACCAGATATTGGATAACATAGAATATATAAATAAAAAAATCTGTGTTTAAAAACAAGAGGCCCATTAGCCTTACTGTCATCTGACTACAGAAACTTTCAGCAAGGAGAAAGGATATCTTTTCCACTGTTGGCTACCTTTTTTTAACATTTCCACCAATTTTCAGCTCAATGACTCCAGTGGAACTGAAGAGAAGTTTAATGTTTTTCAAGATGGCGACCATGACAGTCATCTTGGATTTCAGACATACCCAAAAAAGTAACAATACTTGGTCAGAACCATCTTAGGATCATTTCATGCAAGTTTAAGTTCAATCCCACTGGTGGAACTTGAGAAGAAATTTGAAATGTCAAAAGTTTACGCACACAGACAGCTGACGACAACAAACTTAGTACAATGACTACAGGTCATCATGACCCTTCGGCTCAGATGACCTTAAAAACATGATATTAACCAGACGTTATGATATCAAGAGGTAAATATATACCACATCTGTGGAAAAATTTTCAAAGTATGAACACCAGCACAGTGAACGTGTCCGTCCAGCAGCTTGAACAAATGTAGACCATCATCAGGACAAGCGAACATAACATTGTTTCCTTCTGAAGTCAGTTTGGTTGGTAAGTAATCACAACAATGTCTCATTTGGGAATATCCCTCATCCATAACCCTTCTCTGTAATTTTATTGTGCACATGTGCACACATTTTATCCACCCATATCGTTTGTATTTTGATTATAAATGACAACAAATGCTATAATAATGTCCTGTAAAATGCCGTCCTCCAAGAGTCACCAGTTGTTGTGAGTTTATTTCACCTTTGAAAGTATTGTGCTAGAATATATAATTATACTGCCCATCGCATATAGTGTACGAGGGTCAATTCATTGATCATGATTTGTTATTCTTTCAAAATTTTACCATGGGCATAATTATTAATGCACTGAGATATTATAAAGTTATACTAACCTGGAAACATTGCAGGGAGATGCTCCGGAATGTGTTCATCTCTCTGTAGCACTTCTCTACTCTCTGTTCTAGGAAACTGAAGATTGTTTCTTTTTGGAACAGGAAAGGACACAACCTCATGAGCAAATGGCAATGGATCAACATGGTGAACATAATCTTCAAGTTCTCCTAGCTGTACACCTAAGTGTCGAAACGCTAGTCCCAGATCATCTAAGTTAGGGTCAGTCCTGCCAACTGTTAAAAACATTGAAGTAAAAGTCATGACATGTGCTTGTTTGTTTTCTGTACTTCATCCTGTTTATTGATTGATAGAACAATATATAGAAGTTACAATATCAATCAAGAATACAGACTTCTCTTTCAGCATGTCATCCAAAGTGACATAAGGGTGAGAAAAATGTTAGTCTTGATAAATTTCATTTATTACAAAGCATTTATCAAGAATCATTGAAATTGCAAAGTATGTGATTATAAAATTATGAGGAATAAAGAAAACCTATTATGTGTCATCAATGTTTAGGCATTAGGAATAAAAGAAATTCGGTGTCCTTGCTATTCACATTCTTTTAAAAAAAGAAAATAAGTTTTAATACTGCTTGGTCAATGACAAAAATCAAAATATCACACAGGTAGAATAATTTTTGATACACAAGTTAAACAAGTAAGAGACAATTACATTGCTCTGAGTAACGATGGGTGACTTTGGATACTTCAACAAGGTATCGCTCCAAAACGTCTGTAAGAAGTTCCAGAGGTGTGGCTTGAGCAGCGTTCCATCCAAGATTTTGACAAATTTGGGCAAGACTGACCCGCAATATACTACGACAGTATTCATCTGCCATTTTCTAAAGAAATATAAAAAGACAATCAAGCACTGAAAATGAGTGAAAAGATATACCAAACAACCATTAAATTCATTAAAAACTCATTAGATTTGAGAGACAGTGTATAATAAGTATGATGTTCTTGCAAGTACAAATGTACAATCATTATCATGTATACTTGTCATCTGATATTAATCTCTTGCTTTCTATCTTAATATTTAGTATTATGTGCTTAATGAGTGAAATGTGATGGAGAATACAACTGTAATACATAATGTTGAGATACCATGAAGTGAGTGTCATGTAAGGTTTCCAAACACTCAGCAACTAATTTGTTATTGAAGATTATCTTTATAATCATTTTTATATTATACATTGATACCCATGTCTAACAACATGCAAAAAATTATTGTTGAGTGTGTTCAACGAACACCGTACTGTGTTACCATGGAGGAGTGAGTGTTCTGTGAGGTTTTCACACACCTGGTAAATTTGTTAATGATGCAGCGAACATGCATAACCAACACTAAACAGAATTGCTGCAAAGGAGTGGCGCATACAAGCACCGGATATATAATTATTGATTCAATAGTTGAACACTTAATCGTTCCAATTAAAAGAATAAGAAAGTTACCAGACTTTGCGAAGAGGATGCACTTGTACAAGTCAAACCAAATGTGTTGTTTGAGGAGGGTCAATTTTAAGAAAGAGAAAAAAAAACAAAACAAAACAAAAAATGCCATGAAAATGGAAAACGAAATATCTTATTTGTACACTCATCGGGGTGAGTTTTCAGACTGGATAATGATAGTCAATTCGGACTAGCTTAAGTTCAAATGACCCACAACATAGACTCACTAGTCCACACAATTGTATTCGGAAGTCTCAATACCTGGAGAGGTCGTCTTTATCTTGCACAATCAAATTTCATTCTTAGATGGAATATTAGGGTGGTCATCGCATATATGCTTTTGGCCTAATTCCTCTCGGTGTAGGTTTGAAAGTATTTTGTGTGCATTTTCAATTCGGCCAATTTCTGTAAATCTGCGTCAATATAGCACTTCGCTTGTAAATCCCAATTTACCTTTCATTCAAACGCATCGAGGACGATCCACTTTTATGATAGAGACTTATGGGAAATATTTTCATGGAGTCCTCAACGACGGCATGTTGGTACAGGTGAAGTAATATTTTATCTTGGGAAGACTGTTTTCACGCTGTTTCTATAAACGTTTTCAACACGACGTAAACAATGTGCGAAATGTTAGGACCAGTTAACGTGTCTTAGTGGTGTATTACTTTAAAATCGACGCATAGGTTTAGTTCGAACAGCACCAGCCTGCGTGACCAGCATATTTTTCCTATCACTGAAAGTAACGTTGTTTTGAATCGACACAACTTTTGTAGCAAGATGGGATTTTTCTCAAGATTGGCACAAATTCTAGGAATATCGAAGAAGGAGGCTAAAATATTGGTCATAGGGTTGGACAACAGCGGTAAAACTACAATTATAGATAAACTGAAGCCGGAAGAAAAGCGGTCTGGGGATGTTGCTCCAACTGTTGGTTTCAGTGTAGAGAGGTTTAAAAATAAGTCTCTACAGTTTACAGCTTTTGATATGTCAGGACAAGGACGATATAGGAACATATGGGAGCATTATTTCAAGGATTGTGATGGAATTATATATGTGATTGATAGTTCTGACAAACTGAGGATGACTGTAGCAAAAGACGAATTGGATCAAGCTCTGCAGAATGAAGATATTAAGAATAGAAGGATACCAATTTTATTCTTTGCGAATAAGATGGACTTGCGGGATTCCATGTCGAGTGTCCGATGTTCATTGATGCTGGATTTGGATTCCATACGTGACAAACCATGGCATATATGTGCCAGTAATGCTTTGACAGGGGAAGGATTACATGAGGGATTTGAGTGGATATCAGATGAAATAAAAAGCATTTTGGAAACAAAATGAGATATAGTGATGCCAAAATCAACCCAAAGGAAAAGTTCTGAAGTTTCCAATTTCCTCCACACATTTTTGACACTACATACATGTCTTAAATGAACGTATATAATATTTCAGGAAATTATTACCTCCATGTGGAGAACAAATGACTTTAGGAAAGAAGTATATTATGTTATTGTCTATCAGGGCAGAATGGAGCTGTTGATGATGAGTGTGTAAAAATAGGCAATTAAATATATCTATTGGGTTTTTTTGTTTTTTTTTGTGTAAATTCAAAGGTCCATTTTTGTAGCAATTTTCGGAAACTAAATTTCTTGTATTCTAGGAGATCTTCAAAATAGTTGGACCACGACCATTATGAGGAATAAAATATTAACAGAAATGAACAGAAATTTGAAGAAAAAAAAACAAAGAAAGTTTTTATTTTTTGCTATAGTTAAGTAATGTATGCCAGACTGTCCTAAGTTTATGATAAATATGTACATTTATGCCAGATTGTCCTAGGTTTATGATAAATATGTACATTTATGCCAGATTGTCCTAGGTTTATGATACACATGTATGTCAGATTGTCCTAGGTTTATGATACACATGTATGTCAGATTGTCCTAGGTTTATGATATACATGTACATGTATGTCAGATTGTCCTAGGTTTATGATACACATGCATGTCAGATTGTCCTAGGTTTATGATACACATGTATGTCAGATTGTCCTAGGTTTATGATACACATGTATGTCAGATTGTCCTAGGTTTATGATACACATGTATGTCAGATTGTCCTAGGTTTATGATACACATGTATGTCAGATTGTCCTAGGTTTATGAAATACATGTACATGTATGTCAGATTGTCCTAGGTTTATGATACACATGTATGTCAGATTGTCCTAGGTTTATGAAATACATGGACATGTATGTCAGATTGTCCTAGGTTTATGATATACATGTATGTCAGATTGTCCTAGGTTTATGATATACATGTATGTCAGATTGTCCTAGGTTTATGATATACATGTATGTCAGATTGTCCTAGGTTTATGATACACATGTATGTCAGATTGTCCTAGGTTTATGATATACATGTACATGTATGTCAGATTGTCCTAGGTTTATGATACACATGTATGTCAGATTGTCCTAGGTTTATGATACACATGTATGTCAGATTGTCCTAGGTTTATGATACACATGTATGTCAGATTGTCCTAGGTTTATGATATACATGTACATGTATGTCAGATTGTCCTAGGTTTATGAAATACATGGACATGTATGTCAGATTGTCCTAGGTTTATGAAATACATGGACATGTATGTCAGATTGTCCTAGGTTTATGAAATACATGTACATGTATGTCAGATTGTCCTAGGTTTATGAAATACATGGACATGTATGTCAGATTGTCCTAGGTTTATGATACACATGCATGTCAGATTGTCCTAGGTTTATGATACACATGTATGTCAGATTGTCCTAGGTTTATGAAATACATGTACATGTATGTCAGATTGTCCTAGGTTTATGAAATACATGTACATGTATGTCAGATTGTCCCAAGTTTATGATATACATGTATGTCAGATTGTCCTAGGTTTATGATACACATGTATGTCAGATTGTCCTAGGTTTATGATATACATGTATGTCAGATTGTCCTAGGTTTATGAAATACATGGACATGTATGTCAGATTGTCCTAGGTTTATGATATACATGGACATGTATGTCAGATTGTCCTAGGTTTATGAAATACATGGACATGTATGTCAGATTGTCCTAGGTTTATGATATACATGGACATGTATGTCAGATTGTCCTAGGTTTATGAAATACATGGACATGTATGTCAGATTGTCCTAGGTTTATGATACACATGTATGTCAGATTGTCCTAGGTTTATGATATACATGGACATGTATGTCAGATTGTCCTAGGTTTATGAAATACATGGACATGTATGTCAGATTGTCCTAGGTTTATGATGTACATGGACATGCATGTCAGATTGTCCTAGGTTTATGATATACATGTATGTCAGATTGTCCTAGGTTTATGATATACATAAATTATTGGTTATAGTTGTTGTCATTAATGATTGTCTTCAATTATGATTAAGAATGAAAACTGTATTTCTACATAGTGGTCATTAGCAATAATTAAGTTTTGAGTAAAATCAAGTTAGAATAGATGTGTTTGTACTTCAGGTATTGTTATAGAACATCAATATCACCATGATCCCCCTAGGAGCAAGTAAACATTGAACTTCATGAAATAACAAAGGGGAAATAGAATATCATACTGCAAGATCTCACTAAAAATTCTACCTATGAAAATGATTGATTGAAATGTTTCAAAATAATTTCAAAATTCTTGATATTTGGTTCCTGATAACACTTCATTATCATCAGCTAGTTGCAAGTTAGGTTGAAGTCTTCAAAAATATTTATTGTACTTTTATCCATATTTGTCCATTTCAGCGTTCATTTCATCTTAAATGAAAAAAAAATAGGGTTTAAGAATTTATTGTCGATGATTTGTATAACTATATTGGTACTTTCAATTAAACTTGGGTTGTTATTATTTTACAGTATATCATCACGATGAAGGGCTTCATTAGTCCAAACATTTAAACTTCCTACATACAAATATTTCATTATCAAATTTTCATAACATAAACTGATTTTATTTTTTAAATCAGTCAAATGAAATCCCGAGGGTTAGACAAAACCTACATCTTCTGGTTTAGAGAATGAATCACTAGGTGTAAATAAAATTTTGAAAATTGGCAAATTTATTTCAGAAATTTCATTACCTAAAGGTTGTCCCATGTGGTCTCATCTGAAGTTCTAAGATGTATGGATCAACAGACCGGGTTTGTGTTTCTTAGGAAGTTGGTCATTATTACAATCATTCTGTGCTGTTGTTGTTTTGTCCTTGGATGAGACACTTTACCAGAGAATACCCTAATTACTTTGGAAGGCAATTCACTAATGCAACAATGTTCAGTGAGGTGTAGCTATAACCACCATCAGCTATCTGTTCTTTGTGGTGGTGGGGGGCAATAAACCCAGTAAACAAACAAGCACACACACATTGCTGTATTTCATTGGTGTCAATTGTTGTGATCATCAGCGTCCGTCCATACACTATAAATGTACATGATTTAAAATAACACATTGTTTGAATCAATTATTGTAAAATGATATAATTGATATGTAAAATACAACTTTTCTTAAAAACTTAAAAACAGTGCTTTTGTAAAGGACTGTTGGACCTGAGAAATTGCTTTCACACCTGCAATTTCTTCAATACTTTAAGTTTTAAGTTATAATCATTGAAGTTTCTTTTAATTAGTTAACTATTAATTAATGTAAAGGTGTAGTTTTGTTATTCTTTATTTTCATTTGTTATGTCCTTAATATTACTATAGGCTATGTTACTGCAAGTTACACTGTTCTAAAGGACAATATGGTCACTGTATTGTACTTATAAGATCAACCATTTCACTGTAGAAATTTTCTGAATATATGTTGCAGCACCAAGACCTTTCAAATGTTTTGAGAGAAACTGTAATGAGTCCTTCTGGTTTCATCATTTAAAACACTTTGTGTAAGAAAAGACCACATTGTCACCCTTTTGTCAGTATGATTTTCGATATTTATGGTTGTCACTTTTTTGTCATTTTTATATGAAAGATTTCAGATAATTAGACCATATATCTTCAATATAATTTATATTTATTTTTATTAAAATCACTTATCAAAACTTGATTAGATGATTTACGGGTAAAATAAATTCTGTGAGAAAACTTTGACATAGGTTTCAATAAGTTAAACAGAATACACAATAAGAAGAAAGCATGCCGAGTGTTATAGTGTTACTTTTATTTATGTATTGAACAAGTTTGTACATCCACTGATACAGCCTTCCGGCCTTTCAGCAGATCATAATATACTATTAGGTTGTATATCACTACACATTTTTTGTTATTATCACCTGTGACTGCTATTTTGATTGAATCTCATAATTTTGCTGTAAAATTAATAAACATTTGATATGATTTTTTCCATTCTTAAATAATCAATATCCACTCAATGCTTTTTGTTGTCTGTAGACTCAGGTGTTTGTTTAAACAGTTCTACTCGATCAGATTACATTCTACATGTATATATTTTGAATTTATGATCTCAGAATCTTAATTATCACTTTTTGGATACCATTACTGATTTTTTTTCCAAATTAATTAAAATAACAATAAAACCTTCAAAAGAGTAAGTAAGATTTTCATTTAACACTTGGACGACTGTGTAAAGGTATATTGGCCCAACCTTAGGAAAGTAAATTTCTGTACACGTATACATTCTGTAGTTAATGATGTTCTTTACTATGGTACACTGATTTTATAGTGTACATATTACTTATTATTGAAACAACGACTAATTATTGTATATGAACTATGAAAATGGTACTAATGAAATTCAGTTAAAACTATGGTACATTCAGCAATTACAGCACAAATTGGTATTATAATACAGAACTTTTGGAAGAATATAGAATCTTAGAGATGGCTTAAGTTGCGTTCTTGTAACAGAATAAATATCACCAAATTCACTTGTGTTTCTCCTTTATTTCATTTTACATATGAGATTGTGGTGGTTAGTTTTGGATGAGATTCAGGAAATTTTGTGAAAAATGGCAGGGAAATGTTGAAGGAGTGATTCTGTGTGGTTTGTATAGTGTTAAATCGCTGTCACTCAGCTGACAAAGCAGTTTAATATAACAGAGGACAAAACTAACACATTTAAAACTAGGTCTTTTGTAACCATTGCATTTCAAATAATGTGGAAAATCTTTACAGATTAAAAAAAGAGGTCACAAAAACATTTTGTTCACTGTAAGTAATTTTCTACAAAATACAACACAACACAATAAATCTTGTTCATAGAACTTTATCAATCCAAAGACAAGCATATCATGATGAACTGTATCCACATGTACAGTATGTAGACTCCTGCTGAATATGTTATAAAAAACAGTAAACCTTGGTACCAGTGGTGACAATATTACTAAGCAAACCTTGGTACCAGTGGTGACAATATTACTAAGTAAACCTTGGTACCAGTGGTGACAATATAACTCAGTAAACCTTGGTACCAGTGGTGACAATATAACTCAGTAAACCTTGGTACCAGTGGTGACAATATAACTAAGTAAACCTTGGTACCAGTGGTGACAATATAACTCAGTAAACCTTGGTACCAGTGGTGACAATATAACTAAGTAAACCTTGGTACCAGTGGTGACAATATAACTAAGTAAACCTTGTTACCAGTGGTGACAATATAACTAAGTCAAACTTGGTACCAGTGGTGACAATATAACTCAGTAAACCTTGGTACCAGTGGTGACAATATAAATCAGTCAAACTTGGTACCAGTGGTGACAATATAACTAAGTCAAACTTGGTACCAGTGGTGACAATATAACTAAGTAAACCTTGGTACCAGTGGTGACAATATAACTCAGTAAACCTTGGTACCAGTGGTGACAATATAACTAAGTCAAACCTTGGTACCAGTGGTGACAATATAACTAAGTCAAACTTGGTACCAGTGGTGACAATATAACTAAGTCAAACTTGGTACCAGTGGTGACAATATAACTAAGTAAACCTTGTTACCAGTAGTGACAATATAACTAAGTAAACCTTGTTACCAGTGGTGACAATATAACTAAGTCAAACTTGGTACCAGTGGTGACAATATAAATCAGTCAAACTTGGTACCAGTGGTGACAATATAACTAAGTAAACCTTGGTACCAGTGGTGACAATATAACTCAGTAAACCTTGTTACCAGTGGTGACAATATAACTAAGTCAAACTTGGTACCAGTGGTGACAATATAAATCAGTCAAACTTGGTACCAGTGGTGACAATATAACTAAGTAACCCTTGTTACCAGTGGTGACAATATAACTAAGTCAAACTTGGTACCAGTGGTGACAATATAAATCAGTCAAACTTGGTACCAGTGGTGACAATATAACTAAGTAACCCTTGTTACCAGTGGTGACAATATAACTAAGTAAACCTTGGTACCAGTGGTGACAATATGACTCAGTAAACCTTGGTATCAGTGGTGACAATATAACTCGGTAAACCTTGGTACCAGTGGTGACAATATAACTAAGTCAAACTTGGTACCAGTGGTGACAATATAATTAAGTCAAACTTGGTACCAGTGGTGACAATATAACTAAGTCAAACTTGGTACCAGTGGTGACAATATAACTAAGTCAAACTTGGTACCAGTGGTGACAATATAACTCAGTAAACCTTGTTACCAGTGGTGACAATATGACTCAGTAAACCTTGGTACCAGTGGTGACAATATCACTCAGTAAACCTTGGTACCAGTGGTGACAATATAACTCAGTAAACCTTGGTATCAGTGGTGACAATATAACTCAGTAAACCTTGGTACCAGTGGTGACAATATAACTCAGTAAACCTTGGTACCAGTGGTGACAATATAACTAAGTATACCTTGGTATCAGTGGTGACAATATGACTCAGTAAACCTTGTTACCAGTGGTGACAATATAACTCAGTAAACCTTGGTACCAGTGGTGACAATATGACAACTAAAAATTACAAAGTATAACAATGCACTGCATAGTGTTTACTGATACACAGAAAATCATCATAGAAAACAGGGTTTTAATTTATAAACTACAACTAATTCATAGAAACATACTGTACACTGTATATGTTGTGATAACCAGGCAAGTACTTTAGTATCACAACAAAATGGCTACAAGTGTTGATATCTAACTACATTCATCGAAGTGAAAACAATTGTCTCCAACATGAATTATAATGATAAAAGTATGTGTTGTAAATTATCTATGAAAAACTTGTAACCTGGTGTAAACTTGTTATCTCTCCCAACTTAAGGAATCGTGTCCCCATTTCACCAAGGCGACTTCCATTTTATATATCTCCTTCTTATTTTAGAAAAAAAAAGACCAGAATGCTTCCCATTTCACAAAGACAATACAATTTAGAAATTTCCTCCCAGAAAGGAGTCTTTCTATTTTCTGCCACCAGGGAAAATGGCTTAAAGCATGTACTTCCATGGTTTTGTTTTCAAAACTGGAAATGGATAACACACGATCTGATTTCTAATTTAGATTTCGAAAATATTCAGTCTCCTAAAACTGAAACAAAAAATCTAGAATGTATGCTGTAAATGGTATGGATAAAACTCTGATGACATACAATGTTAATCTAAGCCTCTGAAGTGTGTTATTTCTGAACATGAATTTCTGGGCTGCATTCAGTCCCAAGCTTATGTATTTATGATAATTTTAAGGTCAGAATGCATTGATCAGCAGTTGTCAAATTGATATTACATGGACGTTCATAGAGAACACATCCCTGAAAAACTCAACGACTGAAATGAAATTTGTTTCATTAAACACTGTACAAAGTAAATTCATCACAACGACATATTGAAAACTTTCAGCGAAAAATATTTATTTTACACTCTGAATTTATCTCTCAGAGTAAATCACCAGCATATCAGGGGCCTGTTGTCTAGTAATTAATCAGGTTCTACTGACCAAAGCAATCCAGTAGAAAACATTTTTTTCCATTCCAAAACTTTCTCCTTGCTTGAATGTAACTTATGTTTGTGGGGGATTTGATGTTTAATTTTTGTGGTCGTTGAAGACGGTGTGAAATGAAATACACTTATAGAAAATGTGTGTTATATGCATGGATACCAATGAGTAGATAGGTTCAAACTTTAATCACTGTGAGCTAGCTCACATTGTGCTGACATTGAAACATTAGCCACATGGCTTAATCAAATATACAGTATGTGACAAAAAAAAAAAAAAAAAGGATTATAATATTATGGTCTCTAACAGAAAATGGAAACAGGATACATTCAATGATAATTTTGAACAACTAACTGAAAAATAATTTTTCTAATTGTCATTTCATATTTCATGAAGGAAATAAATTTTATGATGAAATGTCATTATGTTGAACAGTCATTGCCAGGATGGTGAACCATGCAGTGTCAGAAAGTTAAATCTGCAACAACTGATTTGAGTAAGAATTTCTATCTAACTTGATGAACAGAGCAGTTGATTAGTTACCTTACTCCAAAGGTAAGAAAATGTCACCTTGACTACACATACATCATACAGTATCTCGGAACTGTGTCCGATACAGCACGTAACATTCTGTTTATCATCAGAAGTTAAGAAAATGTGACCTTAACTACACATACATCATACAGTATCTCGGAGCTGTGTCCGATACAGCACGTAACATTCTGTTTATTATCCAACACTAATAAATTCATTCAATACATCACTGTAATAACAGGTATACATATACAGAACAGATAATCCAGCATCTTAAAGACGTACAATCATAAGCTTAACTACCACAAGAAAGGCAGCAATGGAAAATATAGATATATATGTGTACATTTTTTATATTATAAAATGTTAATGCATTGCCTCAAATAAAGTGAAATTATTTCAATAAAAATAACTGATCTTCTTTCCTGAAAACTCCCAAGAGGAAGTTGAAGGCATCTATTTAGTATATAATCAACCTTTTGACAACCTCTAGGAAGTACAAATAATACAGCCTATTTAGAAGTGGGGGTAACTTATCCACAGGGTCAAATATATACCTGTGTTGTTTAGGACCATGTCTGACTCAGTGTATTATTCACAGGGTCAAATATATACCTGTGTTGTTTAGGACCATGTCTGACTGAGTGTCTTATTCACAAGGTCAAATATATACCTGTGTTGTTTAGGACCATGTCTGAGTGAGTGTCTTATTCACAAGGTCAAATATATACCTGTATTGTCAAGGACCATGTCTGACTCAGTGTATTATTCACAAGGTCAAATATATACCTGTATTGTTAAGGACCATTTCTGACAGAGTGTCTTATTCACAAGGTCAAATATATACCTGTATTGTTTAGGACCATGTCTGAGTGAGTGTCTTATTCAAAGGGTCAAATATATACCTGTGTTGTTTAGGACCATTTCTGAGTGAATGTCTTATTCACAAGGTCAAATATATACCTGTGTTGTTTAGGACCATGTCTGAGTGAGTGTCTTATTCACAAGGTCAAATATATACCTGTGTTGTTTAGGACCATGTCTGAGTGAGTGTCTTATTCACAAGGTCAAATATATACCTGTATTGTCAAGGACCATGTCTGACTCAGTGTATTATTCACAAGGTCAAATATACACCTGTGTTGTTTATAACCAATAGCACATTGGATACTGTATGCAGTTCTCAGGTGGTATTTTATCATTTGATTAATTGAGATTGCTCTGTTTGAATCTTTTAGAAAATAAAATAATCAATATGGACTACATTTTAAATTAATTCACAATTTCTATAACCATAAACACACTCATTTTTAAAAAAAATTCCCAACTATGATACAACGTTATTGATGACCAGTCAGGTTTGTAATGTGTTTTTAAAAGAAAACATCAGTCAGGTTTGTAATGTGTTTTTAAAAGAAAACATCTAATCACAAATTAACAAGTTTGTTGTTTGATAAAAAACTTCCTGATAATTGTAATATTTAAGAGTTTAGCTGTCGGTAAAACTTCAATTTTACATCATAATTCAAGAATACCAGTAATATTGAAGAGGTAAGTACATGAAAAAAAATCAACTTTTTACATAATAAATTTACAAAACTTTAACAAGAAATAGAATAAAGAATTTTCTACAACAATCAAACAGCAACTTTAAACATAGATTCTGCTATATTTTTAAAAAAGCATTTTAATACATTAATATCTGATATAGATCTGTACGACAAAAGTAAATAACCTTACTCAGTGTATACTCATGGCAAACTAAAGAGCTGTTTTGTTGCAAAACTCTTAAAATCTATTGTAATGTCTTAAACCTGTAGAAAAAACTTTGTTTAAAGTTTACCAAATTGCCATTTATACTTCATATCTGTATGACGTAGTAATAAGAATGAAATGGTTCACAGTAAATCAATTAGTTTACAACAAGCAGTTTTACCTTAAATGAAAATAAATTTTATTTGCCTCAACAATTATCATGATTTAAAATTTCAATTTACTTTTTCATTTCTAATTGAACCATAAGTTAATTTAGAGGTGATACCTATCTATATATACATAACCCTATATACACAATGTCTTACAAATCTTACAAAACTAGAGTTACCTGTTATAAAACACTTTATGTTCTAATCACAAAACATCCCTTATTTTAGATATATATAGACACAAATCATTTTCCTGATGCATATAAGATGTAGACATGAACAAATAAAGAGAGATGATATGTCAAAAATATCGTCATCAATGAAATGATAACAGAATTAGACTTCAATCAAATCAAATAAACTTTGTAAGGGGGACCACAAACTTTTGACTGTCTTAGAGAGGAAAAGAAAAGCCTTATCACTTGATGGACAATAGAATTCGGTTAAAACTACCCATTTTAATTTTTCCCCCGAGATTTAACGTCCCAGCACCAGCCTGGGTTATGCTGATGATCCACACATGACCCTGGCTGTTGCATGAAATAAAACCAGACAAATATTAACAGGGACGGTTTTTACATGGATTTTTTTTTGTGTGGTCGTCATACAATCAATGCTTTATATGATTTATAAATGAATTTAGAATGATACTTTTGCTCTTTGTGGCATATGAATACAATGACAATAGTTAGCTTTCTGACTAGCAGCTAGAAGTAGAGTTATTCTGATGTAAATGTTTGTTCACTGAAATATTGATAAATGATCAAGTTTTGTAAGATAACTGTCTCTGACCTGACAGTATAACATGACCAATAAGCATGTCTGACCAAAATAGCCTGTCCTTTTATTCTTTACCTGGGATACCAGGTGTTCTGATAAATTTAGAGATAAGTGATTCAGTCTTAGGTATCTGTCATTCGATAGGTTAAAATATTTACAGATATGACATCTGTTTCATCAGTAATAACTGTAGTCCATTTAATACTGAAAGTCGAAGAGATTATTGTAGTCAGACTGTGCTGTCTTTTGATCCCTTGGACATGAAGCTCCAGTAGGATGTCCCCCACATATGAACCACTTCCGGACCATTTTATCAGTTATATTGCATACATCCAGTGTAGGTTGTTTTGTGCTATTGCCATGAATGCACATGTTATGACATTACTTGTTGTTGCATGTTATCATGAGGAACGAAACTGACAACTTCATTGTACACAAGCTCTGAAAATAGAAATGAAGCAAATTGAGAACATTTAAGTTTTAACAAAATAAAATTAAAAAAATTTAAAAAAAAAAAAGAAAGAAAACACAACATAAACAACATTTAACAAATAACTACATGTGATATTGTATTACTATTACTTGTATTATGACATTCGTAACGGCCTGTCAACACATAAAACGTCATTAGAACAATCTATTGGTATTATAATATCAATTACATGGGCATCTACAAACCATTAACTAATGATATCAGAACAGTCCCCGCGGTAACAACTTTTGCTGTGTTCCCTTCATTACTATAAGTGTATACAGATGAGTACTGGATAAATATAAACAACATGTAATTGATAAAATATATACAAATAATGAAGTGATAATCTAGAGCAATGTCTATGCTGTGTAAGTATTAAGAAATATGACCTTATATGGAAGGGGATTATTACATAATAACAAGAATTTAATTTCTAAAATTAGAACATGTAGATAATACATAAAGGTGACCTATATACTGGGTATCAAAGACTGGATAAATATAGTAGATATGTTTTATATTTGTTTAATTCAAATGTTTTCCTCTATTGTGAAATTAAAATGAATCCATTTTTATTTGATTTTGTGTCAACAAAGCTAAACATACCTCTCCAAGCTGGTATATCATGATCCAGATTTTCAAATGAATCATCATACTGTTGGTCTGCAACAGGTTCGTCCGAGGGGTCAGCGTACTGGGCGAGGTATGGGTGGGCTAAAGCTAGCTCTGCTGTGATCCTACAATCAGCATCCAGGTTCAGCATATGATCCAGCAGGTTCAGAGCTAGAGAGATATGTAGAAAATATTTACCATGCTTGATCTTTTACTTACAAAATTTCCAAGATATGTTTGCTAAACAGAACACATTCTGACCAGATGGCCATCTTTTGATACATATGACAGACTATCTCTCCAAGGTGAACCCATACACATAGTTTTGAAAGTCCAGTGGCAAGCACTGTAAGAGATAGGGCCCAGAGAAGGACAGAAGTAATGGAAGGACACAATGCAAAAATACAGCCCCTTCCCCCACCTCTCTTAGATAATTCTCACGAAAAATGAATGATTCTACTACAGCTGTCATTTCAAAACCACATGCAATTTCCACTTTACATGTATCCCATAATAATGTGTAATTGATCTTTCACTGGTAAGTTAGCAGCATAACTCACAGATCGTTATATCAAGGCTGACATTGCAGATCAACAAACACAAATCTTTTAAAGCAATCTATCAGCTTTGAATACCAGATGTAGACAGTAAGTTTTAAAGTGGAAAAGAAGAAATCTGTTAATTACAGTAAATCTGCAGTCAGTCTGAACAAAATTAAATAAACACTGTTGAAATCATTTAAATTTTATGACAAGGTGCTTTTGGAAATAAATTAGAATTCAGACTTTCAGAATCAACATCATTGAAAATCACAATGTTGTGTTTAAAAAACTATTGACTGGGATGAAGAATACCTACCTTTTTTGTTTGCATGTAAAAATATTTCATCTAAAGGCTTTTTACTCCACTTTGGCATTGATGAAATGTAGTTCCTTGCCTGTAAATAAAACATAAAACATGTACCATTTACATTGCCTCAAACTTTGTACATTATGTAATAATAAACATGAAACAATACTGACAAAATGCATCAAAAATTATGTCAGTAGAAATTTAAGTACTTCAGACGTGTTTCTGTACAGTAAATGTTAGAATTGTCTGCCTACTGTCATATAGATTTCCACTTTACAGTACAATATACATATTCAGTACCATATCAAACTACCACACTCTGAAACCGGGATGGACAGTTTAAAAACAAAATTCCTCATATAACATTATTTACAAATCTTCATTGTCATTAAAACAATGTAACTGTTTAGTTGTCACATCCTGTGATATGTCGCAGCATATTTAACCAAACATTACTCAAATATCTGTCATAATAATATCTTTGACTAATAATTGAGAATAACAGAACAAGGAACCTGCTGCTGATTTTCTGGTGTTTTTTCTTTTCTTTCATAATTAACCTTTCATCTACAGTCCCTGTCAGGACAACACAGGACTGTACGTAAAACTCATGACTTACCTCCCTTTTCTCCATCATCATGACTTACCTCCCTTCTCCCCTTCATCATGACTTACCGCCCTTCTCCCCTTCATCTACAGTCACTGTCAGGACAACACAGGACTGTACATGAAACTCGTGACCTACCTCCCTTCTACCCTTCATCTACAGTCACTGTCAGGACAACATAGGACTGTACGTAAAACTCATGACTTACTGCCCTTCTACCTTTCATCTACAGTCACTGTCAGGACAACACAGGACTGTACGTAAAACTCATGACTTACCTCCCTTCTCCCCTTCATCATGACTTACCTCTCTTCTGCCCTTCATCATGACTTACCTCCCTTCTCCCCTTCATCATGACTTACCTCTCTTCTGCCCTTCATCATGACTTACCTCCCTTCTCCCCTTCATCATGACTTACCTCTCTTCTCCCCTTCATCATGACTTACCTCCCTTCTCCCCTTCATCATGACTTACACCCCTATTCCCTTCATCATGACTTACCTCTCTTCTGCCCTTCATCATGACTTACCTCCCTTCTCCCCTTCATCATGACTTACCTCTCTCTTCTGCCCTTCATCATGACTTACCCTCTCTCATCATGACTTACACTCCCTCCCTTCATCATGACTTACCTCTCTTCTGCCCTTCATCATGACTTACCTATTCCCTTCATCATGACTTACCTCTCTTCTGCCCTTCATCATGACTTACCTCCCTTCTCCCCTTCATCATGACTTACCTCTCTTCTGCCCTTCATCATGACTTACACCCCTATTCCCTTCATCATGACTTACCTCTCTTCTGCCCTTCATCATGACTTACCTCCCTTCTCCCCTTCATCATGACTTACCTCCCTTCTCCCCTTCATCATGACTTACACCCCTATTCCCTTCATCATGACTTACCTCTCTTCTGCCCTTCATCATGACTTACCTCCCTTCTCCCCTTCATCATGACTTACCTCTCTTCTGCCCTTCATCATGACTTACACCCCTATTCCCTTCATCATGACTCACCTCTCTTCTCCCTTTCATCATGACTTACACCCCTATTCCCTTCATCATGACTTACCTCCCTTCTCCCCTTCATCATGACTTACCTCTCTTCTGCCCTTCATCATGACTTACACCCCTATCCCCTTCATCATGACTTACCTCCCTTCTCCCCTTCATCATGACTTACCTCTCTTCTGCCCTTCATCATGACTCACCTCTCTTCTCCCTTTCATCATGACTTACACCCCTATTCCCTTCATCATGACTTACCTCTCTTCTGCCCTTCATCATGACTTACCTCCCTTCTGCCCTTCATCATGACTTACACCCCTATTCCCTTCATCATGACTCACCTCTCTTCTCCCTTTCATCATGACTTACACCCCTATCCCTTCATCATGACTTACCTCCCTTCTCCCCTTCATCATGACTTACCTCTCTTCTCCCCTTCATCATGACTTACCTCCCTTCTCCCCTTCATCATGACTTACCTCCCTTCTCCCCTTCATCATGACTTACCTCCCTTCTCCCCTTCATCATGACTTACCTCCCTTCTCCCCTTCATCATGACTTACCTCCCTTCTCCCCTTCATCATGACTTACCTCTCTTCTCCCCTTAATCATGACTTACACCCCTATTCCCTTCATCATGACTTACCTCCCTTCTCCCCTTCATCATGTCTTACACCCCTATTCCCTTCATCATGACTCACCTCTCTTCTCCCTTTCATCATGACTTACACCCCTATTCCCTTCATCATGACTCACCTCTCTTCTCCCCTTCATCATGACTTACCTCCCTTCTCCCCTTAATCATGACTTACCTCTCTTCTCCCCTTCATCATGACTTACCTCTCTTCTCCCCTTAATCATGACTTACACCCCTATTCCCTCCATCATGACTTACCTCCCTTCTCCCCTTCATCATGACTTACCTCTCTTCTCCCCTTCATCATGACTTACCTCTCTTCTGCCCTTCATCATGACTTACCTCCCTTCTCCCCTTCATCATGACTTACCTCTCTTCTGCCCTTCATCATGACTTACCTCTCTTCTCCCCTTAATCATGACTTACACCCCTATTCCCTCCATCATGACTTACCTCCCTTCTCCCCTTCATCATGACTTACCTCCCTTCTCCCCTTCATCATGACTTACCTCCCTTCTCCCCTTCATCATGACTTACCTCTCTTCTGCCCTTCATCATGACTTACCTCTCTTCTGCCCTTCATCATGTCTTACACCCCTATTCCCTTCATCATGACTTACCTCCCTTCTCCCCTATATCACGACTTACACCCCTATTCCCTTCATCATGACTTACCTCCCTTCTCCCCTATATCACGACTTACACCCCTATTCCCTTCATCATGACTTACCTCCCTTCTCCCCTTAATCATGATTTACACCCCTATTCCCTTCATCATGACTTACCTCCCTTCTCCCCTATATCACGACTTACACCCCTATTCCCTTCATCATGACTCACCTCTCTTCTCCCTTTCATCATGACTTACACCCCTATTCCCTTCATCATGACTCACCTCTCTTCTCCCCTTCATCATGACTTACCTCCCTTCTCTTCATCATGACTTACCTCTCTTCTCCCCTTCATCATGACTTACCTCCCTTCTCCCCTTCATCATGACTTACCTCGCTTCTCCCCTTCATCATGACTTACCTCTCTTCTCCCATGACTTACCTCCCTTCTCCCCTTCATCATGACTTACACCCCTATTCCCTTCATCATGACTTACCTCCCTTCTCCCCTTCATCATGACTTACCTCCCTTCTCCCCTTCATCATGACTTACCTCTCTTCTCCCCTTCATCATGACTTACCTCCCTTCTCCCCTTCATCATGACTTACCTCTCTTCTGCCCTTCATCATGACTTACCTCTCTTCTGCCCTTCATCATGACTTACCTCTCTTCTCCCCTTAATCATGACTTACCTCCCTTCTCCCCTTCATCATGACTTACCTCTCTTCTGCCCTTCATCATGACTTACACCCCTATTCCCTCCATCATGACTTACCTCCCTTCTCCCCTTCATCATGACTTACCTCCCTTCTCCCCTTCATCATGACTTACCTCCCTTCTCCCCTTCATCATGACTTACCTCTCTTCTGCCCTTCATCATGACTTACCTCTCTTCTGCCCTTCATCATGTCTTACACCCCTATTCCCTTCATCATGACTTACCTCCCTTCTCCCCTATATCACGACTTACACCCCTATTCCCTTCATCATGACTTACCTCCCTTCTCCCCTATATCACGACTTACACCCCTATTCCCTTCATCATGACTTACCTCCCTTCTCCCCTTAATCTTAATCATGATTTACACCCCTATTCCCTTCATCATGACTTACCTCCCTTCTCCCCTATATCACGACTTACACCCCTATTCCCTTCATCATGACTTACCTCCCTTCTCCCCTATATCACGACTTACACCCCTATTCCCTTCATCATGACTTACCTCTCTTCTCCCCTTAATCATGACTTACCTCCCTTCTCCCCTATATCACGACTTACACCCCTATTCCCTCTATCATGACTTACCTCCCTTCTCCCCTTCATCATGTCTTACACCCCTATTCCCTTCATCATGACTCACCTCTCTTCTCCCTTTCATCATGACTTACACCCCTATTCCCTTCATCATGACTTACCTCCCTTCTCACCTTCATCATGACTTACCTCCCTTCTCCCCTTAATCATGACTTACCTCCCTTCTCCCATTAATCATGACTTACCTCCCTTCTCCCCTTCATCATGACTTACCTTCCTTCTCCCCTTCCTCATGACTTACACCCCTATTCCCTTCATCATGACTTACCTCTCTTCTCCCCTTCATCATGACTTACCTCCCTTCTCCCCTTCATCATGACTTACCTCCCTTCTCCCCTTCATCATGACTTACCTCCCTTCTCCCCTTCATCATGACTTACCTCTCTTCTCCCCTTCATCATGACTTACCTCCCTTCTCCCCTTCATCATGACTTACCTCCCTTCTCCCCTTCATCATGACTTACCTCCCTACTGCTGATTTTTTGAAGTAGACATTCATCTGGAGTCCCTGTCAGGGACAACACACGGCTAAGCTGGTCTATATCTGTACCGAGGTCAAGGACATCACTTCCCTTCATTTTGAGGCCTATTTATCATATTCCTTTTTTTCTTAATTTTTATACAGGCTACATACATGTTTATTGTGTAAGGATTTAAGGCTACATACATGATTATTGTGTAAGGATTTAAGGCTACATACATGTTTATTGTGTAAGGATTTAAGGCTACATACATGTTTATTGTGTAAGGATTTAAGGTTACATACATGTTTATTGTGTAAGGATTTAAGGCTACATACATGTTTATTGTGTAAGGATTTAAGGCTACATACATGTTTATTGTGTAAGGATTTAAGGCTACATACATGTTTATTGTGTAAGGATTTAAGGCTACATACATGTTTATTGTGTAAGGATTTAAGGCTACATACATGTTTATTGTGTAAGGATTTAAGGCTACATACATGTTTATTGTGTAAGGATTTAAGGCTACATACATGTTTATTGTGTAAGGATTTAAGGCTACATACATGTTTATTGTGTAAGGATTTAAGGCTACATACATGTTTATTGTGAAAGGATTTAAGGCTACATACATGTTTATTCTGTAAGGATTTATCTTCAGTATATTCTACTGTGTTTCTGCTCTTATTTTATCTATTTTGTTGTTTTTTAGAAAAGAATGTTGACATGTACTGGTATTTTAACTGGTGAAGAGTCGCTGGTAGTATGATGGTTAAAGGTAAGAAAGGATACGATCTGTTCCTGGGAAGAGTGGCTTACTGGTCAACATTTCTGCCATAATACACCCAACAGACCAAATGTCCACTGAAAACATACATAATTTTTTCACAATGAATTTTTACATACATAATTTTTTCACAATGAATTTTTAACAAAAATTCAATTAAACTTGATAGAAGAGTTCCATTCTAGCAACAGAATTAATCAGAGCACAAAATGATGTTTAAATTCTACTACAATCCATTGCATTACTTTCTCCAAGCCTGAATGTCTCCCAGTTACTTCTCCTTAGTACCTGTTTGAGAATAATGCATCCAGTTGAGGACAATTTCAGGCGCCCTGTACCAGCGAGTGGCGACATATCCAGTCATCTCCGACTCTGTGTGACGTGCCAGACCAAAATCCAAAATCTGAAGAACAGTAGCCCCGGTAAATATAACAGAATATATAACATTATTGTATTGTAGTTCATACAGCCCTAGGTGACACAACAATGTCAATATTTAGATATTTCTTATTAACAAAATACATATATCTAGTTCTTTTACAAGCTTTGTACACTGAAGAACTTCATGTGGATGTGACTTCACAATGTAGATAAATGATGATGTACAGATACAACGGTATGTATTTCTTTTCACAGAAAACTTCAGTCAGAATTTCAGGAAGTGTTTCAAATCCAAATCAATAGGGTGGAAAGTAATCTCCAAGGTAAATCATTGCAGGACATAGTCTATTTAAACGGAGGTGAATTCTATGATATCATCCCGAGGGTCTAGCTAGTGGAGAGGGATGTCATATCTATAATGTACACCCTTAACATGTGTTTCTTTGAAAGGAATGCATCACCCTGCCCTTTGTAAAGCAGATAATTTCTGTAATGGAATCCCCAGGGATCTAAACACTTTAAGGAACCACTATATAATGAAAAATACTTGAACAAGTTAAGTCAATGAATTAGGAAATTATTTATGGTAACAATAACATGTCTGCTCTCCTACACAACTCTGACTTACTTTTAGCTCACAGTCTTCATTGACAGCAATATTGCTAGGCTTGAGATCCTGTAGACAGAAGTAGAACAGTGAAGACATTTACCACAAAGTACATTAATCTTACAGACAATGACAGCAATATTGCCTTGGTTTATGATAAGTTATATCCAACATCTGTCCCTAAATCTAAACAGTATCACAAGGCTTTACTTATATCAATCAAAGAAAAAATTCCACATTCTCCAGCTTTTGAAAATGAAAAATATTTACAAACAGAGAAAGTGAAAGCATTAAAATCAGATATCATTAAAAACATTCCAGACATAATATAAAAACAATATTTTTAGTGGGGATCAGTTTTCACTGATTTTGTGGGTATTTTTAAATCAAAAATCTGCAAACTGTTAAATAAGTATAAGCAGATTTATTGAGACGTCTACGAAAAAGGGATTTTTGAAAAAACCCTGAGAATTAAGTCTCATGAAAATTAACCATTATACAGTATGTCTTTTGCATGTTGTTACTTCATGAGTTCTTATGGTGAGAAAAATCAGGATATCAAAATATTTATAAATCAAGATGTGACTAAGCAACAGAAATCCTCGTGTGTGGAACCAAGAAGATGTTAGTAACTTTCTCGTGTTACTGACTGTGTTAAGGCAGTTCCTACAGCAGTAAGGCAAGACTCTCCAAATTTGGCCTTACTGATAATTGTGAATTTTTTAATAAGTTAAATGGCCATAACTCTGATAAAAAATCAACAGACCATAACCAGATCAGAACTGCATCTTTCCTATTACACAGCTACATTTACATCACAGTCTTAACAGATTAGTTAATGAGAAAAGTAGCGAAAGCAAAATAATCACCAAAAAAAAGCCAACGGTAGTATTACACATCCCCCGACTGAGAAATGACGTGGCATAATAATAACAAGAAATATATACACTGGAACTGTGGACACTAGCTGTCAATATGTTGGTACAATTTTTGTATAATGAAGTTTTAACATATCAGTTGTAATACACGGAAGTAAACATAAGGCTACATAATTATACATGTCCAACCATAACCTGATACAAAGTCTGGGGTTAAACTTGCAATAGATCTATCATTAATTCTACTGAACAACCAGGACTTACTGTCAGGTAAAACGGACATAAAGCCTGCTCAACAACGCCGCGTTCTATGAACTTCTAACATTAAGATTACTTACCCTGTGAATGATTCCTGCTGAATGTATGTACTGCAAAGAAACAAAATAAACATTATGCAAATTTCTATGGGGAGGGGGCCACAACATATAGTTCTCGATGAACAAGCCGTGGATACCAGTGTATACAGAGGACTCACTAGAAATCAAGGTATGTGTAGTAAAGGAGTAAGTTGAACACGGCAAGTTCTTGTTTAAATCTGTATTATGTCAGAGCGTTGTTTACACGTTTCGACTCTAGGTGAGCCGACATCTGAACAATAAGCAAATTTATACAAACATGAAAAGTTGTTTGTCAATCATGTAACAGGTAGATCTTTCTGAACACAAAATTATAAACAGTGCACCTCATATTAATGATAATATATTCAACATGTGTTCCAGCTTAAACCTGAAAACTGCAATTTTTATTTATTATAACAAAATAGTAAAAACAGCAATAAAAACTACTATAAAGAGCTGTTCTGTTTAAAATATCAAAGTCCCACTACATATATATGGAGAATTGGCCTGTGTGGTTACATAGAAGTTAGAGGCTAGTACCTTGAGTCCGCGGAGGATCTGGTAAACGAGGAACTGGACATGGTCATCACTGAGTCTCTGTGTCTTGATTATGTTGTTAAGGTCAGCTCCCATCAGGTGAGTGACCAGGTATCTGTAATAAACAAAAGGTCAATCACCTTGTTTACATCAACACACATCTACAAAGGTTATCTTAAACAGGTCTCCAATGATTTGTCTGGTCTACATGTGAAAGTGGACTCCCTAGACAGAACTAATGAAAACAGGATACAGAAATAGAAGTACAAAGTCTAAATCTTCAATCTAAAATTACATCAAATTACGTTGAATATAACATAAACCAATGGAAAATTCTCAACAATTTTGGACAAATGGAGAAGAAAGCAAAAAGATTCTTATCAGTTCTCAAAAAAAGAAGTTAAACATCCAAAATGAAAATATGAATGGCCGCTGTTAGCCATCTTGAATATCTCATTAAGCTCAAAATATGGTATGCACAATAAGGACTGATACTGTAAGCGTTCATGATATTCTGTATTGTAGGTGTTTAAAGCCCACCATTTGATATCATGTCATCAGTATCGGCATGAAGACAGAATGAACAGCTGTGTACATGTAGATAGAAAGATGAGGAGAAACTACAAGCAGGTATGATGTATACCGTCACTACTTCCCCTAAGTCTCCTTTGTACACCAATATGCTGTTTACATATACACTTATCCATGGTCTCATGAACGCCTGTTTGGGTGTGTATGCATGAAGATGCAGACATATAATATACTTAGCACTTCTTTAAAAGGTTTTGGGGGCCATTAATGAGTCCCATTCCCAACTGAAATGATTTCATAATTAAACCAAACTCCTGAAATTTTCAATTAACTCAAAATTCAAAATATTTAATTTCAAACCAAATTCATAAAATTCTGACTTTTTTTCCAGTTTTTTTTAGGCCAATGATGAGCCCCATTTTCTCATTCCAACAAACTACCTAGAATTTCGTTCTCATTTTACCAATTTTACAAAATAAGGCAGAAAGTCTCCATCCTATACCAGTGAAAAAAAGCCTTGTATCTACACGTATTCCTAGTGTCTACATGTATGCCTTGTGTCTATATGTATGCCTTGTGTCTACATGTATGCCTTGTGTTTACATGTATGCCTAGTGCTTATGTTACCTTAGTTTATAATATATTTATATACAGTCTGTAATATATTTTACTGTCATTAATGTTAAATATTCATATTACATTAATCATTTCTCATATTTACATATGCAATAGACAGACTTCAGACTATATTATACAACACGAGTAATTAACTGGAACCAGTTATTGTCCGTGGATTAAATATAAAAGTACTTACACATCATCAAAGTCTGCCAAGGAGGTCTGAGGTGTAAAAACATCCAGCAGTCCAATGATCTGTTAAACAACAAGATTGACTTTCATCATTCTAGTGATAATTTTCAATGCTCAATTGAGTTGTATTGGGAACACTCCTTCTTTTTCTGCATGCAAGTTGAAATGTATATGTATCACTTATTTAGGACTTACTATTTAGTACAGTATAGGTCAGACCTATATATATATATATATCACTTATTTAAGGACTTACTATATAGTACATATAGGTCAGACCTATATATGCATCACTTATTTAAGGACTTACTATATAGTACAGTATAGGTCAGACCTATATATATATATATCACTTATTTAAGGACTTACTATATAGTACAGTATAGGTCTATATAGACCTATATATATATATATGTATCACTTATTTAAGGACTTACTATATAGTACAGTATAGGTCAGACCTATATATGTATCACTTATTTAAGACTTATAGGTCAGACCTATATATGTATCACTTATTTAAGGACTTACTATATAGTACATATAGGTCAGACCTATATATGTATCACTTATTTAAGGACTTACTATATAGTACAGTATAGGTCAGACCTATATATGTATCACTTATTTAAGGACTTACTATATAGTACATATAGGTCAGACCTATATATGTATCACTTATTTAAGGACTTACTATATAGTACAGTATAGGTCAGACCTATATATATATATCACTTACTTAAGGACTTACTATATAGTGCATATAGGTCAGACCTATATATGTATCACTTATTTAAGGACTTACTAAGGTACAGTTAGCCTTTTCCAATTGAATGTGTATGTTTTATAAATTAAATGCCACACCTATATATGAACATTATTTGTAACTTCTGTTTTCTATGTAGATTATATAAGCCAGTGGGTATGACAACATTGTCTATTTATATATAAACTAGGTTACTAGATCACTATATATGTATATTACTGATCTATATATGTGATAAGCACTATATACATAGCATAGTTACAGATCTACTATATATGTACTTTTTATCTAGAAATGTGATCTCATTACAAGGAAGAATATATATAAATATATCACTGTTTTATAGATAAACTCTACTTAAGTAATGTGTTCCACTTATATTACCTATATAGGGTCACTGACTTACATATCTATAATTTTATATAATGCACTTGTTTTAAGGGTTTATGCATTTATTTTTTTTAAACTTTTTTTTTCCTTTATCAGTATAGGTGAGACCTATATATATATATATTCATCGCAAAAACAGACCTATATATATATATATATCACTTATTTAAGGACTTACTATATAGTACAGTATAGGTCAGACCTATATATGCATCACTTATTTAAGGACTTACTAAGGTACAGTATAGGTCAGACCTATATATGCATCACTTATTTAAGGACTTACTAAGGTACAGTATAGGTCAGACCTATATATGTATCACTTATTTAAGGACTTACTATATAGTACATATAGGTGAGACCTATATATATATATATATCACTTATTTAAGACTTACTATATAGTACAGTATAGGTCAGACCTATATATATATATATATCACTTATTTAAGGACTTACTATATAGTACAGTATAGGTCAGACCTATATATGTATCACTTATTTAAGGACTTACTATATAGTACATATAGGTCAGACCTATATATGCATCACTTATTTAAGGACTTACTAAGGTACAGTATAGGTCAGACCTATATATGCATCACTTATTTAAGGACTTACTAAGGTACAGTTAGCCTTTTCCAATTGAATGTGTATGTTTTATAAATTAAATGCCACACCTGAACATTATTTGTAACTTCTGTTTTCTATGTAGATTATGAAGCCAGTGGGTATGACAACATTGTCTATTTATATATAAACTAGGTTACTAGATCACTACATGTATATTACTGATCTGTGATAAGCACTCCATACACAGCATTGTTACAGATCTACATACATGTACTTTTTATCTAGAAATGTGATCTCATTACAAGGAAGAATATGAGAGTAAAATATCCTGTTTTATAGATAAACTCTACTTAAGTAATGTGTTCCACTTATATTACCAGGGACACTGACTTACATATCTAATAATTTTATATAATGCAGTTGTTTTTCAGGGTTTATGCATTTATTTTTTTTAAACTTTTTTTTTCCTTTATCAATTTATTCATCGCAAAAACAGTTTTTACAGTCAATCTGACTCATGAACAGTATAAGTCAAACAATAGGACCCTGTACAGTATAAGTCAAACAATAGGACCCTGTACAGTGTAAGTCAAACAACAGGACTCTGTACAGTATAAGTCAAACATCAGGACTCTGTACAGTGTAAGTCAAACAACAGGACTGTACAGTGTAAGTCAAACAACAGGACCCTGTACAGTATAAGTCAAACAACAGGACTCTGTACAGTGTAAGTCAAACAACAGGACTCTGTACAGTGTAAGTCAAGCAACAGGACTCTGTACAGTGTAAGTCAAACAACAGGACTTTGTACAGTGTAAGTCAAACAACAGAACTCTGTACAGTGTAAGTCAAACAACAGGACCCTGTACAGTATAAGTTAAACAACAGGATTCTGTACAGTGTAAGTCAAACAACAGGACTGTACAGTATAAGTCAAACAACAGGACTGTACAGTATAAGTCAAACAACAGGACTCTGTACAGTGTAAGTCAAACAACAGGACCCTGTACAGCATAAGTCAAACAACAGGACTCTGTACAGTATAAGTCAAACAACAGGACTCTGTACAGTATAAGTCAAACAACAGGACTGTACAGTATAAGTCAAACAATAGGACCCTGTACAGTATAAGTCAAACAACAGGACCCTGTACAGTGTAAGTCAAACAATAGGACCCTGTACAGTATAAGTCAAACAATAGGACCCTGTACAGTATAAGTCAAACAACAGGACTCTGTACAGTGTAAGTCAAACAACAGGACCCTGTACAGTGTAAGTCAAACAACAGGACTCTGTACAGTATAAGTCAAACAACAGGACTCTGTACAGTGTAAGTCAAACAACAGGACTCTGTACAGTGTAAGTCAAACAACAGGACTTTGTACAGTGTAAGTCAAACAACAGAACTCTGTACAGTGTAAGTCAAACAACAGGACCCTGTACAGTATAAGTTAAACAACAGGATTCTGTACAGTGTAAGTCAAACAACAGGACTGTACAGTATAAGTCAAACAACAGGACTCTGTACAGTGTAAGTCAAACAACAGGACTCTGTACAGTGTAAGTCAAATAACAGGATTCTGTACAGTGTAAGTCAAACAACAGGACCCTGTACAGCATAAGTCAAACAACAGGACTCTGTACAGTATAAGTCAAACAACAGGACTGTACAGTATAAGTCAAACAACAGGACTCTGTACAGTATAAGTCAAACAACAGGACTCTGTACAGTATAAGTCAAACAATAGGACCCTGTACAGTGTAAGTCAAACAACAGGACTTTGTACAGTGTAAGTCAAACAACAGAACTCTGTACAGTGTAAGTCAAACATCAGGACTCTGTACAGTGTAAGTCAAACAACAGGACTCTGTACAGTGTAAGTCAAACAACAGGACTCTGTACAGTATAAGTCAAACAATAGGACCCTGTACAGTATAAGTCAAACAATAGGACCCTGTACAGTGTAAGTCAAACAACAGGACTTTGTACAGTGTAAGTCAAACAACAGAACTCTGTACAGTGTAAGTCAAACAACAGGACCCTGTACAGTATAAGTTAAACAACAGGATTCTGTACAGTGTAAGTCAAACAACAGGATTCTGTACAGTGTAAGTCAAACAACAGGACTGTACAGTGTAAGTCAAACAACAGGACCCTGTACAGTGTAAGTCAAACAACAGGACTGTACAGTATAAGTCAAACAACAGGACTCTGTACAGTGTAAGTCAAACAACAGGACTCTGTACAGTATAAGTCAAACAATAGGACCCTGTACAGTATAAGTCAAACAATAGGACCCTGTACAGTGTAAGTCAAACAACAGGACTTTGTACAGTGTAAGTCAAACAACAGAACTCTGTACAGTATAAGTCAAACAATAGGACCCTGTACAGTATAAGTTAAACAACAGGATTCTGTACAGTGTAAGTCAAACAACAGGACTTTGTACAGTGTAAGTCAAACAACAGGACTCTGTACAGTGTAAGTCAAACAACAGGACCCTGTACAGTATAAGTTAAACAACAGGATTCTGTACAGTGTAAGTCAAACAACCGGACTGTACAGTATAAGTCAAACAACAGGACTCTGTACAGTGTAAGTCAAACAACAGGATTCTGTACAGTGTAAGTCAAACAACAGGATTCTGTACAGTGTAAGTCAAACAACAGGACCCTGTACAGCATAAGTCAAACAACAGGACTCTGTACAGTATAAGTCAAACAACAGGACTCTGTACAGTATAAGTCAAACAACAGGACTGTACAGTATAAGTCAAACAACAGGACTCTGTACAGTGTAAGTCAAACAACAGGACCCTGTACAGTGTAAGTCAAACAACAGTGTGAAAAACTTTTACACAGCATCAATGTATTTGTGGAGCATTGTGTTTTATATACATATATCACTCTCTTCATTTAACTGTAATGTTTAACAGATCAAACAGAGAGTAAGTCAGAGCGACAGGATTATGAAACTGATATCTTGTGGGGAGATATATCTCAGTTTTCCACCAATTTCTCTGAAAGTTGGTACATGTTATAACTATCATATGAAAATTTGTTTTCCTGAATCAACTGGGTTTTATAACAAGCTTATCAGATATCTTTATTGCTGTTTATTTGTTGCATTCAGCATTTCAATTTTGTCCAGAGATCTTTTCACAAGTTATGGTAGGCTTTTGAATATCTACGACATAAAGAGGTATTGTCCAGGACAACATTTTGATTTAATATTTATTGGAAAATTTAAACTGCTCTTCTTATTTTACAGTATTTCTCATCCAGAGATTTCTTTTATTTATTACCAATCTCTTTAAAATTTGGTGTCCTTTATGATCTACACATTTAGCGATGTTTCCAGACCTGGTGTACAGACTGGGTAGGGTTTGGCAGTGATATTGTAGCGATGTTTCCAGACCTGGTGTACAGACTGGGTAGGGTTTGGCAGTGATATTGTAGCGATGTTTCCAGACCTGGTGTACAGACCTGGTGTACAGACTGGGTGGGGTTTGGCAGTGATATTGTAGCGATGTTTCCAGACCTGCTGTACAGACTGGGTGGGTTTTGGCAGTGATATTGTAGCGATGTTTCCAGACCTGGTGTACAGACCTGGTGTACAGACTGGGTGGGGTTTGGCAGTGATATTGTAGCGATGTTTCCAGACCTGGTGTACAGACCTGGTGTACAGACTGGGTGTACAGACCTGGTGTACAGACCTGGTGTACAGACTGGGTGTACAGACTGGGTAGGGTTTGGCAGTGATATTGTCCTTTATTCTTTTTTTTTCATCTTTTTGATCTTCCAACTGATTTCTTTCAAACTTTGTAGGCTTTATAATAACACAAATTTGTTTTTCTCAGTGGCACTTTGATAAAACAACTGTTTGTTTCATTTCCTTATTTCTATTAATTTCAATACAAAAATGTATTTCTCTTTGGCAGTGAACAGGTATATATTGTCCCATCCTGTGGCACTCATATTATACACATTTACTAATCTGGCAGGTATCAAACATTTATATCAACATCTTACATGAAGATGAAAATAAAGTTTTTCCCCAATCTAGGGACTTCACAAAATTCTAAAAACAGCCTGTGATTTTGATATACGTCTATACAATGTTAGGAATACCTTATAGGTAATGAACGTAAGTCACATAACCTACATAATCAAGAACACCCCAATAACATGGTTCATTACTTAACTATGACTGTGAAGAAAATTCTCAGTTAAAAAAAAGTGATTTAGTTTCTTACACTGAATTTCAAAGGAATATCAATTAAAAAGATCATAACAGATCATTATGACAGCGTTAGTTTGACAGTCCTTGTAATATCTGATGGTTAAAAATAGACAGCCTTTTGAAAGAATTCATGTATTATATGAAGAGCTGCTTTAAAAATTTATGCAATACATTTGATACTAATAACGATATTTTCAGTAAATAGATAAATATGCAATTGATGATGGTTTTGGAATATTACAACTTTATATGGGAGAGTCCTCCTATACATTTAGGTCTTAGTCTACCTGTTGTAACAACACCTGTAAAAAGTTTAGGTCTTAGTCTACCTAATTGTCACAACACATGTAAAAAGTTTAGGTCTTAGTCTACCTGGTTGTCACAACACCTGTAAAAAGTTTAGGTCTTAGTCTACCTGGTTGTCACAACACCTGTAAAAAGTTTAGGTCTTAGTCTACCTGATTGTCACAACACCTGTAAAAAGTTTAGGTCTTAGTCTACCTGATTGTCACCTGTAAAAAATTTATATCTTAGTCTACCTAATTGTCACAACACCTGTAAAAAGTTTAGGTCTTAGTCTACCTGATTGTCACAACACCTGTAAAAAGTTTAGGTCTTAGTCTACCTGATTGTCACAACACCTGTAAAAAGTTTAGGTCTTAGTCTACCTGATTGTCACAACACCTGTAAAAAGTTTAGGTCTTAGTCCCTGATTGTCACCTGTAAAAATTGTCACAATTGTCACCTGTAAAACGTTTAGATTTTAATCTACCTGATTGTCACATCACCTGTAAAAAGTTTAGTCTTAGTCTATCTGGTTGTCACAACACCTGTAAAAAGTTTAGGTCTTAATCTACCTGGTTGTCAAAATACCTGTAAAAAGAACATTGCCATAAAGAGATATACCCCATGTCAAAAAAAAAAGAAGGAAAAACAGACACAAAAAATAACTTACATTTTCATGGTTCATGTGTTTGAGTAGTTTCAATTCTCGATATGTCCTCTTGGCATGGATTTTTGATTGGAAGGGACGTGCCAATTTTTTGATAGCACATTTTACATTGGTCTGTAAGTTGATAGCAGAGCTGAAAATAACAAAAAATAGTTACAATGATGGTGGTAATTTTGTTGTAACAGAGATGACTATCTATTTCAATGCCTGCACTAGGATTTGAACCTTTGACTTCTGGCTTATTAGTCTGTAGCTTAAATGATTGACTTTTCTCTAGCCAAGATGTAAGGTAACATATTCTCCATCCAATGGAGAACTTGTTCTCAAGTTTCAAAGGGTTACACAGACACAAGCAAGTATGTTGATCCATTTTATAATTTTTGACTTTGATGGACACACATGACTAATTTTGGTTGTGAGAATTCATAAGCTTTAGACGGTCTTCCTTTTCTCTTTGTATATAAGTCCAGTAAATTATGAAATGGATCAAGATCCTTGCTTGTCTTTAAATGTGTAGACCTGCTCTGGCTACACTGATACTACAAAGCAACATGACATTATTATTTTAATCTGTCAGGTCCAGAGAGAGGTCATAATATGAATATACTTGCTTAGATTTTAATTGATATCATCTGATGTATTATATTTAGTCACAGTACATTCGCAATTCAAAAGAAAATGATCTGGGCTAAAAGAATGGCCTAATCGCCGACATAGAAAGGAAACACAGTTTAAAGCAGAAGTTGTTACATTGATGAATGTTTAATAACTATTTTGAAGAAATATTATATTGTTATTGATTCTAATATGATCTAAGTAAGTAAATCTACTAACTAAGTAAGGGAGATAGTGATTCCTTTAACCCTGGGTCCATGTTTTAGACCCATCCTCGTAATGACCCAATTCAATAAACAACATAGCAAAAGGAAGTAGCATTTTTAAAATTGTTTCCAACGAAAAAGTAAAAACAGGTAGGGCAGCATTTTGATTTCGTGTAAATTAATGACGAAGTGTCTAGAAACTGATTACAATTAAACTCCTGTTTGTATAGTACAGGCACCTTGATTTGGTAAATAGCTATTCTGATTATCCTACCTTTATTAGGCCTAAATATTTTTTCCTACATGGCTGTGCCAACAATGTATGAAGCATGTCAGTTATTTCTGGGTTAGAAAAACATATTTAAAAAGTAAAAATACTTATCATGATAGTATTGCAATAGTCACTTGACTATCGCAATACAAAGTTTACGATCACAATAGTAATTTTACTATCACAATACTATCATGGAAGCTCTTTTGTCCTCAATAGCTACCACCTGAGCATAGAATATGATATATATAAAATGTTGAAACCTATAGAATAACACTGCTTTTTTGTGAAGCAATGTAGGTTTTTAACCGTGTTTACAGTGGAAATACAACATATTTTGAACATTACTAGGGAAAGTGACTGAGTGCATACAGCTAATGCAATGTCAAGTAGTTTCATCTGGAAAACATAAACTAAGATACATTTGAAAGAAAAACAATAAGTTGGTACAAAAGTTATGCATCTGTATGTCGATACACAGAAAAGCGATGTAACATTGGCAAATCGCCCACATCCGGTTTGGGTTGAGTTAAAATAATGCATGGTGATAAAGGTCATCAGTTTGTTTATCCAGCCATTCATGGTCTACCCCTTTAATTCATTTATTCGTTTTCAGCATACACAAAGAATACTCACACAACTTGTCCATATGCCCCTGAACCAACGGGTACTAAACTGGTGTACTTTTCAAGAACTTCCCAAAGTGTTTTGTTCAACTCGATCCGGTGAAAGCCCGACCGAACGGAGCCGCAAGACTGTTCGGCCATCAGGGACGCAGTTTGCATTCAGATAAACACTGATAACAATGAGTTAATATGTGGACACAGATCACAAAGAACTCCAATGCTGAAACAGCACAAACAACTAAATCCGTCAAACTTCCAAATTGTGGTGCAGAACTCACTCGCTGAAATTCCACAACCTGAACTTCCGGAATTTTATGAAGCGTGAAGCGTGTAAATGACATAGATTCAAAATAAGGTGCGTTCGGTTAGACAGTTTCACACTTGCGTTCCGCATAACAGAGCGAGGCTCTGTAATATAGAGCCAACATATTATGTAGTTACGATAAACATGAATATATATATATATATGTATATACATAGATACATAGATACATACATAATATTATCTCCACTTAAAAATATTTCTACTATTCAACTTTCAATAGCATTTTCACCACATTTATTAGCATAAATAAATGTGGTGAAACATGAAACATGCTAACCCATCAAAATTGAAGGCCAAATAATATGCCCACTACTTCGGCATGATTAATTTATTGATTTATTTCATTTCTTTTTATCTAACTCATACTATGCTTAATGAATATCGTTACTTTGATCAACCAAATGAAATTTTAAATTTGTTCCTGCCTCTGACTCTGATTTTGTCAAGGTGAGAATGTTAACAAATACATTGATTTAGACACAAAGAGCGAAACAAAGGTCACATTTCAAACACTGTATTATTCACTAATTTTATATACAAATTCAAAGTGTTTTACTTTACATTGCATGTTTCCCCTAATGAAAATTTTGTACTGAATGTTAATTTTCATACTCATGTATCATTTGTTTTTATCGTTTTCCATTTACATTTCACATTTATACTCTATAGTTATTTTTTGTCGCTGATGTTGTTGATTGTTAAAAATAGATTTGTCACTCAGAACCACTCACCACTCATCGTGCAATATAAAGACCTATTATGGTGACCTTCACCCGCTGTCACTCAGAACCAATCACAATTCACTGTGTGATACAGAAACACCTGTGTGCTCGTACGGTGACCTTCACCCGCTGTCACTCAGAACCAATCACAATTCACTGTGTGATCAGTTAGGTCCAATCACAATTCCATGTGTGATACAGAAACATCTGTGTACTCGCACGGTGATCTTCACCCGCTGTCAGTTAGGTCCAATCACAATTCCATGTGTGATACAGAAACATCTGTGTACTCGCTCGGTGACCTTCACCCGCTGTCAGTTTTGTCAAATCACAATTCACTGTGTGATACAGAAACACCTGTGTGCTCGTACACACTGTCAGTCTTGCCTTCATACACTTTGTTATATAGAAACCTCGCATGGTAAACACCACAGGTAATGGCCCTATGAACACCTATTGGCTAACTTCATTTACTGTTCTAATCGAAAACTGCTATCTCCGAACTGTGTCAACCAAAAAACTGATTTTTGTTTTTGACAGTGCGAAAATTATAATACAGTCTACTTGACTATTTCAAAATCATTTTAAAAGAAAAAAAACTGACTATGACAGTGTTTTTCATGGCAAAACTTTATTATTCAACAATGCAGTAGACGTTGTAAATATTCGAATGCACCGAAATCAAAACGTTTTTAAGGTCTCGACTTAAATTGGGAAATTGAGTGGGTGGAGTGCCGTACATTGGTCACGAAATGTAGTTATAACAGTACTGGTTACAATAGGGTAGAATTTAATACTTGATGAGTAATCTTCCGGATTTCCCTAGTTCTATTTTTAGTTCTTTGTACATCGACGTAACGACATGGTTGTGTTGATAATTTTGCAACAAATAAATATGGATAGATTTTCAACAGTTCTTATTAGGAGATATCACATTAAATGAATTGAAAGCTCTGAAGGAAGGGCCCCAATTAACCGAGTTTCAGACTGATTTACATGTAAGTGAAACAGCTCAAAATGACACCAGATTAGTCCCAACACCACAGGAATCTTAAGTAAAACAGAAATATATCTACAAGCGTGAAGGGTGAGAACACCAAACAACAACTCACTACAAGTCGTGTTCGATAAATATAAAAACGTGAAGATAATATTGTTAGTTTAAATTGCCAATTTATGGGTGCTGAAACCGTTCGTCAAACAATGACCAGTACGCATTCAACTGGACTACGATATCTCTGTGGGAAGCACCATTGGCAGATCCAGAATGGGGGCACCTGGCGCTCCCAACTTCAATTTGGTCAAGAATGAAAACTTCTTCATCACACATGCTTATAAGTCGACAGTATTTCAATCACAAATGAACTGGCGACTTTGTATGTCAGTATAAAAATCAAATCATACATTTTGTATTACTACCTAAAGGTGTTTTCATTCTTGTAAGTTCGAAAGAACAGACTCGAAGAGAGGGGGTATTGTGTCATTTATAAGCAGTGCACATTTCTTTCTTTCTTTCTCTCTTTCTTTCTTTCTTTATTTATTTATTTATGGCAATAACTTATAATTTGAAATACACACCACACGTTACCTTTCCAATCAGTCTGAAAGCTAAACACGGATAAGAAAGCATCAACGAAAATCTAGACATCTAATATTTGGTCAGAGAATTTGTCGAAATCCAAGACGCATGTGTTCTTTAGACATTTTTTTGTTACTTTTATATTGTTTTCTAAACTGATAATTTAACACCAGGTATCAAAACGACACACATACATTTACGAAAATTGTGGAAAGGGGTCCCTCCATTTCTTCCGAGAAATGGCGACAATAAGCCTTTTCAGTGAAAGACCAGGAAGCTTATCTTAGAAGTGGCACAGTCTATGAATATGTACAGCTACGGACAGGTGGAAATCTGTAAATAACAATGAGAGATTTTGAAGGATATTATAGGCAGACGACATACTTCCGCACGCGTAGCTTCCTCTACGCAAATACCTGCCACGTATTTGCAAAACCATCCTGATTTTTTACAATCCCGGTTGGCTATATATCTGGTCTAAAACAAAGCCCAAATATCTGTCACTCTTCGCCATGCACAGTACTTCACTTCTTTGTATATAGAAATGTAAACCAAACAAAATCCGGGAAAATGTGTGAATTGGAGTCGGAAACTATACAGAGCCCTCTCTTACCCGAAATCGCCCACTTAATCCAAAATCCTGTGTGTCCCCTTGAACTCGAAATCTTGTGCACTCCCGAACCAGAAATCCTATACGGAGTGATATCAGAAATCAAGAATCATTAAGACGATAGATAGTGACACTGGAATGTTCTATATTACATAGGGAACGTCTAATTACTATAGTACCTGACAGTAGCATAATATCAGGTAAAATCTATCTATTGTACGAGTATAGAGGATTGCTTGTGAAATAAACTTCGATTTAATTTAATCTGACTGTTTATCCGTTTGAGAACTGAAATCATTTATAGGTCTACCAAAGACTCAGTTCCGGCTAGCGCACCGTGTCTTCCCTTTATACGGTTAAAAAAAGACTCATTCAAAGTCATCACATATTTTAAGTATTTTTTAACCTAAAATTGCTGGCTAAAGTAAACTGAGCAAAATGTTTTGGTTGGATCCCGACTAAACATTGATGACACTCCTCCCCACATCCAAAGTAAACAGCAAGGTCTTATCACCAAGTTAAGGTCAATTAAAACACCAGGTCACACAGGGTCAAGGTAGATATAAAACTATAATGGTGTCCCATCAAGGTCACTCAAAAGAACAGGTCATACAGGGTCACGGTAGATATAAACCTATAATGGTGTCCCATCAAGGTCACTCAAAACAATAGGTCATACAAGGTCACGGTAGATATATAATGGTACTCCAGTAAAGCCAGTGAAAAAAAATTGAAACAAAATCCATCAAGGTCAATCCGTACAAGTACTTTTTAATTGTTTGCCCTTAACTTGTTATAACGAAGGTTTTTTTTAATCTTTTGAATGTTTACAGGCCTTTGACCAAAACATTATTTAGATCTAAGTTTTACATTACAGCGGTAACTTTGGTACAAATTGGCAAAAATGTAATGATGTTCAGATGAAATACATTTAATGATAATCTATAGTATCTCCAGCGTACATGACACACATATTGCATTTACAAATGTATCGGTGTAAATTTAACTCATAGATAACGTAATTGTGTCATTTTACTGTTTTCCGAAAACATCAAGTTTACAGAAATTTTTCATCAATCTCATTTTGAGATCGTTAGCTACATCAGCATCAACAAGACAAGAGTTATGTCCCCTAATACATATACCTGGACAACAGATGGCGCTAATTTGAAAGGTGAGTAATTGTAATTTCGATACGTTTACCGCCATTGTGAGGTTTTCCACGTCTACAGGTAAATGTCATTGATAACAACCCTGTCATAACGTATTGCACGGTCTGTTAGTTTGAAATCAATCTCCGAACCCATGACCTGTATATCGCTGTATTCTCCTTACACAGCGACGTCTCAGGTCTCTGCCTATATTTTATAGCTAGCTATAGCTGTCGTGCGTACATGTATATAGGCCGTCAATTTTGTGGGGTGATTTTCAGAATAACTAAATAAATGTAACATTATATTCTCTGAGTAAACATTATTTGACATAAGTAAGTAAATAAACCAATAAACAAAAGAACAATTAGGAATGACACTGGCCCACATCAAAGAATATATTTTCTAGACTTTGTGGAAATTCTAATTACGATATTTTTTTATACCTTTGGGAATAATTTTTCTTTTTAGTGGTTCTGTTCTGTGTTTATATTATGTTAACATTAATGTTGTGATATTGGCGTGTGGTACACTGGGTAAGATCAAGGTTATAGCCCAAGGTCATGTAAATAAAATTCTACAAGTGTTGAACAAGTGATAAAAATTGCCCAGTATGGTTGTAACAGGGACGTATAACACAGAAGGATAAGAGAACGCCTGTATCATTATGATTTTTTAATTGATTGTGCTAACTTTTGTGACAATAATTTCTGCTAACTTTTGATAGTTATAAAACAAAATGCATGGATAACTAAAAATCACAATGTTGTATACCACTTTCAGCCCGACATATGAAGAAAATCATCTCTAATCAGAGGGCATTATATAGCTAAGTCATTTTATAATCAACTTGATTAAGTTTTAAGATGTGTCACTTACGTTTGTAAGTATCATTTATGTAACATAAATGAGCTTCACTTCTCACTGGTTGATAAAGTGGCTCACGTCAGGCCAGTCGGTGCTAAGTCCACACTTACTACAGCATAGAAGTGTTAGGGGCATGTGTAAGATTACAACAGTAAGACGTGGGAACTTCGATGACTTCAGAAGTCAATAAACAAACACAAAAGCTAACAGAGAAGTCACCACTGGGCCAACGGTAAGACAAGGGGACTTCGATGACTTCACGGCTCAATAAACAAACACAAAAGCTAAGATTAGAGAAGTCACCAATGAACCTATTCACTTCTCCCAGTATAAGTCGCCACTGGACCTATTTACTTACCTCTCTGTAAGTCACCACTGGGCCTATTTACTTATCCCTCTATAAGTCACCACTGGGCCTATTTACTTATCTCTCGATAAGTCAGCACTGGGCCTATTTACTTACCACTCTATAAGTCAGCACTGGGCCTATTTACTTACCACTCTATAAGTCAGCACTGGGCCTATTTACTTATCCCTCTATAAGTCACCACTGGGCCTATTTACTTATCTCTCTATAAGTCACCACTGGGCCTATTTACTTATCTCTCTATAAGTCACCACTGGGCCTATTTACTTACCACTCTATAAGTCACCACTGGGCCTATTTACTTACTACTCTATAAGTCACCACTGGGCCTTTTTACCTATCCCTGTATATAATATGTTACAGGACTGCGATTAACTTGCTATGGTTTAGTGTAAAAACACAGTATATAGTTATCACAGTGAAATACATAATATGGGACAAAGAACAGGGATGTTATTAAATGGGTCAGAGCTATCATAAAATTAATATGTAAATAATAAGTAAGACCCTGACACACTGTATAGATACACTGTACAGTTGTAACTGTCAAGATCAAACATTTTTTAAAATGATATACGTTTGGGGTTATAATCCTGTGTCATCAGATTTTGAACCAGTGTCACTAATTTGCTTCTAAAGGAATAAAGATTATTATTTTCTGCAGTTTTTCTGTGAATTGTTGAAAGTATCTAAAAATAGCTTTAAATCTGCATATCAGCTAAAGTTTTATGATTTATATGAACAATTTGAAATCTTCTTTAATTTTTGAAATGTGATTTTATTTTATTAGGTTTAAAATTTTGATTGCAATACCAGTGACCTACATACTACTTAGGTCAATGCAGCAAATACATAGGTAGATATTTGGGATCTTAACTCCATATTCGTAGTCAATTAAATGTGGTAGGAAAAGCAGAGTTGATATCTCAATCCCTACAGTCCACTGTCACTCAGACCTTACTCTCCCTAACATCAGTGTGATCGGTTTATTATTTTACTATATATAATTATATATTATATTATTACATATATATTATATATCATTATATAATTCTTGTTTGGGGGGATCCTCTTGTTTACTGTTTTTTCAGTTATTTGTAACACTTTAAGCTTTGTTATATATTATATCTATATTATACAAGTTGAAATTGTCTATCTAATATTATGACCTGTTTGTCTATCTAATATTATGACCTGTGTGTCTATCTAATATTATGTTTTGTCTATCTAATATTATGACCTGTGTGTCTATCTAATATTAGGATTTGTGTGTCTATCTAATATTAGAATTTGTGTGTCTGTCTAATATTATGTTTTGTCTATCTAATATTATGTTTTGTCTATCTAATATTAGGATTTGTGTGTCTATCTAATATTAGAATTTGTGTGTCTGTCTAATATTATGTTTTGTCTATCTAATATTATGATTTGTGTGTCTATCTAATATTAGGATTTGTGTGTCTATCTAATATTAGGATTTGTGTGTCTGTCTAATATCATGTTTTGTCCATCTAATATTATGACCTGTGTCTATCTAATATTATGACCTGTGTGTCTATCTAATATTATGTTTTGTCTATCTAATATTATGACCTGTGTGTCTATCTAATATTAGGATTTGTGTGTCTGTCTAATATTATGTTGTGTGTCTCTCTAATATTATGTTTTGTCTATCTAATATTATGACCTGTATGTCTATCTAATATTAGGATTTGTGTGTCTGTCTAATATTATGTTTTGTCTGTCTAATATTATGTTTTGTCTATCTAATATTATGACCTGTGTGTCGTATTATCTAATATTATGATTTGTGTGTCTGTCTAATATTATGTTTTGTCTGTCTAATATGTTTTGTCTATCTAATATTATGACCTGTGTGTCTAATATTATGATTTGTGTGTCTATCTAATATTATGATTTGTGTGTCTATCTAATATTATGTTTTGTCTGTCTAATATTATGTTTTGTCTATCTAATATTATGACCTGTGTGTCTATCTGATATTAGGATTTGTGTGTCTATCTAATATTAGGATTTGTGTGTCTGTCTAATATTATGTTTTGTCTGTCTAATATTATGATTTGTGTGTCTGTCTAATATTATGTTTTGTCTATCTAATATTATGACCTGTTTGTCTATCAAATATTATGATTTGTGTGTCTGTCTAATATTATATTTTGTCTATCTAATATTATGACCTGTGTGTCTATCTGATATTAGGACTTGTGTGTCTATCTAATATTATGATTTGTGTGTCTGTCTAATATTATGTTTTGTCTATCTAATATTATGACCTGTGTGTCTATCTGATATTAGGATTTGTGTGTCTGTCTAATATTATGTTTTGTCTATCTAATATTATGACCTGTTTGTCTATCTAATATTATGACCTGTTTGTCTATCTAATATTATGATTTGTGTGTCTGTCTAATATTATGTTTTGTCTATCTAATATTATGACCTGTTTGTCTATCAAATATTATGATTTGTGTGTCTGTCTAATATTATGTTTTGTCTATCTAATATTATGACCTGTGTGTCTATCTGATATTAGGATTTGTGTGTCTATCTGATATTAGGATTTGTGTGTCTGTCTAATATTATGATTTGTGTATCTGATATTATGACCTGTTTGTCTATCTAATATTATGACCTTTTTGTCTATCTAATATTATGATTTGTGTGTCTATCTAATATTATGATTTGTGTGTCTATCTAATATTATGATTTGTGTGTCTATCTAATATTAGGATTTGTGTGTCTAATATTATGATTTGTGTGTCTAATATTATGTTTGTGTGTCTGATATTATGTTTTGTGTGTAATAATGTTTTGTTTGTCGTGCTGACAAGAACTTCTGAAGATAACAATTCAGTGTATAGTAATTATATCAGAAATCACTCTCTTTCTAAATTGACAGTTGACACCATGCAGCCATGTTTTGGATAGTTGTTCTGATGTCGTTTGGTCCAGTTTGGGGACAAACCTACGGTAAGATAATTTTAAAGAACTAGTAAATATTATAATAATCTGGTAATTGTGTGTTTGACATGCTGTTTTATAATGTTTCATGAAAATTTTCTGTGATGTTAGCTATTAATTAACTATGCTTTTGCTAGGTGTGTATTTTTTTTTTCAATTTTTCTGTAGTTGTAAAATGTGTCATGGCTCTATCTCTGCTCATGACAAGTTGTGTTTCTTTAGAAAGCTGAAGATACAGTTTGTTCCATATGTGCTTTCCTTGGTTTTAAGATCACAGGGAAATGTACACTTTACCTGAGTTGCTCTGGATAGCATGCAGTGGACCTCTTGTATGTTGTTCAGTGTGGCAGCTACTACAAGGAGACCCAGCCTCAAAATGTCAATCACTGTTCAAGGGGAGATAAACCTGGCAAACAAACATCCCTATGCTGTATGTGTATAACTATATATTGATTTTTATCTGTTCGAGATTCATCCTACTATGAACGTCATGATCAAGTCTGCACACTAATTAAAGTTGCTCATAAATACTACACATAAATATATATAGGATTGGAAGTTTTAGAGAAGGTTGCTTTAAAAATAAGTTTTATTGTTCATGTGTGTTTTGCCTATTGAATTTTCAGATTGTCCACAACACTGGTTTGATTACGGGGACCACTGTTATCATTTTTCCTTCATCCCTCGCAAGACGTATTATGAGGCTAAGGAGCTGTGTGAGGTAATTTATACAAAACCTATGTTTTAGTTAAGGAGTTAAGTTATGAGAGGTAATTTATACAAAACCTATGTTTTAGTTAAGGAGTTAAGTTATGAGAGGTAATTTATACAAAAAATATATTAAGGTTAAGGAATTATGTGAGGTTATCTATACAAAATGTATGTCAAGGTTAAGGAGTTATGTAAGGTTATTTATAAAAAACATATGTTTAGGTTAAAGAGTTAAGTAAGGTTATTTGTACAAAACATATATTTAGGTTAAGGAGTTATGTAAGGTTATTTATACAAAACATATATTTAGGTTAAGGAGTTATGTAAGGTTATTTATACAAAACATATATTTAGGTTAAGGAGTTATGTGAGGTAATTTAATGCTTCTTACTCCCCTACCCAGTTTTCAGGTTAAAATGTTGATGATGAGTATTGCTACTATATAAAAGGACATTTCATACTTGTACCTGTGAATCATATTTCATGTGTTTAGTAAAAATAGCCTGGATGATTTATTTAAGTTTCTGGAGTAATACTGTTTGCTCTTTTAACTTTCTGTATTCTGCTATAAACAGCATCCGAGTGTGCAGCAGGGCTAGTTTTTAGCGATTATTTCTATTTGATCCACGTATAAGACACGCGGGGATATAAGCTACACCCTTCTTTACGATGTTACAACCATTATGTTGACCAAAGTTTGTATATACAACAGACAACGGAAAGCAATTTATCAAGATTGTCAGTGAATATTTAACATAAGTTTGCAAATGAATTATACAAATAATCCTTTATTTTATCGCTGTATTTCAAAAACCGTTAAATGACAAATATTGAACTTGTTTGGCTTTAGTCCTTCACAGTTTGTCTATGCACAGATATAGGGCCTGATATTATGAACGGTTTACTAAACAATCTTTTCATTGGTGTCTGTACTGTTAAATACTAGTGAAGACCCTTCCCTGCATGCTGACAAAATTCATGTAGTCCCAAATTATTTCTTGTAAGTTACACTAAGCCATTCTTATTGTAAAGAATCATGGCGGTTGTTAGATACTTTTGTGATTGTTACCAATAGTTATCTCCCTTCTTAATCACAGGATTATGGGGCTGCTTTATTGAGTGTGGAGACCACGTCAGAGGATGTCTTCATCAAGAACTGGCTCAGTCAGAGAGATCAGTCAAGGTAAGTACATTAGGTAGGGGATGTTGTGAACATAAAACATATGATTATTATGTTGAGTGTACGCTTGTGAAAGTTAAAAGAGGAAGTTTCTCTGATTACTCCAACACCAAGTCACACATTAAAAGTTTAAGTATACTGTTTTTTCTTTTGTTTTGTTTTTTTTATTTTTTGTCCAACATAAAATATTGTACATGTTTGATTATATATTGAGAATTGTGTTCAAACTCGAACCCAATATTCAATGTGTGTATACAAAAGGAAGACAGAGGTGGACGGACAAGGCAGGTGCTGCATGTGCTGAGTTTTGTGACATGTGGTCTTGTATTTTTCAGGAATCTGTGGTTCACAAGTGGTATTTACGTGGGAGATGGAGTGTTTATCTGGCAGAGTACTGGGGCACCGATTGATCACCAAAGTTACTGGATCAGTGCAAGTGACATGTTGAAGACAGGAACCAACGTCGTCTATGGATATTCTGGTAAATGCTTCTTCTAAGAAATCAGGTGATTTGTATATATAGCTTCTGTGAATATTTTCTGTACATCTTGTTAACATCATTGTTTGCACTGTGATTTTGTGAAGATCATTAAGTGTACAGAGACAGGTTAATATCATTGTCTGTACAGTGATTCTGTTAAGACATTGTGTGTACAGAGACTGGTTTATATCATTGTCTGTACAGTGATTCTGTAAAGACATTGTGTGTACAGAGACTGGTTAATATCATTGTCTTCACAAACTCTGGTTAATATAATTGTCTGTACAGACTCTGGTTAATATCATTGTCCATACAGACTCTTGTTAATATCATTGTCTGTACAGACTCTGGTTAATATCATTATCTGTGCAGAGACTGGAAAATATCATTGTCTGTGCAGAGACTGGTAAATATCATTGTCTGTACAGACTCTTGTTAATATCATTGTCTACACAAACTCTTGTTAATATCATTGTCTACACAAACTCTTGTTAATATCATTGTCTGTTCAGACTCTGGTTAATATCATTGTCCATACAGACTCTTGTTAATATCATTGTCTACACAAACTCTTGTTAATATCATTGTCTGTTCAGACTGGTTAATATCATTGTCCATACAGACTCTTGTTAATATCATTATCTGTACAGACTCTGGTTAATATCATTATCTGTGCAGAGACTGGAAAATATCATTGTCTGCACAGACTCTGGTTAATATCATTATCTGTGCAGAGACTGGTAAATATCATTGTCTGTACAGACTCTTGTTAATATCATTGTCTACACAAACTCTGGTTAATATCATTGTACAGTGACTCAGGTAAGACATTGTGTGTACAGAGACTGGTTAATAACATTATCTGTACAGACTCTGGTTAATGTCATTATCTGTACAGACTGGTTAATATTATTGTCTACACAAACTCTGGTTAATATCATTGTGTGTACAGTGATTCTGTGAAGACATTGTGTGTACAGAGACTGGTTAATATCATTATCTGTACAGACTCTGGTTAATGTCATTATCTGTACAGACTGGTTAATATCATTATCTGTACAGACTGGTTAATATCATTGTCTACACAAACTCTGGGTAATATCATTGTTTGTACAGTGACTCAGGTAAGACATTGTGTGTACAGAAACTGGTTAATATAATAGTCTGTACTGTAACCAGTTGATTTTAATGTCTTTGCAGAATATCTGGTTATTATCATTGTCTGCACTGAAAGTCTGATAAATATCTTGGTGTGCTAAGTTTACTTAAAATTCCATTGATGTTACATTTATTATGAAAGGAATTTAATATGAGAGTGGACGTTGCTCATTTATAAATGGCTAATTCAGGAAGCAAACAAAGCTATGGATGGACAAGAACTGAAGGCAGTCATACTCTTCCTTTTATTTGTGAGATTCCAAAGAAGGAAGTGTACCGTATTATACAGGAGAAAAGAGAATTCTGTAAGTATGTTACAATGTGGACAAAGCTTTCCTATCCCCCATTGATCAGTTAAAGTTTAAGGATTTACTACCGATGAAGGGAAGGTGTGAACGACACACTTACTATAGTATTGAACAAAGTATTGATACTATTGTATTGAAGTATTCAAATAATCGAGTCAAGTATACAACGTCCTCTGTGATTGGTCGGGGGTGGAGTTTGGACAACCTGAATAGTTGATCTGACACCCAATTTGTTCCGGTAGGCGGAGTTATTGTACACTATCAGTTACATAACAATTACTAAGTAATCGCTGGACAAATGTCCGACGACGGCAACAGTACGCAAAATTTTCTTCGACGAAATTATGTCCGATACGAACGATATGGGGAATCCTGTTTTTGTACAAGGCGATGTGGTTGTGATGGATAATTGTGGATTCCATCACCATAGACAGGGAGAGCGCATTTTAAGAAATATGCTGAAAGAATATGGCGTGTCCCTGGTTTTTCAGCCGCATTATTCCACGGAATAAAACGTAACTGAATATGTATTCAATGTCATGAGACAGAGGCTTCGGGCAAATACCCGACTTGTGTCAGAATTTCTGGAACTTGCAGTAGTAAATGCTCTAGATATTCCGCCCAACCAACTTCAAAGTTTTTTCACATGTTGCGGATATGTATAATTTTCGATGGAAAGATAAAAAATAAAATAAAAAATATATGGGACCACAGAATTCCTTTATTTTTTAATGCAGTATGAATTATCGGCATATATCAGGAGGTCCCAGGTAATTCGTAATTCTTTGTTACATATAATAGAGCTTGGGCTTACCCCGAAATACCCCTTTCAAAAAAATAAATAAATAAATAAAACTAGTACAGAATGACTATATGACTATATTCACTGTTAAGATGTTATGAATTCTCCGGTCCCAGTGATCTAACCTGTTGATATATATTTTGTACGTAAATTAGTTTAGTACTGAGTAACTTTCGTTTTCTCGTTGTACCATCGATGGAAAAGCAAGGTATAATTGGGTGTAGAACGAAAAAAATGGGACAACCCAATTAGGTCTGATCTGAAGCCACCTGTGACTTGGACTCTTCCAATTAACCTCTCGCGACAGTCGAGTGTTTGTAAAATGCCTGCACAGTATTTTTTCACCTGGCTCCACCCACAATCGATCTAGACTTGGCTCTGCCAATCAGAGAGCTTGTTGCATAAATTTTAGGAATTTGATTGGTGAAGTACTTCAGTACAATACTATCAATACTTTGTTCAGTACTATAGTACTTGAAACGTTCACACCTTCCCTTCATCGGTAGTAAAGTAAAAAAAAATCCAGTTATTACCAAGTATTACAAAGTGACTCCCAGCATACCTTCATCGACTTCAAAGTGATAAACAACGGTATGGGAGTTACTTCTTCAACAATATTCTCACTTGAGTTTAGAGTATATTTGATAGATTTACAGAAGTGTATACCCACATCATCAGCTCTAGAACATCAAGCATGTAGTTAGCAATGATTTTAGGTACAAAAACCCCTTATTTAGAGGTTTCGGAGAATACTGCCTTCTACAGGTTTCCCTACAAAAAACAAATAATTGCCAGAAAATGCAACACAGATTAGATGGGGACTGAAGTCACTGACATTTGTGTTTTATAACTTATGAAATGTTTGATTTTTGGAAACTTTCCACTTTTCCATGGCTATACCCAAACCTTGCAAATAGAATTCAATGAATAAAACTTCATATCAAAGAACCATGTACTTTTGTTTGGTATAAATATCAGTTTTTACTGATGTCTTGGACTTAAGTCGTGTAAAAAGTATCACATTTTATGTTATACAGTGCTCCAGACAAGCTGCATGATAAGTAGTCCACACTGAGAATGTAATCAATTAGTATGGACAAAATCATTTCTATCTCCAAGGTTGGAAAAGTAAGGGCACCTTACCCATAGTATAAAGAATTATCTGGAGTGCTGAGTCTAGAGATAATTTGACTTAAAGATAAATAATGTAATTCAGGAAAATTGACTGGATATTTACATCATCAATACTTCAATGGCAAAATCAAATTTGAATGTCTATTTGATACTGTTTTTAGCGTATGGAACTTCTCATGTGAACCCTAATTTAGTACCACGGGGCCCGGAGATGTATATTGACCCCATGGACACAGAGATACTGGGGGTGACACGCCTTGTGTTTATGGAGTGTGCAGCGAAGGGGCAGCCCCAGCCAACCTATATATGGACAAGGAACTCCTCACAAATTGTGATCACTGCCGCTACCGACACCCGTTACACGCTGACAAATGGCCGCCTGTCAATCCAGGATCCTACTGAAGGCAAAGATGCAGGACAGTATCAATGTGAAGCTGAAAATCGATTTGGAAAAATAATCTCCGCTCCCGTACTCCTCTCATTTGCGTGTATGTATACTTCAGTATTGTTTTGATAAAAATCAGGTAAGTGTGTGTTGATGATATAGTTAGGTAGTATACAATCCTTTTTTTATTTTGAATACAAATTAAATACAGAGTATGGTTTTAATAGTCATATAAAGAGATTGACTTGAAATTGTTATCAAAAACTACAGTCCCAATAACTGGTCAAGACCTCTTTAGATTTATAAACTTTAATGACTGTTTCAGCTGTTGTTTTATTAAAAATAATCATTGTCATTGATCTTGATGTGTTTTGATTCCAGTTTTAGGAGGATTCACTAATGTGGACAGAGCTCCAACTCGCCCAGATGAATTTAGTGGTGCGATATTGGAATGTCCTGCAATTCAGAGTCGCTCCAAAGTGGGTTAGTGATGCAATTTTCAATATATTTATCTCCCTTTCAAAGAGTGTTTTGTTGCTGTGTGTGACTGATTACCATGTTTTTCAGCATTTTCTTAGCCTCATCATTTACAGATGGTTTTTGGAGTTCAGATAAGAATATGTTGAGCAAATTCATCACACAAAAATTATGTAAATCAATGTACAGGTCACCTTCACAATTTGCAGAAATATTTGTCTCCTAAATGTTGCTAGCACTGAAGCACTAAAGTCACTGGGATATCTCCATTCGACTGTAAACAATAAGGCTTTGTTACATTAATTATTAACCATGAGGTTTAAAAATGTTATTGCTTTTCTGATGATATCTGAAAATATCTTTATTGCTGATGTCAGCGCATTAGATTTGACATATTCTGTAAAGATAATGATATTTTTGTTTGTTAGGCATCATGTACCAGTGGAAAAGAGAACGAGAATTTATCATCACAGATCTCAGTCCATACATGTTTATATCACGTGACGGGAAACTTTACTTCTCTGAGGTGACACGTAGTGATAACGGGGACTACTACTGTATTGCTACCCTTGCTAGTCCAAGTGAATCTCATAACTATGTAGGGTCAGCTCAAGTTCCCAGTCGTATCAGCAGGGAGATAAATTTGGATGTGATACCTCAACGTAAGTCTAGAGTGACAATAAGGTAATCTCTTAACTTTGTAGACTTTGTTACCTCCAATACCTCCATTCTTACATTTGCATTATAACATGAACATTCATACCCTGCGCCACTAGTTATACCTCCAGTCATTTACCTCTTACAGTTGTCTCCCCTGTCCACTAGTTATACCTCCAGTCACATTTACCTCACACAGTTTTCTCCTCTGCCCACTAGTTATACCTCCAGTCATTTACCTCTCACAGTTTTCTCCCCTGCCCACTAGTTATACCTCCAGTCATTTACCTCACACAGTTTTCTCCCCTGCCCACTAGTTGTACCTTCAGTCACATTTACCACTCACAGTTGTCTCCCCTGTCCACCAATTATACCTCCAGTCACATTTACCTCACACAGTTTTCTCCCCTGCCCACTAGTTATACCTCCAGTCACATTTACCACTCACAGTTGTCTCCCCTGTCCACTAGTTATATCTCCAGTCACCTTTACCACTCACAGTTGCCTCCCCCTGTCCACTAGTTATACCTCCAGTCACATTTACCACTCACAGTTGCCTCCCTCTGTCCACTTGTTGTACCTCCACCACCAGTCTTATCCTCCACCCTTACAGTCATACTCTATGTAACAGTTGTACCACAACCTCACAGTAGTATTTCGACGTCCAGTCACATTCGACTATCACAATTGTTTCCCCTACCTCCATATTATACGTCACCCCTACAGCTGTTCTTTCTTTCACAACCATCCGCAATCTTAAATATACCCAGTATCCTCAATGTTTTATCCTCACCAATCCAATCATACCTCCCCCCACAGTTGTTCCCCCTTGCCATTTTTATAAATTCCTTTTCCAGTGGACATATTTTACTATACTTACAGCAAGCCGAGAGTCAGCGGTACAGATCCAGGACAGCTTCATTCAGGTGTTTCCACGGATACCAATAGAAGGACAGACACTTGTGCTGGAGTGTTTTGCCTACGGCTCGTAAGTACATAACATAAACAGTACTGATCCTCATTAAAAGTTGGAACTGAAAATGATATATGGTATCAGTTCTGACCATCTGATCCTCTGGGAACCTTTTTGTAATTACCATAGGAATAGAAGCTCCAGCTATCATGATGCTTGACCTTGATCTTGTTAGGACATTGTAGAAAAATGATAATGATCTTCCTCTTAGACAAGTGAACAGAAAACTAAGTCATCAGGTCTTATACAGACCAGTAAGAGAAAACTTTCAGGTTTTATTCAGGCCAGTAAGAGGAAATTTTCAGGTCTTATACAGACCAGTAAGAGAAAATTTTCAGGTCTTATACACGCCAGTAAGAGAAAATTTTCAGGTTTTATACAGGCCAGTAAGAGGAAATTTTCAGGTTTTATACAGGCCAGTAAGAGAAAATGTTCAGGTTTTATACAGGCCAGTAAGAGGAAATTTTCAGGTTTTATACAGGCCAATAAGAGAAAGTGTTCAGGTTTTATACAGGCCAGTAAGAGAAAATGTTCAGGTTTTATACAGGCCAGTAAGAGAAAATGTTCAGGTTTTATACAGGCCAGCAAGAGAAAATGTTCAGGTTTTATACAGGTCAGTAAGAGGAAATTTCAGGTCTTATACAGGCCAATAAGAGAAAATTTTCAGGTTTTATACAGGCCAGTAAGAGGAAATTTTCAGGTTTTATACAGGCCAGTAAGAGAAAATGTTCAGGTTTTATACAGGCCAGTAAGAGAAAATGTTCAGGTTTTATACAGGCCAGTAAGAGAAAATGTTCAGGTTTTATACAGGCCAGTAAGAGAAAATGTTCAGGTTTTATACAGGTCAGTAAGAGAAAATTTTCAGGTTTTATACAGGCCAGTAAGAGAAAATTTTCAGGTTTTATACAGGCCAGTAAGAGAAAATGTTCAGGTTTTATACAGGCCAGTAAGAGAAAATGTTCAGGTTTTATACAGGCCAGTAAGAGAAAATTTTCAGGTTTTATACAGGCCAGTAAGAGGAAATTTTCAGGTTTTATACAGGCCAGTAAGAGAAAATGTTCAGGTTTTATACAGGCCAGTAAGAGAAAATGTTCAGGTTTTATACATGTCAGTAAGAGAAAATTTTCAGGTTTTATACAGGTCAGTAAGAGAAAATGTTCAGGTTTTATACAGGCCAGTAAGAGAAAATGTTCAGGTTTTATACAGACCAGTAAGAGAAAACTTTCAGGTTTTATTCAGGCCAGTAAGAGGAAATTTTCAGGTCTTATACAGGCCAGTAAGAGAAAAAGAGAAAATTTTCAGGTTTTATACAGGCCAGTAAGAGAAAATTTTCAGGTTTTATACAGGCCAGTAAGAGGAAATTTTCAGGTTTTATACAGGCCAATAAGAGAAAATTTTCAGGTTTTATACAGGCCAGTAAGAGAAAATTTTCAGGTTTTATACAGGCCAGTAAGAGAAAATGTTCAGGTTTTATACAGGCCAGTAAGAGAAAATTTTCAGGTTTTATACAGGCCAGTAAGAGAAAATGTTCAGGTTTTATACAGGCCAGTAAGAGGAAATTTTCAGGTTTTATACAGGCCAGTAAGAGGAAATTTTCAGGTTTTATACAGGCCAGTAAGAGAAAATTTTCAGGTTTTATACAGGCCAGTAAGAGAAAATTTTCAGGTTTTATACAGGCCAGTAAGAGAAAATTTTCAGGTTTTATACAGGCCAGTAAGAGAAAATTTTCAGGTTTTATACAGGCCAGTAAGAGGAAATTTTCAGGTAAGAGGAAATTTTCAGGTTTTATACAGGCCAGTAAGAGGAAATTTTCAGGTTTTATACAGGCCAGTAAGAGGAAACTTTCAGGTTTTATACAGGCCAGTAAAAGGAAATTTTCTGTTTCAGTGGAAAGCTTCACTACTCCTGGACAACCCCTGGAAGACAAGATGGCCGCCTTTCTTTGTCGGACAGTAATCGTGTCCTCACCATTGCTGACTCCAGGCTGACAGATTCAGGAACTTACAGTTGTACAGTGAGGAGCAGAAAAACTGACACCTTTGGCATAAAGATGTTTACTCTTTCTATTGAAGGTGAAAGTCCAGTCGCACTGGGAACTATATTTTAGATAGCAGGAGAACCACAGAAGTTGCTGGTGTCACTGATTGGTTACCAGGAGAGCACCACAGTAGTCGCTGGTGTCACTGACTGGGTGGTTCATACCATCAAAGAAATCAGATTGGGAATGAAGAGTATCAAAAGTATTGATATAGTATGCAAAGTTTAATATTTTCAAGACAATTGAATTAATCAGGTACATAAGAGAAAGTAGATACAAAGAGAAGTCAGTGCCCTAACTTCTAAACTTCTCCTGGAGGGGTGATTCATGTACAGGATATTGAGATGTTGAAGGAAATGGAATAAAAAGATAAACTTAATTCATTGTTGAGTAACACTGTTTAATGGTGATGAAAATGTAAAACTTTTGTTTCTTTTGTAGCCAAACCATTCTTCACGCTTCCTCTGAAGAACCAGCACATGGATACTGGTAAACAATTGTCATGGCGATGTGAGGCAAGGTCTAAACCTCTTGCTGTTTATACGTGGTACAAGAACGGTCAGCCTCTCTTTAATAATTCTGATGTCATTGTCATACGCAACACCCTCGTCATACAAAGTCTTGAAAAGGTACACAGTGGCATGTACCAGTGTGCTGCTAGCAATATCCACGGCACCACCATGAGCTCTGCTCAACTCCGGGTCCTAGGTAAGTTTTGAGTCAGGCCATCTCATCAGTCCAGTGGGTTGCAATGAAAATCTGATTTAGCAACACCTGTGTAAAACAACTAAATGGCATGTTTTATCCATTTTCTGCTTATTGACTGTGCTGTTTGTTCTGTTTTTAAATTCCATGACAACTCTTTCGTGAAGGCAGATATACCTGCTTGATCTTTTTACAATATACAAAAATTCACATCTTTTTACTTGAAAATTCTCCAACGTAACTTAATAAATTGACAGAAAGTTATCGAAACCTCACAAATACCGTATAGTGGACTATTTTGCATTGCATTAATGTGGTCACAAAAATTTGATACATGCAAAAATTTTAATTCGTTATTATACCTGTATAATTCAAGAAAATTGCTAAAATTTGACCCATTAATATTACCATCGATATGATATATTGTATTTAAATTGGAACTTTGTTGTAGAATTCCCACCGACCTTCATCAAGTCTCCCCTACCATCCTCAATGATGGCAGCCAGGTTGGGAAATGTCACCATCGCCTGTAATCCTGAAGCGGCACCTTACCCAAAGTTTTTGTGGTTGTACAGAGGCACTGATATGAACCTACGTGAAGGTGATACAACGTCACGAATTCGCTTGCTTGCTAACGGCAACCTGCATCTTACACAGCTGAGTGATGCAGATGAAGGAACATACACTTGTAAAGTGGAAAATGATTTAGGTTCTGCCATGAGTTCCACACACCTGAAAATACTGAGTATGTGTAAAAATTTGTCCACCAATTAACTCTATAACTGTCCATCAGATACATTGATGTACCTATCACTGTCGCAGTTTGGCAGATTTGAAGTGTACATATGAAATGCTTCCCGACACTTTTCTGTCTAAGCATTAAGCTTAGTGTATTTAATGTGTCTTATCTCTGTAACCATCTAACCACAAACAACACTGCTATTTTGTCTGAATTTTAGATGATGCGTTCTTCAATCTCTTTTCTAGTTGGTCATCTAGGAAAATGATTGTTGACTTAAGATAGAATATTGTGTCATTTTTCATGACCTCTATTAGATGAAGTAAGTTAATGACTATCAAGTTCTGATTGGTCGAAATTGATTCATTGTCCTATATTGTACCGTTATTTAAGCTCTGTAAGCCAATTTCAGTTTTATTTTTTGAAACATCGTTTGAGACATGGGGGCTTGGGTACTTCTATAAACACCCACATTTCAATTAGCATTTGTCATACATCTGAATTAAAATAAATTTTACACTTGAAATTCTCTAAAACACTAACAAGGCCATGTTTTATGTTATGCTGATAGCAAGGACATTTATAAGTGTTCCTCCACTGAAGCGAGAAGTGATCATCAACAGCACAGCATTTATACCGTGTCAGGCATCATTTGACCCTGCCCTTGACCTCATCTATACCTGGCAACTCAACGGACATGATATTGACATCCAACGTGACAATAACTACCAGCTGGTAAGGTCATCAGCAGATCCAATCTGTTGATCTTTGAAATGCTCCTTACGGTTTTCTTTGATGTCCAAACTTTTTAGGTCATCTAACCGAAGGGTCTGAAGACCTATTGCGATCGCTTTTTGTGCGGCGGCGTCCGTCGTAAAACATTTTCAACTTCTTCTCAAGTTCTACATGTCTCATTGAGCTGAAACTTACCTGAAATGATTGTGACATGTATCTTGACCAAAGTTTGTTAATTTCGGGTTGGTCCGAAATCCAACATGGCCTTCATGGCCGCCATCTTGAAAAGACATTTTCGACTTCTTCTCAAGTTCAAAATTTGAAATCTTGTATTTTATGTCAGATGACCGTTAAGGTCTCTAGTTTTATTCCTATTTTATGTTGATCACTTGTGAGTTATTATCATAAAATTGTTCTATGTATGTAACTATAATTATGTGAACCACTTAATAAGTAACCTTATCCAGGAAAACAAAAACTTTTTATTCCTGGTAAAATTGTCCTGAATTCAAGTTGTCTTGACTTCCATATTTTAAATCCTTAATTTAACAAGTATTTCATTTGGATTTTGAGGACTCAGGACTATGGCTTAAATTATTCCTGATTAATAAGAGTCTTCAGTGCATATTTTTATAAAAAGGTCTTGGGTCTGACAGATCATCCTTTAATACTGGATCAGCCTTCTGTTAACATATGTTAAGCTGTTTTTGTAAGCAATCATTTTATATTTTAAAGGGTGACAGAGGAAGAGGAGGACTTTATATCCGTAGAGCCCAATTTCGTCACCAGGGAGAATACACCTGCTTCGCAAAGACACCAGTCGACCAAGATTTTGCCTCTAATACATTAACAGTGCTTGGTGAGTTGTCTCTTCTTTAGAATTTGGTCTTTGGAATGTGATGGTGGCATAGCAGTGGAAACATGTCGACAAAGTAAATAGTAACAAACCTAGAGTGTGCGGATGTAATATCAGTGAGTCTATTGAATACATTATGGATCCACCCTAAGAAACTACGGCAAAGGTTCATATGAGGATCGGCCATTCATTGTTATATATGAAATAATTAAAACTGGGAATGGGACTCATCAGCCGCTATAAAACCCCCAAAAATGATATACATGTACACTGAACTTTAAATGTTTATTCAGGTCCACCAGGGGAACCAGCTGGTGTACATAATTACCTTGCCAGTCCCCCTCCCAACCCTCGCTCAGCCAGGATCATATGGTCAGATGGAAAGCGTAATGGCCGCCCCATCAACTTCTACATGATTGAGGCCCAGACCAATTACTCCTCAAAATGGTTTCTACAGACAGTGAGTAAGTATGAACAAAATTACTCGACATGTACTCACAGGAGTTATAAATGTCCAGTTTTTGACTAAGTCACACTGTAAGTGCTATTCCAGTAAAACTTCACCCCAGGACTCCAAAGTCAATCACTTTAATCTATTTATTGTTTTCTTGTCTATTACAATTTTTATCAAATTATCAATTAAATTCTATATTTTGTACCCCTATACACAACCAGGATTCTAGGGTGGGATAGATGTTTGATTGCAGTAGCCCTAATAGAAGATGTTAATTTGAACATTTCTTGTTAGATAACACATGATATTGTGTATCTTGATAATTGAACTTCTATTTTTTCTGTCTGTCATCAGTAACATTTCAACAAAAGCACTTCATTGACATGAATTAAAATCTTTGGCATATAACTAATGCCTTATTGTATTCTGTAGATGATAAAACTACTAGCACTGCAATTGTTGAAAGACACTTGCCACATATATATTTTTGCTGTATTTAGTAGTGACTTAAAACAACTGTATTTTAGCATGTGAGGTAATTTGACAGAATTACTCTATGAATTTACTCAAATACTACCAAAGAACTTGTGTACATTGAGACTTTGAATCATGCATGGTGGGTTATATCGACATTTCCATGTTAATGGCTATATATAGTTGATGACACAATATTTCTACCTGAACAAACACAGCAAATACCGGAACATAAGTTTAAATGAAAAGATGCATTTTTATCTTAAAACATTTTCATTCATGAAAAAGCATAATTTTTAATAGAAATCAATGAGCAATGGATAATGCATGTTTATATACTCATATCACACAGTTTATGTATTTTACAGATTAATATAAAATGAAATGACATGCAGCATTAAAGTGGTCTCTAAATGTTAAAATGATTAATTCAACACTGATACATAAATCTTGTAGGCAGTAATGAATTTGAAATAAAGCAAATTGATATCAATGTATTCCGTCTAGAAACAACAGCGCTAACATCACACATCCTTGGTCATAGAAATTGCATGATTGACAGATAAATCACTGTGTTTCTCACGCTTTTATGCTTAAAACTAAAAGTTAACACTTTAGGAATGAGTGAAATCATCATACAAGTGATAGGAATTTCTCCAATTGTTTTTACAATTCCATAAATCAGACATAACTAAATGTCATCCCAATGATGACTGCAGTGAACATCACATGACGTCTCATTATCTTTGATTAAATATCATGTCTTGTAAGTAAGCAGTTAAATTTCAATCTGTGTCCAGTCATTTATTAACCTCGTAACACAGAACTTATGATAGGGGGCTATCGTAATCCCTTTGTCAGGTTAGCACTCTTCAATGAAATGTATGGAATTTTGTTGCGGGGTGAAAATACCTGTACAGTGCAGGTAAATGTTTTGTTGGAATCATGATGTATCAATAACTGTTATAGCTTACGGTCCTTGAAAAAACTTTGATACATTTAAAAGTTCAACTTATAAAACTTCGATTCATAATGAGGTTAGTCAGTAGTAATACAGAGGAAAAAAATTTAGGACTGGACAAAAACTTTGATACATTAAGAAATTCAAATTAAAAGTTTGACTATATATCCAATGATGTTTGGATTATACTTCTGTGCAGAGCAGTGTTTGTCATCGGGCAACATTCAGGGTAACATCAATGTCAGGTAAACACAGATTGAATAACAAAACTGTTAAGGTTTCAATACTCTGATTTTCAGTCAATGTTGCAGGATGAATAGAAAACATGGTCAATGTCTCGAAATATAAGGTTTGAATAATATATCTTTGTCTTTCTTCACCATCGCCAAAATGCAGCGTATATTTTAACAGCCCATGCATTCTCTCTACATTGAGTGAGATTTTAACTTATCATTATTGCTATCTTTATAGATATTTCCCAGCCCAGTGCTGTATTAGTTGGAGATTCCAACAAACGTTCTGCTATAGTGGATAATCTCAAACCAGGTGTGGCTTACCGATTCAGAGTGTTGGCTGCCAACATGTATGGTTTTGGTACTCCAAGCTTGCCAACAGGTAAGATATCATAGGTCTGTCTACAGGTAAGTATTCCTTGTCCCTACCTGTGGTGAGTCATTACTGTTTTATCTACAGGTGAGATATTTGTAACCTTCCTGTAGATTATCATTAGTCCTCAGTCTCGCTACAGGTGAGATATTCCTAGTCTCGCTACAGGTGAGATATCCCTAGTCTCGCTACAGGTGAGATATCCCTAGTCTCGCTACAGGTGAGATATTCCTAGTCTCGCTACAGGTGAGATATCCCTAGTCTCCCTACAGGTGAGATATCCCTAGTCTCCCCACAGGTGAGAAATTCCTAGTCTCTACTGGTGAGATATCCCTTGTCTCCCTACAATTGAGACATCCCAAGTCTCCCTACAGGTGAGATATCCTTAGTCTCTCTACAGGTGAGATATCCCTAGTCTCTCTACTGGTGAGATATCCCAAGTCTCCCTACAGGTGAGATATCCCTGGTCTATCTACAGGTGAGATATATGTTATCCCTAGTCTCCCTACAGGTGAGATATCCCTAGTCTCTCTACCAGTGAGATATTCCTAGTCTCCCTACTGGTGAGATATCCCTAGTCTTTCTACAGGTGAGATATCCCTAGTCTACCTACAGGTGAGATATCCCTAGTATATCTACAGGTGAGATATTCCTAGTCTTCCTACAGGTGAGATATCCCTGGTCTATCTACAGGTGAGATATCCCTAGTCTCCCTACAGGTGAGATATCCCTAATCTCCCTACAGGTGAGATAACCCTAGTCTTCCTACAGGTGAGATATCCCTGGTCTATCTACAGGTGAGATATCCCTGGTCTATCTACAGGTGAGATATCCCTAGTCTATCTACAGGTGAGATATCCCTTGTCTCTCTACAGGTGAGATATCCCTAGTCTCTCTACAGGTGAGATAACCCTAGTATCGCTACAGGTGAGATATCCCTAGTCTATCTACAGGTGAGATATTCCTGGTCTATCTACAGGTGAGATATCCCTAGTCTCCCTACAGGTGAGATATCCCTGGTCTATCTACAGGTGAGATATCCCTAGTCACTCTATAGGTGAGATATCCCTAGTCTTCCTACAGGTGAGATATCCCTGGTCTATCTACAGGTGAGATATCCCTAGTCTCCCTACAGGTGAGATAACCCTAGTCTTCCTACAGGTGAGATATCCCTGGTCTGTCTACAGGTGAGATATTCCTAGTCTCCCTACAGTTGAGATATCCCTGGTCTATCTACAGGTGAAATATCCCTAGTCTCCCTACAGTTTCCTCCCTTGAAGTGAGACATCTTTTCTCCTATGTCTCTAGATGTACATTGTCTCTGTAATGTTTTATAAGTGAATTAATACATGTTATGATATTGATTAGTTACCGTCTTTCTTCAGATTTTAAGACAATTCAAGGAGCTCCCCCTGAAGTGCCTCCAGAAATGGTAGGGGGCGGAGGGGGTAAAGTAGGAGAGCTTCGAATGACATGGAAGGTAGGTAGTGAAGGCTACAGCTTCCACTCCTAGAACCTACACTTGTTGCCTGCTGCTAGCTTTCTTGATATCTAGTGTCACTTAATCCACAAAACTTTTTATATTCTTCTTGTTTTTTATCCTTGACAATGGTATTTAAAATGCTGCTACAAAGAAAAATATGATATGAAAAAACCGTTCTTGCAAGCCTTTGAAAATTATAAGTTGGATTGGTTCTACAGCCTTGCTATGTGTATGTGTTTAGTGTCAAACTGATGTTACAGTACTACCACACTGAAAATGTACTGTGAAGTTAACAGTGAACATATACAGCTGAACTGTAATGGCTATTATACTACAGATATATGAACCATGTTCCTTAAACAGAAAGGTCTAGCTGTGTATTAACAATATATTAACATTGATAAGAATATTAACAAATATCTATTCTGTGGTAACTTATGTGTAATTGTAAGTGATGTAGAAGTGTTTGTGCTGTAGCCCCTCCCTCCAGAGGATCAGGGTGGTTGGGGGATTGGCTACCTGGTGGAGTGGAAACTGAGACAGATTGATATTGGCACTTCACGTTCTACGTGGGCTCAGGTAAGGGGGCAGTCTTCTAGATTCAAAAGTTTTATCAACAAAGTCTTACTGGTATACCTAAGGCTAATGTTTTACATCACAGACATGTACGCTTATGTTTAATTTGCAAATCTTCTGATCTTGGAGATTCTCCTCCAGCATACAAAAAAAAATCAAATATAGATATGATATTTGTTACATTGTGTGAATTAATGCTATGTTCTTCTCTGTACCATCAAATATACAGCTAGGATAAAATCTAATTTGTATTGTGCATTACCTGTATACAAGAATTAGGTTCTACTTGTAAATGACAGGCTCGTGTCTATGGCAACAAAAGTGAGTTCTCCACCACAGTTGGTTCCGAATTAACCTATGTTGAGTATGAAGTGAGAGTGACACCCTTCAATAACTTTGGGGATGGTAAAGCTTCACTCACCTCCTTTGTCTACTCAGCTGAGGGATGTAAGTATCATGATGATTGCTGTAGGTAATGGTATGTAATCTGGTGGTCTGACCTAATGATAATTAAAGGACATTACTAGATTTGTTACTATTGTGACTCAGCCTCCACTTTTTGAAAGTTTATATTTTACATTGTCACCTGGTGTAAGCAGTTAAAAACTCTTTACTTTTGTTTCAAATGATATTTTAACAGGTGATTATTTAAAACAGACGCTTGGTAGTTAACTGTTGAGTTATATACAGTCATCTGCTTTGTTTGTAATGGTCATGGATTTCTTTTACAGTGCCAGTCAGTGCCCCCACAAAGGTGTACGCCAACAGCTACAATAGTACTGCCATCAGTGTCCACTGGACACCAGTCAAAAACACCATTGAGAGCATGAAAGGCCGTCTCCGTGGTTACAAGGTAAGGAAATCTGTTGACACTCATGTAGGAACTAAATGAAGTCATCGAGGATGAAATGTTATGGTCAGTTGTGGTCACTAACAACATCATGTCATGATATATTGGCTATACAAGATTTGTCCTTACCTCCATTTCATTTAGATGAAATATTTAGTTTAAGGTGATATGTTACTATGGTAACAGACTAGACAAAGGTGATGTGTTAATATGACAACACAGACTAGCCACAGATAATTAGTTACTATGACAACACCGACTAGACAAAGGTGATGTGTTACTATGACAACACAAACTAGACAAATGGATTACTATGACAACACAGATTGGTATAATTTTTTTTTAATCCTGAATTACACATACATGGCCTATGACAGGTTAACTATTGGCTGAGAGAAGGAGGAGATGAGACGCACGCTACACAGGCCATTTTCTACGGAGACATTGACCGAGCTATCATCATCGGCCTCCTACCAGACACCTGGTACTTTGTCAATGTGCAGGTGTTTAATACTGCTGGCAACGGTCAGAAGAGTGAGAAGTACCCCCAGGAGACTGACCTATACCGTAAGTAAAAGCTATGGTAGGATTATAGCATTGTGTATTTGTCTACCTTTATATTTTATTATAGACTTCAGAAAGTTTATTTTTGTCCTACATCAACTGATTCTTGTTTCCCGTCTTTGAGTTAAATGACAAATTCAGGAACTTACTTGACCTATATCATAAGACAAGACATTCACACACCAAACTTTGACCTATCCTCAAGGTCATTCAGAACAAAAACATAAGAGAATTGTATAGAGCCGTGACTGATATATATATGTGAGATCATAGTAACATGCTTCTTCCTGCTGACAGGAAAAAACATTCAAAAACATCTTACAAATGAATTAAATGTTAAGATCTTTGAGTTAAAATATTTTATAAAAAGAGAACCCGTGTATCTGATAGTGAATGAAATTGGTGACTAGATTCACTATGTCCTGGATTTGGATTCATTTTTCATGTAAATGCACATCCAGTTCAATTTGCTGCTGGTCTCATTTAACTTTACTACGTATGTGTCAGGTCCCATGCTGTACCCTACAGAGGTTCAAGTCCACTCTCATGGCTCAGAATCTGTCAAGGTGACCTTCAGAGGGATATCTACCCAGGTGGAGGAGGAACCCCTAAGGGGCTACAAGGTGGGTATTATCATAGCTTAACCTCTACATTGGTCCAAATAATTACGTGATGCATTGTCATGGTAACCTGATCATATACAACAATATCTTAGGGGTTCTGGTTGCTAGGAAACCTGATACTGTATGTCAGAGGGAAGTATGGCTTAAGGAAAAATAACCTTCAAATATTTCCCTAAAACAATGGTGTTTAATTGTTTATTAAGCCTACCATGGAGTCTCTCACTCTAGGGGAATTTGATGTACTAGGGAATGTGATGTTTTTTCTCTATGGAAACATCGTGTTTTAATCGTTTGTCAGATGATGTTTTAATCGTTTGTCAGATGATGTTTTTTCTCTATGGAAACATCGTGTTTTAATCGTTTGTCAGATGATGTTTTTTCTCTATGGAAACATCGTGTTTTAATCGTTTGTCAGATGATGTTTTTTCTCTATGGAAACATCGTGTTTTAATCGTTTGTCAGAAGATGTTTTTTCTCTATGGAAACATCGTGTTTTAATCGTTTGTCAGATGATGTTTTTGAACCAGTTATTGACACTGTAACTTAGATGGGCTACAATGTTGAGGTTTATGGGACCTGTTTTTAGGTTAAACTTTCCAGGTTTGTAAGAATGAATGCATACCCGATATTAGGTAAACTAACTGAGAACTTTTGTCCTGTTGGTATACTGTATAGGTTTTTGTAATGCATGTGTTATATATGTATTGTGTAGATAAAATACTGGGAGACATCTGAAGATATTCGTCAGGCCAGAACTTTAGATGTTGAAAAGGCCAACGAAGGGGTTATTTATGGACTAAAGAAAGGAATTGTCTACAAGCTCAGGGTAATGGGCTACAGTCAGGGAGGCGAAGGGAAAATGTCCTCACCAGCTACACTGTTCACAATGGGTAGGTATTGATCTTTTGTCTTCCAATCTCTCAAAAAGGTCTTTGGTTAAATCACTTTCCATACAATAACGTTTTTCAAATAATCATATATACCTTTCTTGGAGAGTGTCTAGGTAAGATCACTTTCTATGAACTTTATATAAAAAATCCAACATTCATGCTAGGCATATTTTACTTTATTTCATTTCAAAATTTGTGTGTAAACTAAAAAAATCTTAAATATGATTTGTTTATTTCTGTAGCTGGTGGCAGTATTCCTTACGATCCGACCTCTACAGATATTATAGCCACAGCCTCCAGCCACTCTGTGTCTATGAAAATCACAGTGATATGTGTGGTAGTGTCTCTGTTGCTCTCCATTACCTAATGTATGTTCTTCATCACCTGGACATCATCAGTGTTCTCAGTCAGAAAAAATGTCACCTAGTGCTATAATTTGAATACATTTTTAACATTCAAGCTGTTTACCCCATAAACCTTGGTGCTAGTCATTATTTGAGTAATTATTTTCTCTGAATGATATATGTATTAGTAAGAATATATGAAGATAAATAACTAAGATTAATTTGTGATTGTGGTAATAATGTTATTGTTAATGTGACAATATTGTTTATGTTACAATAAATCATGCTGGAGTTGTAGAATTAGAAAAAGTGGCAACTTCACGTCTGATGTTATAGATCTGAGATTTTACCAGTAACATAGGAGATTACTGTTAGATCTGAGATTTTACCAGTAACATAGGAGATTACTGTTAGATCTGAGATTTTACCAGTAACATAGGAGATTACTGTTAGATCTGAGATTTTACCAGTAACATAGGAGATTACATATAGATCTGATATTCTTAACACAATGTTTTTGTAAAACACTCTATAGTCAGCTTACAACTGTATACTATATCTACAATGTCTTTTTCTATTGTTGTAAATGTTGTTATTAATACAAATGATCTTCTAGTCCCATATTATTCAGATTCAAACATTGAAAGAGTAGGTGTAACATCAACCTATTTGCCAGGATATGCATTCTTTACAGGAGATTTATAATGTGTGCCGCTTGAGATTGAGATATTTACTGATATTTACGGAAGTAAAAGTCGTTAAATTATCTGTATTTATACTTTATCTACCGAAACATATATAATTGACAAAGTCTTAACAGTAATATCGTTAGGTCATCTATTAATCAAATTCTACTACGATATTGTCAGTAGATCACCAAACTCTACTATGATAATGTCAGTAGATCACCTAATTCTACTACGATATTGTCAGTAGATCACCAAATTCTCCTACGATATTGTCAGTAGATCACCAACCTCAGGTGAAGATCTGAGATGGATGGTGCAATGGTCCCTACTTTAGACAGTTTGTGTCTCTCAGAAAGCTACAGGTATCTGAAATGAACCTGTCTGTACTGTAATCATTGAGTTGTAAGGGCAGCAGACTTTACCCCAATGGCTTCAGATAGCGTTTAGTAAGCCCTCTGCATCAAGTTGTTCAGGGCTGTAAGTCTGAACTATCTACTAAAGTAGACCTTGCTCTTGCTGTTACTGAGATGGTAGTGATCCAACAAAACATCTCAGGTTACTTAATAAAAATTTCAAAGATCTTTGATTATTCAGAATAACTTAGGAATATATCATAGATTTTTTTTCGTTTTTTAATTTCCAGTATTCAGATTATTAGAGTCAACAGCTTCATTTCCACTCCCATTCTCAGTCCCCATACCCACTCCTATAAATGCTCAATGTTGTATAACAAAATTTTTACATTAGTGTGTTTGACAATCAAATTAAGGTTCTTCGTGTTTTACAAAATGAAGTCACAAATTTAGATCAGGCGATGTTTTATATAGTCAGTCAACATCAAGTGTTGAATATGTTAATTAGATTACCTATTGTTCGTAATTGAATATGTTAATTAGATTACCTGTTGTTCATAATTGAATATGTTAATTAGATTACCTATTGTTTGTAATTGAATATGTTAATTAGATTACCTGTTGTTTGTGACAATTGAGTCTGTCAGAGGACCGTCCACTGATACTGTACCATAACACACTGACGAAAATGAATAGTATATGTACAGTGTAACTTACACATCATCACGTTTGTACATTGTGTTTTTTTGCAGTACCTATATGGTATACTACTCGTCACAATTTTTTTCAGTAACTGAATTGGTTTTCAACATCAGTATGTTGCTTGATCAGAAAAATAAATATGTGCATAATATATGATAGAAAGATTTAAGCAGATCTCAGGGTTTTGTCATGTTCTGTTTTTGTGTCGCCTGCAGAGCTGGCGGACACTTAGGGATCACTTTGTCCGTCGTCACCTGTCGTTGTCATCGTCCGTACGAAAGTTTTCCAGACTTTTTTTGGTAATGCTTTGAGTTATCAAAATGAAACTTGGCATATGGCTTTTTGTTGCAAGGGTACAGATTAAGTTTGATTCCCAGCTGTCTATGACCCTTTTTGGCAGAGTTATGCCCCTTTCAACTTAGAAAATTTCCTGGGAATATTGTTTTCCTGACTTTTTGGCTTATGCTTTGAGTTATCAAAATGAAATTTGGTATTACAACTTTATGGTTGATCATTGCACTTCCAGTTCAATTTCTGGGTGGCCGTGACACTTTATGCAGGCGACACATACAGTTCTGGGTGGCCGTGACACTTTATGCAGGCGACACATACAGTTCCTAGGAACTCTTGTTTATTACTTTTCCAATATATTTTTATAATTGATTGCATGCTATAGATGGAGAATTACTGATCATTTGTATTACCACATTTTTTCTTAACATAGTTTTTCCTTTATTTTTCTTTATTTAGTATTTGCTTATGGCTGCTTTCATCTTTATTAGAGAATCATATAGAAATGAAGTAGTTTGTAGTTTGTAAAACTGCCTTTTTTGTCTTGTGTTCATTGATATCACTACTGGTATATACAATGCTTATTTTTATCTTGCATTGTCCTAAACCAGATGAACACTATGAAATTTGTCTAAGATCCTCTGAATATTCCTTCTTTTTCTATTTTTTTTTTTTTAAGGTTCACTTGCACTGTTTTGTATTGTTGTTTACAACACTGTTAAAATTTAGTTAAATACTTTTACAAAATACCAGACATAGTAAATAGATACACTTTAAGCTGAATTCTTGCCCTGAATAGATACACATTAAGCTGAATTATTGTCCTAAATATTTTACAAAATACTAGTCATAGTAAATAGATACACTTTAAGCTGAATTCTTGTCCTAAATAGATACACTTTAAGCTGAATTCTTGCCCTAAATATTTTACAAAATACTAGTCATAGTAAATAGATACACTTTAAGCTGAATTCTTGCCCTAAATACTTTACAATATACTAGTCATAATAAATAGATACACTCTAAGCTGAATTCTTGCCCTGAATAGATACACATTAAGCTGAATTCTTGTCCTGAATATTTTACAAAATACTAGTCATAGTAAATAGATACACTTTAAGCTGAATTCTTGTCCTAAATAGATACACTTTAAGCTGAATTCTTGCCCTAAATACTTTACAATATACTAGTCATATTAAATGGATACACTTTAAGCTGAATTCTTGTCCTAAATACTTTACAATATACTAGTCATATTAAATGGATACACTTTAAGCTGAATTCTTGTCCTAAATACTTTACAAAATACTAGTCATATTAAATGGATACACTTTAAGCTGAATTCTTGTCCTAAATACTTTACAATATACTAGTCATATTAAATGGATACACTTTAAGCTGAATTCTTGCCCTAAATTGATACACTTTAAACTGAATTCTTGCTCTAGCATTTGATATGTCTATTATTGAGTTCTTGTCAAAATATTAAGTTGATGCACAGCTCTTGCCTAGTTGATTTTATGTGTGTACTAAATCCTAATTAGTCATGTGATGATGATATAAATATTTATGATAAGTATTTAGTCAATATATAGGTTTATAGCTGCGGAATTGAACAATAAAACGTTCCAATTTTATTGGCCAAAGTTTTCCTTGTCAGATTCTGAATCTTTGATGTCATAAGGTCATGATAGCTGTGATCATTATGCTGGTGAAAGAATGAAAGAAAAACATACACATTTGATCAATTATTGTATTTTTTGTAGAAAAACTTATTGATTTCTAATTATTAAACTTGTTGGCAGAATTCAATTTTACAGAGTGTTATAGAAGAATGTACTCAAAATAAATGTATGTATGCATTCCAACATTTTTGAAATCCAGTGGTTTTAAAGTGCTTTTAAAAAAATAAATACCACTTATGCTTAAGGTAACTTGTTTGTTGCTTTATTGACGATTATCTGATAATTTTATATTTTAGGAAATGATAAACATTTCATATTTCATCATATTTTTGTTACCTTCGCTGCTGAAGAGCTGGTCAATTTGGCCTGAAATGTAATTCAAGAGATATGTCCTAGCTTTTAGCTCACCTGGCATGGGGGCCAATGTAAGCTAAATTGCTCTGGTGTCTTGTTGTCCATCCGTCTGTCATCGGTGTTTTCCTTTCAATAATCAAGAGACCATTTATCATCATATTTGACTGGTAGATTTCTGGGATGATGCCCAATTAAGTTACGAAAAGAAATTTTATGTATTATTGGTATGTTCAATGAATTGAAATAGTAACCTTGACTTGTATAATGAAAAAAAATCTTCATAAAAAGGCCTCTGTATGAAATTTAACATGATTTTTAAGCTTAGCTATGAATGATGATGCTTGTAGCAACAAATGGTCAAAGGTCAAAGTTTGTTTGGTTTATTAGCCAAGGCCATGAAGTTATTAACATGATTTAGATATTATGAAGTTTTCTGAAACATATTGACTTTCACTTATTTATTTGCTCTGTAATCATTCACCAAAATATAACAAAAGAAATATTAATGCAAAGAATATGCCAAAAGTTAGATTACTTTGATGATAATTTTTGTAAACTTCATTTTTCTCTTTGAAAACAATAATGCATAATTTTGTGAGGAAGCTTAATGTTGATTGGTCAGCTTATTTATAGGGACATTCTTATCCTGACCACAGATACATTGTACATGTGTTTTACCTACATGTAGCGATGCAATAATCAATCTTTAAGCTCACAAATTTAGGAAAAGAATACAGTATTTATAAAAAAAAATAAGACTATTTAATTTAATTTAATAAGACTAAGAAAAAAAAATGACAGTAAGTTTAAAGTTTGATATTTTTTGAGGGTTTAGATGGATAGTTTTATTTTTGTGTGTATTTCTTAATGGAAAATTATTATAAATAAAAAGCAGACTTTTGTTTCCATACACGATTAAGTGCTACTCGTTTGAAAATGGGATAAAAAAAATAACAAAATAAAGGTTCCGATGCCGGGAATTGAACCCGGGCCGTCTGGGTGAAAACCAGAAATCCTAACCACTAGACCACATCGGACGATATTAAACTGGTGACCTTAAGAAATTATATACCGAAAGTATTGATTTGCAAACGCTGTGATACCATTATATTATATGTTCAAAGCAAATTAGATATAAGATCCTGGAATTATGAATGCTACCACAAGAAGTAAAATTGTCTGCCAATAGAGAAAATAATGTGAATATAAGGGTTGATTTACAATTTGTGTCACATGATCAATATATTACGGAAGTGTTGTCATCATGTGACCGGGGAGTTTTTCCAAAATGGCGTCCACTACAGTGGACTGGGAGTTTGACAAGTTCGATGACGGTTCTATGAGTAAGTATGACGGGAACTGTAACATGACAACTTTATTGGTCATGGACAATTTTAATTAATTCCAGCAGCAGTATTCTAAAGCTGCAATGTTTAGTGTCGTTATACAAGAGATTAAATGTGTGATGCCAATATCAATACTGCAATTTCTAGTATAGACCCGACATTAGAGTTTCATTCATACATACATTGCTAAAGCAAACAAACAACCATCTTAACCCATGGATGCCTATCAGAAAACTGTCCACTGGACAGCAGCATCCAGATGTTTTGACAATACGTCTAACGACCAATATTTTGGGAGCATTAATGCTTTGATTGGGAAAATGTAGAAGTTTTGACATTGTGAATGGAACTCGTAGTTGGCTCCAAACCCTGCAGAAAAAGAGACCCATGAGTTCTGACCGATGTTAGATTGTACAATATATGTTGCGCTGTCTTCATGTAATGCTTTGCATTTTTTTGCACCATATTAGATATATCAGCAAATAGTTTTAAATGGGTGACAGGTAAATCATACATACTTTTTTTTAAAAGCTTGCACTATCCTCTGCTACTGTATATATATATATCTGTACATACAGAACAAAAGTATGTCAAGTAAAATGTTTACTAGAATGTGAAATACATATATATATTATCGCTGTCATTACTCTACACAGAAATTGTCGGAGAGTTACAACTGAAAAAGTATGGCCAATTTCTGGAGGAATATGCTTCCCAGTTGAAGGAGATAGAGGGTGCTTTGGATGAATCCATTGGTGATTCATGGGACATGACCCTTGACCCTATAGCTTTACAGGTAGGTGTAATTATAATTCCACAGTCACAACAGATAGCATTGTTATACACTTATTTACTTGCATTACACATTTTAATATATTTCATATTCATGTTGCAAGCTGGTGCATTTGCTAAATAGGTGTATGATTTCAAGTCTTTGTGAAGACAAAGATGAAGTAATTTAGTAAGAAATCCAAGGAGAAGTTCTATTCCCTCCTACTGTAAATGCCTTCCTGATCATTCACGTTTCATTCACCAAAGAAGAAATCAAATGGCAAGCATTTACATGACTGTCAATCACTATTTCGTCTTGTAGCTGTTACCGTATGAACAGACGACCCTACTACAACTGATTAAAACTGACAACAAGATCTTCAACAAGATCATCACTGTGCTAGCCTCACTATGTTGTGAGATGCAGGCACTGCAGCATGAGGCACAGTCTAAGTTCTATAACGCCCTGCTATTCTACGGAGAAGGAGGTGAGATCAGGATTCTATCAGGATTACAACATACATAATCTGTAACAGAGCGTGAGACTGACAGGATTACAAGGTCTTTGATGAACAGAATTTATTTTAAAACTCTCCTTTTATCATTTTATAATTGTTATAAAATGAAGAATTATCATCAAAATCAATTTTAAAAGATTATGTAAATTGTTGATCTAAAGGTTGATCTTAAATGCTTTAAAATACACTTTTTTCTCATATAAATTAAGGACATCAACTTGATTATACAAATGTTGAACCTTTAAAACTGTAGTAACTGGTAATTCTGCATGGTTACAGAACCTGAGAATGGTTTGGGAGAAGGTGAGGCCCAGCTACAGATGGGAAGATTAATGCCCCTCCTTCAGGTAATGGTATCAGCCGTTAACTACATTTACTAATTTTATAGAGTAATTTCAGTATAACACTGCTAGATTTTCTGACAATGTAATGCTGCATTCAGAGTCAGCAGCCTGTTACAGTGCTTTCTGATAATGTTTTACTATGAATCGCTGTTATTTTGTTATTAGTCTCTTACTGGGAACTGGGGGAAACTATAGTTTTTTTTTTGTGTTGGTTTGTCCTTGTTATATTTGTTGTCTGGAACATTTGCTCTTTAATCTACATTAAGGAAAAATTGTTTATCTGGATCTTTCTATCTTTCTATCCCACAGTCTCATAAATTACTGCTCACTTGAACTTCATACTTAAAGTATGGGTTTTCCTTGGTGAGGCAGTGTGTGTGTGTGCGTGTGTGTGGGTGGAGTGGGGGTGGGGGGGTCAACAGGGGTGGAGGCAGTAATTTGCGGTGTTTTAGTGTATGTGTGTTTTAGGGAGAATTGGTGTAAAAGTAGTACTTTTCTATTTCACAGGAGCTGTCATGTTTTGTAAACCGTTGTTATGAAGTTGTGAAGAATGTGATTCACCAGTTTGCCTGTCTGTATTCACTGTCTCGGTAAGTCCTTGTATAAAATTTAATCAAGACACTTCACACCTCTGTTATTGTTTTATTTGCCTGTCAGAGCACAGAGTGATTTTAAACAATGTGTGGGTATTTATCAAAATTTAGACTAATTCTCTCAGTGTTTTCTGATGATAGATAATGTTATATGCATGACAAATATTGGACTGATGCATTTACATAATTAATATTATATGATCTGCATTTACATAATTAATATTATATGATCTGAAAGACATGGTTCTCTGGCTCCAACCACTGACTTAATTATCAGAGATTTATCTTTCTGATAACAAAACTTAATTTATGTAAATCTGTAAGAATTTTAAACATATTTTTTTTACAGAGGAGGAGCTAAACTCATTGATGTTACAGAAGTACATTTCAGGGTAATATTCTGTAGTTTAACATTGTGTAATATAAGTGTAAAAAATCACAGAAGTAATTTACAAAATGGTCTTTTCTAATGCTCTTTTTGTGTAAAATAATTCTGTCACCTTTGAATTAACTATCGAAAAAAGGATTCTTTATTCCTTCATTTCTTCATAATGTGATATCTGATTAAATAAGTTTTCTTAAGCCTGATCATCTTAACAGATATTCCCATCATGGATTAAGGATGATTTTACGATGTGTTCCATTTTTCTAGACTGTGTTTGAGGAACTTGGAGAAGTTCTCGGAGTACTGATCACTCTGGATGAGATTGTCGATAACCATGCTTCTCTAAAGGATCATTGGACGCTCTATAAAAGGTATGGATACACATTTCATACAGAAGCTCATCGTTTTTGCAAAACTTATATACATATCAAACAATTTTACATGGTCAGATAATTTCACAGACAAATTATGGGTAAGAGAAGTACCCCCATCGTCCACTACATTTCCACACATCAGGCGTGCCATACAGTCATAAAACATTTCTTACCTATGTAGTAGTATATTTTTCTTTCAAATCTGTTTCCTAACAAAATTAATTTACAATGTTGTACACCAGACTTCATTTCTAAACACAGAGAAACCTGAGGTTTTGTTGTTTGATTGTAACATGTAGCATTGAATGGTAACAAAAAATTCTGTCTGATTTATATAAATAAACAACCAATGTAAATATGGTTTGTTTTTCTTCGTGAGGTATTTTTGTTTGACTTAATCACTTGTTTCAGAATGTTGAAATCTGTCCATCATGACCCTGGAAAGTTCTCTATTCCTGGTGACAAATTAAGACAATTTGAAAAACTAATCATGAAATTAGAAGGAGAGTTATTAGATGGCCTCATATTTCAGGTAATGGAAATTTTAAAACAAATATGAACTTAAATATGATTTCAAGTGTATTTTTTTTTGGATGCTTGAACTTTTCTATCAATTATTTTATCAATACTTCATGAAAAAAACTGGTGCATTTTCTTGTATTGGTAATTGATTACTAATTAACAATAAATGATAAATCATTGTGATGCTGACATACTTTTTCTCTTGTGTTTTGCAGAATTGTGTGGAGCAGTCATTTGATAGCAGTACTGTGTCTGTAACCAAGAACTCTGTGTTCCTAGATGAGTTTAATATCAACATTAGAGATTACCTGGTAGAACTAGAGACCAGGATAGGTAAGACTCCTTACCTCACCACCTGGGTCCAGATGGGCGGGGCCCAGTAGGGAAAACTATAAATTTCTTTAAAATCTATTTTGTTCTTATATAGGAATACCTGGATTCTGTCCCTATTTGGTGTGAGACATTTCTGGGAAAAAAGGGAGAAATTTTGTATGAACAGTGAGTTTCAGTCCATTAGGATCAGAGGGCTGCGGCCAAATAATGGACACAGATCAAATTAATCAAAATCTTTATCATGTTGGAGCTGAAGACATTCTTGTTGAAAAGAACTTAGTTATTTACAAATAGCCGCATCTTACCCACTTTGGGAGGAGGGTCGAGCCTATTTCAGGGAAATAGATGCAAGTGTTTTAAATACGTTTCCCTTAGTTGAAATAAATCAATTTCAGCAAACTAAATCAGGTGAGCGATACAGGCCATATGGGCCTCTTGTTTAACTTTTTTAATTTGAATTTACAATACTGTACATGTACCTTATATAAAAGATATTTAATGTTCATTTATATAGATAGGGAAATTCTTGTCTCGAGCGAACAAATATCATTGTAGACTGTTATTTGATTCCAACAGGGGAAGCCAATGAGACGGACCAGAGACACAAGTTTGTCGGACTGTGTGGGCTGTATATTTTACACTTCCAGATCTTCAGGGTGATAGACAAAAAAGTCTTTAAATCTCTCTGGGATATTCACAAAAAGGTCAGGATGTTGTTTATATCACAAAAGTCTGAAAGGTCAGGGAATTGTTCACATCACATAACAAACAAATCTCAGGACATTTTTCATATCACAAAAAATTCAGCACATTGTTCTCAGAACAAAAATGTCAGAATATTGTTTTTGTCACTAAAATGTCGGGACATTTTTCATGTCACTATAATGTCGGGACATTTTTCATGTCCTATCTTAATCAGTAGATAACAGATAGTTGGAGTCACATGACCAAAAATCAAGATTATGTATCAGATACCAATGTAGAGTTGTTGCCTTTAAATTGTAATGAACAGTAAATATATTTTTGACTTTCTATATGTTTTTATAAAAGGACTCAATAACTCCACTGTAGATAAATATTTTGTGTTGATTTATCATATATAGATCCCTGGTGTACACCTTCTGGGGAACATCATCTGGTTCCCAACTACCTTCCTACTGAATAGACTCCCACAAATGGTGAAAGCCCTGGACAAGAAGGCTCAGACATCAGTCAAAACTCAATATCAGACCTGGCTGCAGAGTCGTAACCAGATGCTGACGAGGTGAGGCATTTCATTTCATCAAATCTTATTGACAAGATGCATAGTCAGTTGGAAAGAATTACAGACAAAACCTACATAAATTATCTCCGCCAAATGACCATAGAGGAATTAACGATGAGAATTTTATAGGTAATTAAGTAATAGGACATGATTTATTAAGACCAAATTGAAATGAAAATTTGACAGAAAATAGCTTGGATTAACTCAGGGCTAAGTCAAGTAACCGATGAATGAAACTTGTCGTATAATTCCTAAACACTTACACATACACGGGGGATTTTCTGTGAAATGGAATAGAGGCTAAGTCTGAAACATGTGATATTTCAATCTTCATGAACTGGTTACATGCTGTGTATAAGAGATTTTAAAGTATTGTAATGTATACATTTTGAAATACATGATTTGATTAATGAGACTAGAACATTGAAAAGCATGTCACAAATACTTGTTATTAGTGATATACAGATTGTATGATAACTAGGCCATGCTTTATAGTAGAGTATGCATGTCTTACCAGGACAAGACATTTTGGTTTTTGTTGTATCACAGCATTCTTCAGCTTCTGTTTGAAAGTTACCTTGAACATTTAGAATTGATTAGGTAACATAGCCCAGTGCCAGCTGTTTGTAACATACAGCTTTAGCTTTTGTTTCTGTCTGTAGTAAAGTGTTAAGATCCTTTGTGTTTATGATAAAATACTTCCCCCCTCACATCTACAGAGATGTACAGAACTTCCATACCAGTGTGTCTGCCTGGATGGTGGAGATGGAATCCTCCATGACTCGAGGGAAGACTCTAATGGAGGACCTAAACAATCGCTGTGTCCTTTTTATACAGGTGACTTCTCAGACAAGTAAAACATCTATGTCTCACTCAACAAGTTATCATGGTATTTTAAAAAGTTTTAGAATCTTACATCAGCATGGTAGGACCAAACTGTGTCAGTGTTGAATTATTTGAATGGACATTTTGCAGAAGTCAATACTACATAAAGTAATTCTGTGTGTTTAACATTTAAGGAAGATTTATTTTCCTTAACTTGCAAAGTATCTGGGCTTGATATAACACAGTTCTACAGGTCGTAAAATGGTCTTGAATTTTGAATCTGAGATAAACATTTTGGCTCTGTTTTCACTATGACAGGGGCTACTGTATGCCTACAACATCAACCACCTGGTGCGTACAGTGATGAACCTCCATGTAGCTTTACAGAAACCGATGACCAAGACAGCTGTACTTTGTCTCTGTCGCCTCACCGAACTTTTAAAGGTGCAATTTTTTTGATCTATTTACTAAAATCCTGTGAATTTGATCTAATGTTCACTGGCTAACTATTTGAGGGTGTTGAGGTGGGGAGGAGTTAGACTTCAGATTTGTTTTCCATTGATTACAAAGGTATTGCACTGATTTAGAACTGACTCGTGAAAAGTTAACTGCTCTAATCAATCTGATCTTGAATTAGAGGTAGGAATCAGAGAGAATATATAGGAACCATAATACATCACTTCTCAACTAATATCAAAATTATTATATTAGTAAAATCTCTTATTTTATATCATGGTTCACTTATTCTGTTTTACAATGATAGTATTTTATGTTCAGGCCATAGAACACACATTCCACCGGAGGACCATGTTAATAGCGGAGTCTGTCAGTCACATTATCCAGCATCTCAGCTTCCTCATCCTCAGCTCCATTGGAATGGCAAAGGTCAGTAGACTTAAGGTCATACTGATGACATAGATATGACAGGGCTGAATATCATAGGTAGATAAATAGAAAAAATATCTCTTGATGATGGAACAAAATCACCATACATAGAAAGTGGAATAATGAAGATTGCTAAATTCAGTCTAATTAATGACTTGTGTATGAAGTAATCTCTGTGATTCAAGCATTTGGTAAAATTTAAAATATAACAAAATATGGCCTCATTCTCCAAAAATGATGATTGAAATGCACCTTAATTTCTGGGCAGGTTCTTGTAAACATAAGTAGACAGTATGAATTCAAAGAAATTTTGATTTTTGTTTAAATATCTGTTTAAAGAAAAGGATTATGTCTGATAAGAAGTACAGTGAGAGGAGACTTGATGTACTCTCTGCCCTGGTCCTTGCTGAGACTGCCATGAATGGTCCAGGTAAGTGTGTACTCTCTGCCCTGGTCCTTGCTGAGACTGCCATGAATGGTCCAGGTAAGTGTGTACTCTCTGCCCTGGTCCTTACTGAGACTGCCATGAATGGTCCAGGTAAGTGTAGACTCTCTGCCCTGGTCCTTGCGGAGACTGACATGTATGGTTCAGGTTTGTGTGAGGGTATCTGTCCTGGTTTTCATAGAAATCATAACACCAACTTCATATTGAGGTACTTATTGTTAAAGGTCAAAGTTCACATTTGAAATTTTCAAATTCATCAGGCATTGATACCGTACATAAGAGCAGTGACTTTCATGTGTTATGGACATTTTTCCAACAACTTAATGCTGCTTATAAACAATAATATCAGCATCACACTATTGATAACATGAACAGACATGTCTGCGTAACACTTGTCATAACCTCTTTTGACCTTGACTGTTCCCAGGTACAAAGGAGAGACGGCTCATTGCACGATTAACGTTAGCAGTGGGAACTAAGATGGTAAGTGTTATATGTTTATATGTAGATTATAAGGCTTGTTTTTGTAACAAGTCCTGTAGAATTCTCCCCTGGTGGGGTTCATTGTACAATTTGACAATGCTCTATTGTGATATCCAATTTCTTTGACTTACCTGAAAAGATGACCAATACAAATCACATTGTTTGCATCACACATCAGTGTCAATTCTATTTTTCATACAATGGTTTGTGTCCAATAATTAGGTTCTCCTTGGGTCTTTGAAATCTGAACTTTATACAGTACTTTCTGTTTATGCCTCTGCTTGTGGTGTTGTCCATAGGCATCATATTGCATCCAATCTCTAATTTTTTAGATTTTCTTCAATCTTTTCACAAAGGTCAATAAGGCAATACCTTTGATGAATTTGTATTTGTGAGTTGCAAGGTCAAGGTCACTCTTAGTATTTATAGAAAATCAGACATTCTTGTGACATCTGTTTAACTAGTGACTTCATTTCTTAAAGGATTTAAATGTTTACACAGATGTCAGACACTATCTTAGATCATATGATTCTGTGTTTCAATGTCACCATTCTGATATGTCTGAAAATACTTGTCAAGGATTGTATTATATATCTGAAGGTTAAAGGTCATGGTCACCATTCAGATATGTCCGAAAATGGTTGTCAAGGATTGTATTATATATCTGAAGGTTAAAGGTCATGGTCACTGTTCAGATATGTCTAAAAATGCTTGTCAAGGATTGTATTATATATCTGAAGGTTACAGGTCATGGTCACCATTCAGATATGTCTAAAAATGGTTGTCAAGGATTGTATTATATATCTGAAAGTTAAAGGTCATGGTCAGCATTACAGAGAATGACAAAATGGATATAAGTTGAATCAGCTGACTTTCCTTGGATTGAAGAAACTCTAACATCATTACTTCACCTGCCAGATCTGGAGAGAGGTTACTGATATTTGTTTAATGTTTCATAAAGCGAGAGTAGATTAGCTACGTATTCTAAAAATTCACCTCTTATTTTGTTTTCAGAGGACGTTCAAGGAGGATGAGATTCAGACTTTATATGCTAACCTTAAGAAGCTCGAGATGATCTGTGATCTAAGAGAGAGGTAGGTCTATTTGACTGGGACAAAATCATTTCTGAACAAATGTTTCACAAATCTGCCTTAAGCTAAGGAAACCTCCACTACCATAGAAAGCATTATGTAAGTTAAGCAAAATCTGAAGTTTAAGGAAATTAACTTATGTGTTACTTTCCTGTGGGCATTTTGAAGGAAAAGAAAATTTCCTGAGTTAAGGAAGATTTGTGAAACAAGGGCTGATATGTTTGCCTTCCTGCAGGTAGGGCATAAGAATGACACCTGCTGCCCTCATTGTATGATCATAAGAGGTGACTTAATTTGGGATCTGATCTACTCTCTAACCTTCTGTAACAATGTCTCCCTTGGTATTGTATTTAACCTTTCGTTCAGCATTTGCTCGTTTGAGGAAGGCTTTGGACCGAGACATACAGGAGTCTTATAGTTAATACACTTACTGTTTAACATTCAGCATCATAGTAGTGTTACAGTTGGTCTGCTTGTTGTTAGCATAATGTGAACATGTGGGATTTTCTGCTGACTACCTTTGGCAGTTTACTTCAGCGATGTAGGTCTGTATTGTCATAGGGAAGATTATATAAATATGTAAAATATGCACTCAACACGACATTAGACTATATAAAACTGAACCAAAGCAAACTTTCCAATGTTTACAGAGTCCGACGATCATGTGATTGTAGCTTTATCTACTGGCATCGTGTCATCTTCCCAATCTACCTGACAGATGTCTTAGAAAATGTGGTGGATACACACAGGATCCATGTAAGTAGAGTGAGGTCTGATATAAAGAAAACCTCCAAGATCTTTATAAGTCTGGTAATAAAACCAGTTTTATATCATATCCCCATGTGTAGAATTTACAGCCATGTTACATTGAGGCTTGCTATCATTTATTCAGAACTAAAACATTGAGTCTGAGAATCTCTACTCAGTAGATGAACATAAGGGGAGACTACTCTAAGCACCATGGAAATTTGGATGACTTTTGTTTTACAGAATCATTGATATAATTATGTGTTATCTTTTAACAAGTACATGGTAGGTGCCCTTAGGGACTGTGTGCCCCCCATGACTGTAGCTCGACACCTTACCTCTCCCCAAGAACTGCTGGATATTTTTGACGAGGAAATCTACAGTAATATACAAGAGGTAAACACTTGAAACATTTTCTTGTTGTTTTTGTTTGGTCACTCACCATTGAACAGTATATATTTATTGATAAGACTGGACAAGTAGATTTATCATTTTACCAAATGTTTATCTAGTTTTTGGTGTTTTTTGTAACTGAGCATTTCTTGTACTTTTTTAATATATATAAAAAAATGATTATTTTATTTTGATTTGAAACATTTTTTTATTTTGATTTGAAACATTGGAAATATTAAGAGCTTTTAAGAAACAAATGTTATGATCTCCATTTTAGCTGATATACTAGTTTTCTGTAAATTTTAAATTACACTCAAGAAAGTAAAAAAATAACAGATAATAAAGAAGTAAATTATCAGTATAAGATGTTGATAATATTAATATTCCTTTGGTGGTATTTTATTTCAGCACCTGTTGGACCCTCTATGTCGGGCCATTGAAACTGACCTTCGACTCCACATTCACTCCCACTTACAGCTAGATGACCGGAATCCTTTCAAGGTTGGCTTCAAGGACCTGTCAAACCTTCTGAAGGTCCATCCAATCAGGCTGTTTGATAGATACATCAGTATCAAAAGTAAGAGCATCGTAAACACTATTTTCTTAAAAGACACATGTGGTTCTTGTAGTATCGTATATATAGACTGATCCTCGCTTGATGATAAGTTAAAAAAAAAAAAACAGAATTTCCTCAGTGCAAAGATTTCTAGGAAACTGTGAATCTTTTGAATTTGAGAAGAGTTCATTTTCAGAGATATATTTCCAGTAATTGACTCTTGTTTAAAGAAAATGTAAATCTCATGTGGAATTTTGATTAGATATCCGTAGACTTTTTAATCTGTGTTTGACCTTGCTCGTGAGCTGATGTAAATGTATGTGACTTGTTGGAATTTGGTTCTTAATTATTATATAACAGTACTTACTACAATGTTACTTGGTTATGGAAACATATATCAGATTACTAGCAGTGATATCAACTGTTCATGGAATGATGTTTCTGACAGGGTATGTGGAACATTACCTCAACATGACCTTTTACAATCTCACAACGGTCGCACTTCATGACTGGAAAACCTATGGGGAGATGAAAAATATGGCTGAACAGAAATATGGCCTTGTGATGGTAGAGTCCCACCTACCTAGCCAGACTCTGGAACAGGTGAGAAAGTTAGAAACAGATACACACCTACCTAGTTAGACTCCAGAACAGGTGAGAAAGTAAGAAACAGATACACACCTACCTAGTTAGACTCCGAAACAGGTGAGAAAGTTAGAAACAGATACACACCTACCTAGACAGACTCTAGAACAGGTGAGAAAGTTAGAAACAGATACACACCTACCTAGTTAGACTCTAGAACAGGTGAGAAAGTTAGAAACAGATACACACCTACCTAGTTAGACTCTAGAACAGGTGAGAAAGTTAGAAACAGATACACACCTACCTAGTTAGACTCCGGAACAGGTGAGAAAGTTAGAAACAGATACACACCTACCTAGACAGACTCTAGAACAGGTGAGAAAGTTAGAAACAGATACACACCTACCTAGTTAGACTCTGGAACAGGTGAGAATGTTAGAAACAGATACACACCTACCTAGTTAGACTCTGGAATAGGTGAGAAAATTAGAAACAGATACACACCTACCTAGTTAGACTCCAGAACAGGTGAGAGAGTTAGAAACAGATACACACCTACCTAGTTAGGCTCTGGAACAGGTGAGAAAGTTAGAAACAGATACACACCAACCTAGTTAGGCTCTGGAACAGGTAAGAAAGTTAGAAACAGATAAACACCTACCTAGTCAGACTCTAGAACAGGTGAGAAAGTTAGAAACAAATACACACCTAAATTTGGTGGTGATCAAATAGAGAAAGACTCGTTTAGTTGTCACCTCTTGTCCCTCGTTTAGTTGTCACCTCTTTTCCCTCGACAGAAGTTTTTAAACTACCATTATTTTCTACTCCAGGGTTTAGATGTGTTGGAGATAATGAGGAACATCCATGTGTTTGTCTCCAAATACTTGTACAACCTCAACAATCAGATCTTTGTAGAGTGTTCCAGCAACAACAAACATCTCAATACTATCAACATCCGCCATATTGCCAACTCCATCAGGACTCATGGCACAGGAATCATGAACACAACAGTAAGTGTAGTGAATCATCACAAAATGTGATGAGTCATCAGTAAATGTGATGAGTCATCAATAAATGTGTTGAATTATAATAAGTAATTGTAAATATGATAAGTGAGTTTCATGAGTAATCAGAAATGTGATGAATAATCAAATGTGGTGAGTCATCAAAACAGTGTTGAGTCATCAAAAAGGTGGTGAATCACCAAGCTTGATGAGTCATCAATTAATGTGGAGAGTTGAAATTAGAATTAACTATGGTGACTTAATGACTCATCCCAATGAAAGCCCTGCTATCTATAGAAAACATTTAAAACAATTGTGTGTTGTCAGTGATTGGAGACACATGTTAGACAACTGTTTCAAAACCCCTGGATCCAAACAAGGCTGAGCTTTAATTTAAAAAGAAATATAACCCATCCGATCTTATGATACATAGCTGTTCACCATTTTGTTGCTTAGTATGATATTTATATCTACAGTCCTCTCACAGAATACTTTTGATTTCCAGGTCAATTTTACATACCAGTTCTTGAGGAAGAAATTCTTCATTTTCTCACAGTTCATGTATGATGAACACATCAAGTCCAGACTTATAAAGGTAGGTTTCCCGGGCCACTGTTATCTGACCCTGATGACTGATTTATAATGATGTGATCATTTGGGTGTAAGGTCATGTGGTGTTACGATATCATGACACTTTGAAGGTTTGGTGTTACGATATCATGACACTTTGAAGGTATGGTGCTACGATATCATGACACTTTGAAGTTTGGTGTTACGATATCATGACACTTTGAAGGTTTGGTGTTACGATATCATGACACTTTGAAGGTGTGGTGTTAAGATAGCATGACACTTTGAAGGTTTGGTGTTACGATATCATGACACTTTGAAGGTATGGTGTTACGATATCATGACACTTTGAAGGTTTGGTGTTACGATATCATGACACTTTGAAGGTATGGTGTTACGATATCATGACACTTTGAAGGTATGGTGTTATGATATCATGACACTTTGAAGGTATGGTGTTACGATATCATGACACTTTGAAGGTGTGGTGTTACGATAGCATGACACTTTGAAGGTATGGTGTTACGATAGCATGACACTTTGAAGGTGTGATGTTACGATATCATGACACTTTAAAGGTATGGTGTTACGATATCATGACACTTTGAAGGTGTGGTGTTACAATATCATGACACTTTGAAGTTTTGGTGTTACGATATCATGACACTTTGAAGGTTTGGTGTTACGATATCATGACACTTTGAAGGTATGGTGTTATGATATCATGACACTTTGAAGGTATGGTGTTACGATATCATGACACTTTGAAGGTGTGGTGTTACGATAGCATGACACTTTGAAGGTGTGGTGTTACGATATCATGACACTTTGAAGGTGTGGTGTTATGATGTCATGACACTTTGAAGGTGTGGTGTTATGATGTCATGACACTTTGAAGGTGTGGTGTAACGATATCATGACACTTTGAAGGTATGGTGTTATGATATCATGACACTTTGAAGGTATGGTGTTACAATATCATGACACTTTGAAGGTGTGGTGTTACGATATCATGACACTTTGAAGGTGTGGTGTTACAATATCATGACACTTTGAAGGTGTGGTGTTACGATATCATGACACTTTGAAGGTGTGGTGTTACGATATCATGACACTTTGAAGGTTTGGTGTTACGATATCATGACACTTTGAAGGTTTGGTGTTGACACTTTGAATATCAATATCATGACACTTTGAAGGTAGGTGTGGTGTTATGATATCATGACACTTTGAAGGTGTGGTGTTACATGACATGAAGGTTTGGTGTTACGATATCATGACACTTTGAAGGTGTGGTGTTACGATAGCATGACACTTTGAAGGTATGGTGTTATGAAAACATGACACTTTGAAGGTATGGTGTTACGATATCATGACACTTTGAAGGTGTGGTGTTACAATAGCATGACACTTTGAAGGTGTGGGGTTACGATAGCATGACACTTTGAAGGTGTGGTGTTACGATATCATGACACTTTGAAGGTGTGGTGTTACGATGTCATGACACTTTGAAGGTGTGGTGTTATGATGTCATGACACTTTGAAGGTATGGTGTTATGATATGACACTTTGAAGGTGTGGTGTTACAATATCATGACACTTTGAAGGTATAGTGTTACAATATCATGACACTTTGATAGCATTAGAAACCCTTCTATCATATTTAGAGGGTTTCAAAGCAACTATAGATATTATATATCTACTAAACATAAAGACCAAGAATGATGAAAATTCCTGTCTATATCCCATGAAATCATACTTTTTTTTTGTTTTAGCAACTTTACCAATGTTAAGTAAGAAGTCAAGCCAAACTTGATCATAACATAATTAGTATCGTAACATGTGTCATCCATAGACACAACAACATGGAGATTACCTAAAGATACTTTCACCTAATGTACACTTGTAACTTTGTTGTCAAAACTCAGCAGTCAAAGAGGAAAAATAGTATCATTTGTCGACTGAACACACCTGACTTAATTTTGATGAGATGCAGAGTCATACATTCAAGAAAAATGACCATGAAATGGAAGTGGCATTGATATTACAGATGTTGTAATGATATTGAATAACACCCTTATAAGGATAGTACAGCTGTCAAAATGGCTGTTCAACTTTATAGGGCACTGTGATGATTATGACTGTTTAGTTAAGATAGAAAAGTGTATAGGAAATGAAAATGTTGCTTTTGAAACAATATGTGTTTGTTCGCAAAGCTGAAGCATTCTTCTGTAGTATCAGAAGTCATCAGTGGTTAAGAAGCTGTGTATAGATACATGATCAGGTGGACATCAGATGAGTTCATATATCTTATTTTTATGTACATTTCAGGACTGGAAATATTTCAAAGAAAATCACATGCATACAGATCAAAAGGTATGATTTTTCAAATTTTCAAACGGACACTTTATTAGTGTGGATACTTTTTTTTATACAAAATCTGTTTTCTAGAGTTTTGAAATAGAAAACTGAATCAATTTAAAACCTTGATTTCAAGAATATCTTAAATAGTTATGTTAATGTTTGAGTGTTAATTACTTTGGTTTCAGTATCCATTTGAAAAGGCTGATAAGTTCAACAAAGGGATACGGAAGCTGGGTCTGCTGCCAGATGGAGATAGTTACCTGGACCAGTTTAGGATCACGATCAGCCAGATAGGTAGGGGAGTACGACTTATAGTAGGCCTAGATCCTATTATACATATATCTATAAGGAGGGGCGTTAACATACATAAATCTATAAGGAGGGGTGTTAACATAAATATGTCTTTAAAGAGGGGTGTAAACATAAATATATATATAAGGAGGGGCGTTAACATACATATATCTATAAGGAGGGGTGTTAACATACATAAATCTATAAGGAGGGGCATTAACATACATATATCTATAAGGTGGGGTGTTAACATACATAAATCTATTTGGAGGGGCGTTAACATACATATATCTATAAGGAGGGGCGTTAACATACATATATCTATAAGGAGGGGTGTTAACATATATAAATCTATATGGAGGGGTGTTAACATACATATATCTTTAAGGAGGGGCGTTAACATACATATATCTATAAAGAGGGGTGTTAACATACATATATCTATAAGGAGGGGCGTTAACATACATATATCTATAAGGAGGGGCATTAACATACATATATCTATAAAGAGGGGTGTTAACATACATATATCTATAAGGAGGGGCATTAACATACATAAATCTATATGGAGGGGTGTTAACATACATATATCTATAAGGAGGGGCGTTAACATACATAAATCTATAAGGAGGGGTGTTAACATACATTAATCTATATGGAGAGGTGTTAACATACATAAATATATCTACATTAAGGAGGGGTGTTAACATACATATATCTATAAAGAGGGGTGTTAACATACATATATCTATAAGGAGGGGTGTTAACATATATAAATCTATATGGAGGGGTGTTAACATACATATATCTATAAGGAGGGGCATTAACATACATTTTTCTATAATGTGGGGTGTTAACATACATATATCTATAAGGAGGGGCTTTAACATACATATATCTATATGGAGGGGTGTTAACATACATATATCTATAAGGAGGGGCGTTAACATACATAAATCTATAAGGAGGGGTGTTAACATACATTAATCTATATGGAGAGGTGTTAACATACATAAATCTATAAGGAGGGGTGTTAACATACATAAATCAATAAGGAGGGGTGTTAACATACATATATCTATAAAGAGGGGTGTTAACATACATATATCTATAAAGAGGGGTGTTAACATACATATATCTATAAGGAGGGGCGCTAACATACATATATCTATAAGGAGGGGTGTTAACATACATAAATCTATAAGGAGGGGTGTTAACATACATATATCTATAAGGAGGGGTGTTAACATACATATATCTATAAGGAGGGGTGTTAACATACATATATCTATAAGGAGGGGCGTTAACATACATATATCTATAAGGAGGGGTGTTAACATACATATATCTATAAGGAGGGGCGTTAACATACATATATCTATAAGGAGGGGCATTAACATACATAGGGGTGTTATCATATATAAGGAGGGGCGTTAACATACAGAAATCTATATGGAGGGGTGTTAACATACATATATATATAAGGAGTGGCGTTAACATAAATATATCTATAAGGAGGGGCATTAACATATCTATAAGGAGGGGTGTTAACATACATAAATCTATAAGGAGGGGCGTTAACATACATATATCTATAAGGAGGGGTGTTAACATACATATATCTATAAGGAGGGGTGTTAACATACATATATCTATAAGGAGGGGCATTAACATACATATATCTATAAGGAGGGGTGTTAACATACATATATCTATAAGGAGGGGTGTTAACATACATATATCTATAAGGAGGGGCATTAACATACATATATCTATAAGGAGGGGTGTTAACATACATATATCTATAAGGAGGGGCATTAACATACATATAATCTATATGGAGGGGTGTTAACATACATATATCTATAAGGAGGGGTGTTAACATACATAAATCTATAAGGAGGGGTGTTAACATACATAATCAGGGGTGTTACATACATATATCTATATGGAGGGGTGTTAACATACATATATCTATAAGGAGGGGTGTTAACATACATATATATCTATAAGGAGGGGTGTTAACATACATATATCTATAAGGAGGGGTGTTAACATACATATATCTATAAGGAGGGGTGTTAACATACATATATCTATAAGGAGGGGCGTTAACATACATATATCTATAAAGAGGGGTGTTAACATACATATATCTATAAGGAGGGGCGCTAACATACATATATCTATAAGGAGGGGTGTTAACATACATAAATCTATAAGGAGGGGTGTTAACATACATATATCATACATATATCTATAAGGAGGGGTGTTAACATACATAAATCTATAAGGAGGGGCGTTAACATACATAAATCTATAAGGAGGGGTGTTAACATACATTAATCTATAAGGAGGGGCGTTAACATACATATATCTATAAGGAGGGGCATTTACATACATATATCTATAAGGTGGGGCGTTAACATACATATATCTATAAGGAGGGGTGTTAACATACATATATCTATAAGGAGGGGTGTTAACATACATAAATCTATAAGGAGGGGCATTAACATACATAAATCTATATGGAGGGGTGTTAACATACATATATCTATAAGGAGGAGCGTTAACATACATAAATCTATAAGGAGGGGCATTAACATACATAAATCTATATGGAGGGGTGTTAACATACATATATCTATAAGGAGGGGCGTTAACATACAGAAATCTATATGGAGGGGCATTAACATACATAAATCTATATGGAGAGGTGTTAACATACATCGATCTATATGGAGGGGTGTTAACATATATATATTTATAAGGAGGGGCATTAACATAATATATCTATATGGAGGGGCGTAAACATACATAACTCTATAAGGAGGGTCGTTAACATACATAAATCTATAAAGAGGGGCGTTAACATACATATATCTATAAGGTGGGGTGTTAACATACATAAATCTATAAGGAGGGGTGTTAACATACATAAATCAATAAAGAGGGGTGTTAACATACATATATCTATAAGGAGGGGCGTTAACATACATATATCTATAAAGAGGGGTGTTAACATACATATATCTATAAGGAGGGGCATTAACATACATATATCTATAAGGAGGGGTGTTAACATACATATATCTATAAAGAGGGGTGTTAACATACATATATCTATAAGGAGGGGCGTTAACACACATAAATCTATAAGGAGGGGTGTTAACATACATTAATCTATAAGGAGGGGCGTTAACATACATATATCTATAAGGAGGGGTGTTAACATACATATATCTATAAGGAGGGGCATTAACATACATAAATCTATATGGAGGGGTGTTAACATACATATATCTATAAGGAGGGGCGTTAACATACATAAATCTATAAGGAGGGGTGTTAACATACATTAATCTATATGGAGAGGTGTTAACATACATAAATCTATAAGGAGGGGTGTTAACATACATAAATCAATAAAGAGGGGTGTTAACATACATATATCTATAAAGAGGGGTGTTAACATACATATATCTATAAAGAGGGGTGTTAACATACATATATCTATAAAGAGGGGTGTTAACATACATATATCTATAAGGAGGGGCGTTAACATACATTAATCTATAAGGAGGGGCGTTAACATACATTAATCTATAAGGAGGGGCGTTAACATACATATATCTATAAGGAGGGGCGTTAACATACATTAATCTATAAGGAGGGGCGTTAACATACATTAATCTATAAGGAGGGGCGTTAACATACATGTATCTATAAGGAGGGTCGTTAACATACATATATCTATAAGGAGGGGTGTTAACATACTTATATCTATAAAGAGAGGTGTTAACACACATAAATCTATAAGGAGGGGCATTAACATACATATATCTATAAGGTGGGGCGTTAACATACATATATCTATAAGGAGGGGCATTTACATACATATATCTATAAGGAGGGGCGTTAACATACATATATCTATAAGGAGGGGCATTAACATACATATATCTATAAGGAGGGGCGTTAACATACTTATATCTATAAGGAGGGGTGTTAACATACATGTATCTATAAGGAGGGTCGTTAACATACTTATATCTATAAGGAGGGGTGTTAACACACATAAATCTATAAGGAGGGGCGTTAACATACATATATCTATAAGGAGGGGTGTTAACATACTTATATCTATAAAGAGGGGTGTTAACACACATAAATCTATAAGGAGGGGCATTAACATACATATATCTATAAGGTGGGGCGTTAACATACATATATCTATAAGAAGGGGAGTTAACATACATATATCAATAAGGAGAGGCGTTAACATACATTATCTATAAGGAGGGGTGTTAACACACAAAGATGGTAATTATCAAAACTTATTACACAAATTACTTTCACCTTTCTCTTCAGTATTAGTCAGTAATTACTCAAAAACTTATGCACACATTTTTGTTTCAGATTTTGCAATCAATATTAAAATCACCAGATGTTTTGTTGACTTCTAATTTAGAATAATTGAATCATTGTGAAATCTCCGACAATTTAAATACTGACTGTGAAATATTTGAAGTTTGGTTTTTGTATACCAGGCAAAGAACTATTTGAATCATTGTTACTGAAAATTGTTTGTTGAAAATTAAGATCAATATTACATAGACAATACTGAATTAATAACTTTTTCTTAATTTCCTAACTTCAGGCAATGCGATGGGCTACATACGGATGATCAGGTCTGGAGGGCTCCACTGCTGTAGTAATGCTATCAGGTTCATCCCTGACCTGGAAGACATTGTCAACTTTGAGGAACTTTGTAAAGAGGAAGGGCTGTCACAGGAATGTCAGGTCGCTGCCAAGTAAGTATTGGAGAAGCCGTTTACAAAATGTCTATTTTTATACCTTCTGGTTTTAATTTATTATTGAAGAATTTCTCTTCTTTTTGGAACATTTCATACCTTAATTTTAAATCAAAATGGAAAGGAAACGTGTTGAATATTAAAACAACTGAAGTGATCATATTGGATAGTTTTGATCCTAATGAAGTACCCTTGTCCACTGTTGGTGACCAGGCACAATTTATTCATTTACTTCTATGCGATGTTTTCAAAAGTCTGATGGACCTATAGATGTAAAACCATTACAAGAATACATAGCTCTAATTCTGTCGCTGTTTTGTGGGACTTGTTCTCTATTTACCTTCACCAGATTCCTGTTGGGGAACAAATGTAGAGTTTTGGTTAAATAAAACATTTCTGTCCTGGAGAAGTATTCATATCCAATATGTCTGGAGTTGTTTGAGATTATTGTAAACTTAAATATATATTTGTGTTACTTTTAGAAATCTTGACAACATTGTGGGAAACTTGGCAAGAAACTTTGCGGAGGGAACAGAATATTTCAAGGTCAGTTAAATGTAAATTTATTGTGTAATCAGTAGAGAAATGTCAACAAAGCAAAGGTCTGCATAACCAAGGTTACATGCTGTCATAGTTTATAAAATAAAAGTCTGCTTAATCAAGGTTACATGCTGTCATAGTTTATAAAAAAAAGTCTGCTTAACCAAGGTTACATGCTGTCATAGTTTATAAAAAAAGTCTGCTTAACCAAGGTTACATGCTGTCATAGTTTATAAAATAAAAGTATGCTTAATCAAGGTTACATGCTGTCATAGTTTATAAAAAAAGTCTGCTTAACCAAGGTTACATGCTGTCATAGTTTATAAAACAAGTCTGCTTAACCAAGGTTACATGCTGTCATAGTTTATAAAATAAAAGTATGCTTAATCAAGGTTACATGCTGTCATAGTTTATAAAACAAGTCTGCTTAACCAAGGTTACATGCTGTCATAGTTTATAAAATAAAAGTATGCTTAATCAAGGTTACATGCTGTCATAGTTTATAAAAAAAGTGTGCTTAACCAAGGTTACATGCTGTCATAGTGTATAAAATAAAAGTATGCTTAATCAAGGTTACATGCTGTCATAGTTTATAAAAAAAAGTCTGCTTAACCAAGGTTACATGCTGTCATAGTTTATAAAAAAAGTCTGCTTAACCAAGGTTACATGCTGTCATAGTTTATAAAAAAAAGAGTTCTGCTGTAACACACATGTAGCACATCAGTTCATTTTAATGGTAATTAGGATTTTAACTTAATTAAGGTTACATGCTGTCATAGTTTATATCAAAAAAGAGTTCTGCTGTAACACACATGTAGCACAACAGTTCATTTTATTGGTAATCAGGATTTTAACTTATGACCATCTCTTCTTACATGTTCTCTTTACTAATACCAAATTCGATGAAACTGGGGTAAAATATGAACAAAAGAATGATCTACACAGAGCTTCCTGAAACAGTACATGGAGAAGAAGACCAGATTTCTGGAAGGGAAGTGTCTTCTGTTTCATCAATGACATCTGTCATGTAAATCCTGGTCAGTCTGACAGTCTATGACACATGATTCCTCCTTCATCAGACCATGTATACCATTGCACAATAATAAATAATGATAATAATATACAACATTTATATAGCGCACTATCTATTTTGACAAAATACTCTAATGCGCTTCACAATTACATAATAATCTTACTACAAAATTTACAGAACATGTATAACACAGTAATCAACATATGTAACACAGTAACCAAATCAAGTAAATAGTGGTGAAAGTATGTATATACAGGACGTCTGCGTGAGAGTCTAAAATGCAGACGTAAACAGGTGGGTTTTAATATCCTTCTTGAATTTGGCCAGGGATTTTGACTTTCTAGAAGCAGATGGTAAGCTGTTCCACAAAGTGGCCGCTACCTTTCCAAAGCACCGCTTACCATAAGTCACAGTCCGAGAGTTCGGAACGCATAACAAGGATTCTGTCTCCGATCGTAGTGATCGTGACGGCCGATAAACGGTGACAAGTTCCTGCAAATATTCAGGAGCCGTTCCATTTATTGCCTTGTATGTATACATCAAAATCTTGTATTTGTGACAGGAATGGCAATTGAGTTTATCTGCAGCCAATGCAATAAGTAAAGGACTGGTGTAATGTGGTCCCTCTTTCGAGTACGGGTAACTAGGTGTGCTGCGGTGTTCTGTACCCTCTGCAGGCGGCTCATTAGTGTATCAGATACACCAACGAGTAACACGTTACCATAGTCTAACCTAGAAGTAACAAGAGAATGTACCAATGTCTTGCATGCATCTGTGGTGATGAACTGACGGATACCCTCAATGTTTCTGATTTGGTGATAACAGGAACTGGCAATTGAGTTTATCTGTTTCTCCATGTTCAGAGAACTATCAAAGTATACACCAAGGTTTCTCACAGCTTGGACGGCCTCAATAGTTTGGGCACAATTAGGAACCTTTGGTCACATAAATAGCAATATCCAAAAATCTAATTCTATGTTTCTTTTTCTGTGAGCTTTATTTCAAAGCATTATGAGAAGGTTATAGGTGAATCTTCCTTGTTTTATGAAGAAATTTTACAATCAAGTGATAACCAGTGATTTAATGTTGGACAGACACAACTAGACTTGATATGAATATGATGAATATTCTGTACAGTTTGCTGCAGTCTCGATCTGTGTCATCATTTATAACAGCAACAATTTATTTTTAAAAAAAGTCATGCATTGAGAAATTCAGAATGGAAATCTCATAGCAGTAGGTGTAATAGCAGTGCAGAATAGGTATTAAAGGGAGGTAATTCTGATACAGAACATAATTGAAAACAGTTTAGGAAAATAAAATCACCATCAATCTTTGAAAACTTTGACTTTTAACTTTTTCAAATTGAAAACAGCAAATCTGAAAATAAAATCACCATCATGTTTTGATGATGACTTTTATGAATAAAAATCACCATTAAATCTGAAAACAGCTTGAAAATAAAATCACCATCAAATCTGAAAACAACTGGAAAATAAAATTACCATCAAATCTGAAAACAGCTTGAAAATAAAATTACCATCAAATCTGAAAACAGCTGGAAAATAAAATCACCATCAAATCTGAAAACAGCTTGAAAATAAAATCACCATTAAATCTGAAAACAGCTTGAAAATAAAATCACCATCAAATCTGCTTGAAAATAAAATTACCATCAAATCTGAAAACAGCTTGAAAATAAAATCACCATTAAATCTGAAAACAACTGGAAAATAAAATCACCATCAAATCTGAAAACAACTGGAAAATAAAATCACCATCAAATCTGAAAACAGCTGGAAAATAAAATCACCATCAAATCTGAAAACAACTGGAAAATGAAGGAATCAGTGCAATAGGTAGTTAGGAAATACATAGTTCTGATTTATCTGTTTATAAGTAATACTGTCTTTCTTAAAAAATGAAGTTTTCTTTCGATTTGGCTCTTGCAACATTTTTCTTTGTTTGTATCATGGCAGCTCCTTGTGGATGTGTTTGCTCCAGAATTCAGAGATCCCAAGAACATGCATTTACGTAACTTCTTTGTGATACTCCCGCCACTGGTAAATATCTCTGCTTAGCATCAAAATAATTATTTCTTAGTTTGTTTGTTTATTTTTACATCTGATACTATACCATTTGTTTTGAAGATTAATGATATGGTAAAGATTATATATCAATTTTCGAATTTCTATTTTGTATCTAACGATATCAATTCCCTACACATGTCCAGACTTCCTTGATTCACATTTGGTTTTAATCCTTGTTTTGATATTTTGTACATGTGAGATAAGACATGATAAATTTTCTATAAAATCACCATACTATGTTCCTTTTTTATAGATTCTGAACTTCGTAGAACATTCCATCAGCTGTAAAGAGAAGATGAGTCGTAAGAACAAAGTAGGAGCAGCCTTCACAGATGACGGATTTGCGATGGGTAATGGTTGCTAGTGATAAAAAATTTTATGACACAAGCAAATAATTAAATCAATAAAGCATGTACTGATGAGATGACCTCAATCTGTCCCCACAGGTGTAACATACACCCTTAAACTGCTTGACCATTATTACAATAGTACAAACCTCTATCTGTCCCCACAGGTGTGGCATAAACCCTTAAACTGCTTGACCATTATTACAATAGTACAAACCTCTATCTGTCCCCACAGGTGTAACATAGACCCTAGTACAAACCTCAGTATGTCCCCACAGGTGTAACATACACCCTTAAACTGCTTGACCATTATTACAATAGTACAAACCTCTATCTGTCCCCACAGGTGTGGCATACACCCTAGTACAAACCTCAATCTGTCCCCACAGGTGTGGCATACACCCTTAAACTGCTTGACCATTATTACAATTTATGTCTGAAGAAGAACAAACCTCAATCTGCCCCCACAGGTGTTGTGTCATTCAGGATCCTTAAACACTGTACCAGTAACATGAGTTTTTCTATAATACAAATGTAAAAACCTATATTGGTCCCTACAGGTGTGGCGTATATCCTTAAACTGCTTGACCAGTATCACGAGTTTGATTCCCTCCACTGGTTCCAGTCTGTCAAGGACAAATACAGAGCAGAAAAGGTTGGTAGAGCTCATTCATACCTAAATGGTAATTTGATAAAATAATTTCGAAAATTTGGGCAACTTTTAGGATGGCCGTTACTTAAGATGGTTAGGCCTCTTTTGTTGAAGTCGTTTTCCGTTTTAGTTATACTTGGTTGTCCTAACTGTACATCGTATTTTGTTATCATATAAATCTAAGACTAGATATATTTCGGATTATCTTGTTTTAATGTGTAAGTTTTTTTTCCCCAACTTTCACAGGATAAAGTGATGAAACAGCAGCAGTCTTTATCAACACGACCAGATGAGAAACTACAGCAAACTATGTCCCTGACTGTCAAAAGACTGGACATGTGTCAACAGGTAAGTTCAAGGATTACCTCCCTTTAAATTCTATAAGCTGTGGAAGACTTCACTACTGAGTTGAGTTATGTCAGTCACCAAACAAACCAGTTGCCACAAAATTCATAATCCTGTGCAACTGGATATTTGATCAGTAGAGATGCTTTTACATAAGAGTTAAAACAGTTGGACTAGTTGAGCCTGCAAGAAAAACACCAGGTTCAGATCGCAACAGAGGCTGGACTGGGGACTATTTAGCAGATGCAAATTGAGGAGTCCAGTTGTACCTGTCTGAAACTAACTAAAATTCTTAAAGTTTATTGGTCATAACTCTGTAAAAAATTGATTGACCATAACCAATTAAAACTTGACCTGCACATTTGTAATATATCACTGTATACCAAATTACAGTTCTATGTCTATAGCAGTTAAGGAGTAATTATGATAGAACGACGGACAAGGGTAATGCTATATGCTCTCAGCCATGAAATGGGGGGTGCTTAAGAAAGTAATAAAAAGTATAGATATGTAATTACGATAAATAAGTATATAATAACATAAAACAATTAAACATTTCCAGGAATATGATCTATTGTACTATTCACTGAGCAGTGCCAGAATTTTCTTTCGAGCTGACCGTACTGCTGCAGAGGAAAATGAAGAAAAGGACAAAGGTAAGTGGGTATAGGTAAAAACTTGTTAGTAACATAAGGATGATAGGTCAAACACAAGTTTTTATAGGTAAAGGTCAAGGTCACACTTCTGCAAAGTCACTGTTAGTGAGACTGAAGGGGCGGAGGTCAGAGTTTAAAATCAAATGTTATTTTCAAAGTCTGTTGAAAATCAGTCTTTAGTTTAATGTTTCCAAATTATTCAGTTTTTCTGAAAGAACAGATATTTGTTTTATTGAGGATTTACTTTCTATAGAAGCAGCCAAAGCTGGACAAGCTGAAGGAGCTGCTCCGACCCAAACAGGTATGTAAGATTTCTGTCTTCATTGTCTGGTAATTACACAATCCTGTCATCATCTGATATCCTTTTAAGTGACATATTTTTGTCCTACATACATGGACCTGACCTAGATATTGTTGCCTATGATTGACATCTATGTCCCTGTTCCAGCCTTGTTTGACATCCATTCTGTCACCAAGCACCGACATATCAGTGGTATTATGCCGCACTTGGTGCAGGTACACTATTACTTCTAATGCTCTCCTCCCTTTATCAAGTGTGTGGGGAAAGTTATCCATCTTATCCCATCCCATTCTGAGTCATTACTCCAGGGACTTCATTTTGTTAAGGATTTCAATAAAACTAGATACAAATGTCAACTAAACAGTACATTAAATGAGCTTGTTTTTTTAGCCTCAAAGATCAAAGTCAAAGTTACTAATTTTAGAAATTGGTCAGACATTGATAAAATGGCAGGGAGGAGATGCATAATGTGTTTACTTAATTCAAGAAAGAAAGTTTGGGTTCAGTTAGAAATACGAAATCCTCAAGTCCCAAGCTCTTTTGAGGTCAGAGTAAAAAATAGTATATTCAATTCATGGGTTGTACATATAAACTCAAGATCTCTGCATCATGATTTTTGTAACAGATAAATATAGCAACTGTGTTTATTTTTGTCTAGCTTCATGACACAAATGATGAGGGCGATCTCACCGTAAGGTTATTTTCCTGTTGATATTGTGTAGTAAACTTCTCTATAGCTTTTTTGCTCATCTTTTACTTTGGTTTCGTGGTAGTTTAGGCATTACTTATATATATCTATATATATATTCTTCACGCCTATAACCTAACTTCTGTTTATGGAGCCCGTGATTTATATTCTTCATGCCTATAGCCTAACTTCTGTTTGTGGAGGCTGTGATTTATATTCTTAACGCCTATAGCCTAACTTCTGTTTGTGGAGGCTGTGATTTATATTCTTCTGTTTATGGAGGCTGTGATTTATATTCTTCATGCCTATAGCCTAACTTCTGTTTGTGGAGGCTGTGATTTATATTCTTAACGCCTATAGCCTAACTTCTGTTTGTGGAGGCTGTGATTTATATTCTTCACGCCTATAACCTAACTTCTGTTTATGGAGGCTGTGATTTATATTCTTCACGCCTATAGCCTAACTTCTGTTTGTGGAGGCTGTGATTTATATTCTTAACGCCTATTGCCTAACTTCTGTTTGTGGAGGCTGTGATTTATATTCTTAACGTCTATAGCCTAACTTCTGTTTGTGGAGGCTGTGATTTATATTCTTCACGCCTATTGCCTAACTTCTGTTTGTGGAGGCTGTGAATTTATATTCTTAACGCCTATTGCCTAACTTCTGTTTGTGGAGGCTGTGATTTATATTCTTAACGCCTATAGCCTAACTTCTGTTTGTGGAGGCTGTGATTTATATTCTTCACGTCTACAGCCTAACTTCTGTTTGTGGAGGCTGTGATTTATATTCTTCACGCCTATTGCCTAACTTCTGTTTGTGGAGGCCGTCGTATATTTTGTAATTCACTTATTTACGACTATAGCCTAACTTCTGTTTGTGGAGGCCATCAAGTATATTTTTTGATTCACTTATTTACTGTTAGCATGCCTTTGTGTATAACATAGCCTAACTTCTGTTTGTGGAGGCCATCAAGTATATTTTTTGATTCACTTATTTACTGTTAGCATGCCTTTGTGTATAACATAGTCTAGCTTCTGTTGTGGATTATAGTTTGTAGCAGCAGTAAAAAAAGATCAATTCTCATTATTATATTTATTGTGCAAAGAACATTTCTTGATTAATGAAATTAGAAATGTTAAATGCACCATTGTAAAAATAACAAAATAGCATGATGTTTTAATGAATCACTAACATTTTTATATCGCCATCTAAACTACATACAATATGTGTATATATAGTCAAACTTCTTTATTTTGAAGTCAGCGGGACCGTTGGACAATTTTGAATTATCCAAGTGTTCAGTTCAAGAAAGGTCGAATGTCTGTGAAAAGTCTGGCTAGGACAGACAAAATATTTTGAATTAAAACGGGGTGTTTTAGAAAATGAGGTTGGGCACTAAGTCATGACATGTCCATTCTTGTAAATTTGTGTCAGACATGGAGAACTTAGTCTGTATTAACCATGGAGAACTTAGTCTGTATTAACCATGGAGAACTTAGTCTGTATTAACCATGGAGAACTTAGTCTGTATTAACCATGGAGAACTTAGTCTGCATTAACTGTGACGATCCTATTCTGTATAAGCCAATATATCGCAAACTGTTATTGGAAACTGTTTGTTGAGTGTAGGCCCTAAGACTAGAAATTTTTACAGCTCAATATATCAAATACTGTTATTGGTCATGTTTATTGAGTGCAGGCCCTAAGACTAGAAATTTTTACAGCTCAATATATCAAATACTGTTATTGGTCATGTTTATTGAGTGCAGGCCCTAAGACTAGAGATTTTTACAGCTCAGTATATCAAATACTTTTATTGGTCATGTTTATTGAGTGCAGGCCCTAAGACTAGAAAGGTTGTTTACAACTCAATATATCACATACTGTTATTGAAAGTATTTGTACATTTAGTTGTAAAAAGTTACACACAAAAGTATAGGAGAAGGGTATACAAAGATTCTTGTCCCAACAAACAGGTCTATATTCCATGGTTTCTCTTTTTGTTTGCCTCAGATTAAGACAATCTCCCTTGAACTGTAAATGTGTTCATCTTTTTAATGCTGGACAATGAAGCTGCATGTGAATTTCCACTGTCAATTCATTGATGTACAAACACAAATGCTTTTCTACTGCTGCATATTGAAATAAAACTGATTTACCTGAGATTGATTACGTAAAAGTGATACAGGTGTCTTCCATGACTTATTTATTGGTAGTTTTACCACAAGCTTAAAGTAAAACAGATGTATGTTCACAGAAGACATGCAAGTGACGATGGATTTCTCTATCAATTTAGTTTTCAGTGTATCTTTTTTTAATTGATTTTATTCTGGAAATAGCGAAATATAAAACAGTTCGGTAAATATTTTCTTTTCAGCATTTTCCCCCTATCTCTTTTAACTGATCTTTTTATCTTCTCTCCACCAGGACCGAGTTTAAAGGCTTCGAGAAGTTCATATATATCAGTGTGTAGTTTTAAATTGTATTGAGTTCACCTCTGTCATACTTCTAATGATGCTATCATATGATAATTTTTTTCTAACCTTTTAGAAATAATTAACTGCAAGTATTGACAACTCCCTAGAGATAGAAAAGAGACCACTGATAATTTTTACCTCAAAGTCAACTGTGCAAAAAATAATTTCTGTTTTAATGAAATATGAAAATTATTTGTGAACTATATACTATATTCTTATACAATCATGTAGCCATGTTTATCACATTGGTTGATGAATCAGTGAGAAAATGTTGCAGCTTGCTGTAGTGACCTAATGAATCACTGCCTTATTAAATGGAATTATTATATCTTAATACTTTATATATACCTTCATTTGAATTGATATACATCACTATTTTTATATTTTTTTCAGCTGCTACACCAGATTCAGGAGCCCAAGGAACTGCGCCAGCTCCACCGTCTGGAGGTCCTCCAGCTCCGCCCCCACCCCCTCCTCCTGGTGGACCACCACCTCCACCTCCTCCTCCACCACCCCCTCCGCCCCCACCCCCTCCAATGTAAAGTAACAAACTTAATGAATGACTTTGAATGCCATGTGTTATCGGTGCTAACTGCTTAGAATTTGCTTTGTAAATGGCAACTACGACAAACGGTCATTCATTAACAATTACCAGAGAAATATTTGTCAAATACAACAGTTTGTATGAGGAACATTTGTCAGTGGTCTCCGTGCAACAAGATATATATAAGTATGGTGCATGTTTGACAGGTTGTACACCATTTTCATCATCTTACCAATACATTAAACGATTAGTTATTGCAGAATTTAATGTATAAAACATATGTATATTTTGTTATATACAAAAACATAATTAAAAGTATATGTATCCCACATATTTCCTACTTACTGTTATCTATATATAACATTCATGGTATATAGCATTATCTGTACAACCATCAATAATTCTTATCTTTCATTTTGTCACAGATACTCCAATAACAGAGGTGGAAACTGCCAAATTATTATATGAAATATTTTATTTCCCACTAATGGCATATTTATTTTACCATGTAAATGTAATGTGTTGTTAACATTGTTTGAATTATTACAAACACCATTTGAGAAATAGTAACTTTGACAAGTGATTGATGGAATGTGTAATTGTTGACATCATGAAGCTAGACTGACCTCCTTCCAACTAAGCATCAGTGGTGTTTTATGATGATAACAGAGAGAGTAGACAAGAAGAATATGGTGAGCGTTTCCTGTTATAAACATGATGAAGAACTCTGACTGTTTACAGGACAGGATTGGTAAATAATAAAGTATTTGTACCAATAGAACTATTAAATTGTTAATCAAATCGTTGTTTTTTGCTTTGTTTCGTTTTCATTTTTGTATTAGTCACAAACATTGAATTCAAGTCAGATGAGAGTTCACAGTAAGGAAATCCAGTATCAGGCGTACCAAACAAGGGCTGTCAGTAATTAGCATACCAAACATCACTCTCTTGAATTGAACCATCACTCTCTTGAATTGAACCATTACTCTCTTGAATTGAACCATCACTCTCTAGAATCGAACCATCACTCTCTAGAATTGAACCATCATTCTCTTGAATTGAACCATCACTTTTGAATTGAACCATCACTCTCTTTAATTGAACCATCACTCTCTAGAATTGAACCATTACTCTCTTGAATTGAACCATCACACTCTAGAATCGAACCATCACTCTCTAGAATTGAACCATCATTCTCTTGAATTGAACCAGTACTCTTAGAATTGAACCATCACTCTCTGAATTGAACCATCACTCTCTTGAATTGAACCATCACTCTCTTGAATTGAACCATCACTCTCTTGAATTGAACCATCACTCTCAGAATTGAACCATCACCATCACTCTCTATTGAACCATCACTCTCTTGAATTGAATCTAGAATTGAACATCACTCTCTTGAATTGAACCATCACTCTCTTGAATTGAACCATCACTCTCTAGAATTGAACCATCACTCTCTTGAATTGAACCATCACTCTCTAGAATTGAACCATCACTCTCTTGAATTGAACCATCACTCTCTTGAATTGAACCATCACTCTCTTGAATTGAACCATCACTCTCTTGAATTGAACCATCACTCTCTTGAATTGAACCATCACTCTCTAGAATTGAACCATCACTCTCTTGAATTGAACCATCACTCTCTAGAATTGAACCATCACTCTCTAGAATTGAACCATCACTCTCTAGAATTGAACCATCACTCTCTAGAATTGAACCATCACTCTCTAGAATTGAACCATCACTCTCTTGAATTGAACCATCACTCTCTAGAATTGAACCATCACTCTCTAGAATTGAACCATCACTCTCTTGAATTGAACCATCACTCTCTTGAATTGAACCATCACTCTCTAGAATTGAACCATCACTCTCTAGAATTGAACCATCACTCTCTTGAATTGAACCATCACTCTCTTGAATTGAACCATCACTCTCTAGAATTGAACCATCACTCTCTTGAATTGAACCATCACTCTCTTGAATTGAACCATCACTCTCTTGAATTGAACCATCACTCTCTAGAATTGAACCATCACTCTCTTGAATTGAACCATCACTCTCTTGAATTGAACCATCACTCTCTAGAATTGAACCATCACTCTCTAGAATTGAACCATCACTCTCTTGAATTGAACCATCACTCTCTTGAATTGAACCATCACTCTCTAGAATTGACACATCACTTTCTTGAATTGAACCATCACTCTCTAGAATTGAACCATCACTCTCTTGAATTGAACCATCACTTTCTTGAATTGAACCATCACTCTCTAGAATTGAACCATCACTCTCTTGAATTGAACCATCACTCTCTTGAATTGAACCATCACTCTCTTGAATTGAACCATCACTCTCTAGAATTGAACCATCACTCTCTAGAATTGAACCATCACTCTCTTGAATTGAACCATCACTCTCTAGAATTGAACCATCACTCTCTTGAATTGAACCATCACTCTCTTGAATTGAACCATCACTCTCTTGAATTGAACCATCACTCTCTAGAATTGAACCATCACTCTCTTGAATTGAACCATCACTCTCTTGAATTGAACCATCACTCTCTAGAATTGAACCATCACTCTCTTGAATTGAACCATCACTCTCTTGAATTGAACCATCACTCTCTTGAATTGAACCATCACTCTCTTGAATTGAACCATCACTCTCTTGAATTGAACCATCACTCTCTTGAATTGAACCATCACTCTCTTGAATTGAACCATCACTCTCTAGAATTGAACCATCACTCTAGAATTGAACCATCACTCTCTTGAATTGAACCATCACTCTCTTGAATTGAACCATCACTCTCTTGAATTGAACCATCACTCTCTTGAATTGAACCATCACTCTCTTGAATTGAACCATCACTCTCTAGAATTGAACCATCACTCTCTTGAATTGAACCATTACTCTCTTGCATTGAACCATCACTCTCTTGAATTGAACTCTGTTTTTTGAATTGAACCATCACTCTCTAGAATTGAACCATCACTCTAGAATTGAACCATCACTCTCTTGAATTGAACCATCACTCTCTTGAATTGAACCATCACTCTTTAGAATTGACACATCACTCGCTTGAATTGAACCATCACTCTCTTGAATTGAACCATCACTCTCTTGAATTGAACCATCACTCTCTAGAATTGATTCCTCACTGTGTCGGTAATTGAACCATCACTCTTGAATTGAACCATCACTCTCTTGAATTGAACCATTACTTTCTAGAATTGAACCATCACTCTCTAGAATTGAACCATCACTCTCTTGAATTGAACCATCACTTTCTTGAATTGAACCATCACTCTCTAGAATTGAACCATCATTGAACCATCACTCTCTAGAATTGAACCATCACTCTCTTGAATTGAACCATCACTCTCTTGAATTGAACCATCACTCTTGAATTGAACCATCACTCTTGAATTGAACCATCACTCTAGAATTGAACCATCACTCTCTAGAATTGAACCATCACTCTCTTGAATTGAACCATTACTTTCTAGAATTGAACCATCACTCTCTTGAATTGAATAATCACTCTCTTGAATTGAACCATCACTCTCTAGAATTGAACCATCACTCTCTTGAATTGAACCATCACTCTCTAGAATTGAACCATCACTCTCTTGAATTGAACCATCACTCTCTAGAATTGACACATCACTCGCTTGAATTGAACCATTACTTTCTAGAATTGAACCATCACTCTCTTGAATTGAACCATCACTCTCTTGAATTGAACCATCACTCTCTTGAATTGAACCATCACTCTCTTGAATTGAACCATCACTCTCTGAATTGAACCATCACTCTCTTGAATTGAACCATCACCAACCATCACACTCTCTTGAATTGAATTGAACCATGAACCATCATTCTCTTGAATTGAACCATCACTTTCTAGAATTGAACCATCACTCTCTTGAATTGAACCATCACTCTCTTTAATTGAACCATCACTCTAGAATTGAACCATCACTTTCTTGAATTGAACCATTACTCTCTTGAATTGAACCATCACTCTCTAGAATTGAACCATCACTCTCTTGAATTGAACCATCACTCTCTTGAATTGAACCATCACTCTCTTGAATTGAACCATCACTCTCTAGAATCGAACCATCACTCTCTAGAATTGAACCATCACTCTCTACTCTTGAACCATTACTCTCTTGAATTGAACCATCACTCTCTAGAATTGAACCATCACTTTCTTGAATTGAACCATCACTCTCTTGAATTGAACCATCACTTTCTAGAATTGAACCATCACTCTCTTGAATTGAACCATCACTCTCTAGAATTGAACCATCACTTGAATTGAACCATCACTCTCTTGAATTGAACCATCTTGAACTCTCTCTGAATTGAACCATCACTCTCTTGAATTGAACCATCACTCTCTTGAATTGAACCATCACTCTCTTGAATTGAACCATCACTCTCTAGAATTGAACCATCACTCTCTAGAATTGAACCATCACTCTCTTGAATTGAACCATCACTCTCTAGAATTGACACATCACTCGCTTGAATTGAACCATCACTCTCTTGAATTGAACCATCACTCTCTTGAATTGAACCATCACTCTAGAATTGAACCATCACTCTCTTGAATTGAACCATCACTCTCTTGAATTGAAACATCACTCTCTTGAATTGAACCATCACTCTCTAGAATTGAACCATCACTCTCTTGAATTGAAACATCACTCTCTAGAATTGAACCATCACACTCTAGAATTGAAACATCACTCTCTAGAATTGAACCATCACTCTCTTGAATTGAATCATCACTCTCTTGAATTGAACCATCACTCTCTTGAATTGAATCATCACTCTCTTGAATTGAACCATCACTCTCTTGAATTGAACCATCACTCTCTTGAATTGAACCATCACTCTCTAGAATTGAACCATCACTCTCTTGAATTGAACCATCACTCTCTAGAATTGAACCATCACTCTCTTTAATTGAACCATCACTCTAGAATTGAACCATCACTTTCTTGAATTGAACCATCACTCTCTTGAATTGAACCATCACTCTCTAGAATTGAACCATCACTCTCTAGAATTGAACCATCACTCTCTTGAATTGAAATCACTCTCTTGAATTGAAACATCACAAAGACCTTCTGGTCATTCAATCTTATTTAAGATATATATAAAGAATTTATTGAATCATAATCCAAACTCAAATTCTAATAGGGTAAAATATAAACAAAAGAAATATTTACGTGGAGACTCATGAAAAAGTACAAGGAGAATGTGACCAGGGCACAAAAGTTGAGTTTGAGCATGAGAACGGTTTCGTGAATACAGGCCCATGTGTTGCGGAAGAGTAAGCGTCTTCTCCTTTATCGACGAAACCCATCATGATCTCCCTATTTCTAATTCATATTTACCTTAGTCTTTGTGTGTAAAAATCGATGTGAAGAATAATAAAGTTGACATAACTTTATTTTCAAGAAACAACATATATATAACATAACATGTAACCTGGTATAATAGTAAGAATTTACCTCGTTTTTTAAGTATTGAGATCGAGGCGCCTACAGTAAAAATTCAGATGATTTTCCGTATGAATAGAATCGGAAGATACTCATCTTTTGTATGGATGTCTGTGGACAAGTGTGTAATATTTAGCAACAAAATGGCATTTTCTAGAGTATTCATCAGTAGCTTACAGCTTGCATGAGGTGTAGGTGTATGTTGTAAACATCGCCCAAAGCAGTGTAATACGCTCACCAGGTAGAAATAAATCATCTGTTACGTCACTTCTTCAGCATTTCTGTTGTTAATGCATTAAGGAAGCACCATATGGCTTTTTATTCTCTTACCCTGGTCAGGCATATCCACTTTTTATTGGGGTTAGATCCTTGTTATACATTAGGAAGAGGCAGAGGGATTTTCTGTAAGGACAATGATTTGACGCCATAGCAACATTTCGATGACGTCATGACAGCAATGCTAACCAAAACATTGCATTGTATATAAGACTTAAATTGGTAAGACTAAAAAGTTTTCACTTTCTTGAAGGTGGTTATGAGTGATCTCAATTCTCAGGAACAGACTATTAAGTTGGAATTCAACACGACAAGCCTCTTGTATGCAAACTTCAGATCTCTACCTTCGGGTTGAGATATCACACCTAACGGAGATGATTATTTAACAAAATGATGCAGAGTGTAAGAGTTAGAAACATTTATGATGAACTATGCGGGGTCCACTCTCATCGTACTCCTGTTTCGAAATCCACATATCAGAAAATGTGGACAGAGAAGCTAGTACAGATCCACCGATCCAGGCGGAATACTTTCTTTCTGGAGGTGCGATGATCTTAACGTCTATATATTTTGGGACAATGCCACTCATTTCTTTCTGCAATCGTTCCGCCATACCTAAATAAAAATAATAAATCCTACATTATATATATCTACGTGTGTGTGTGTGTGTGTGTGTGTGTGTGTGTGTGTGTCGGGGGGGGAGTTGTGTTTATGAGGATGTGTGTAAAATTATGACTTCATTTAATGTCAGTAATAAAACACAATATAATTGAACGATAATGCTATTTTCCTCAGACATGCCAATCATCATCAGGTCGAAAAATTCAAAGTAGTCCATTCCGAAATTCAAATATGTATCGATATAGTTTATTAACTTAATGTTCTCGTACCTGGAAACATAGTACTTCCGCCGGACATGACGACATTACTTAAGAGTTTTCGCGGAAGATCAATATCACAAGACATAATTGAATTGTTTATCTCCTTGTGGATTCCATTGAATTCCTTTCCTGTAAACAAAACAGATACTGGTTATATATAATTTTCGATTACTATCATTACTGCAAATATAAAATTCACGTTTATTGATTTTTTTTTTCGAAATTCAATACTAACCTATCAACGATGGCTGGAAGAGAGCCTCTGGACACCGGAACCTTTCGTTACCAATGGTAACAACGCCACCGTCAGGAAGTTCGTAAGATTTCTCTACTGTAGAAGACTTCGATGCTGATGTCATTTCACTCTCAAAGTCCAAAGCTACGTAGGACATCTTCTCCTTCATGTTACAGACGATTTCTATTTCTGCTGTTAGCATTAGACAACAAAACTAATTTTATCTCACAGAAAAATGTTCTTACGAACATATTGTTTCCGCTATAGCTAGAATTTTTAAAAATCTCTTGAATTTTAATCACCAGAAAAGATTAATAGGTCAGAACGGGGAAAAATTAAAATAACATTCATTATATCTTCTGACTTACACGAAGTGTTGAAGTTGTATCCTCTTTCGTGGAGGATCCTCTGGAGGTAGGCTGTGAGGTCACGACCTGCCAAGTCTACACGTTTGGTGGCGTGAGGGAGGGCGTAACCCTCGTAGATAGGTACCACGTGTGACACACCATCCCCGGCGTCAAGCACAACCCCCGAGGTTCGCCCTGAGGCATACAGAGACAACACAGCCGGTATCGCAACGTAGAAGGCAGGAGTGTTGAAAGTCTCGAACATGATCTACAAAATTTGAACACACAATATATTGAATAATTAAATAACTAAACGTCTTTCAACATAATCATATAATTAACTAAACTGCATCATTCTGCTGTGCCCTTTTAGTACTTGCTAGTTTTGCTAAGGACCTAAACACGTTAAAACCTATGTTTATATCGGCTAATATTGATTTTCAGACGTCCCCACCTACCACGTGGTTTATCATTTTACTCGTCCTACCTTTTAAATGTCGTTTGATTTACATACTATATATTTACCTGCGTCATCCTTTCTCTGTTTGCTTTAAGGTTGAATGGGGCTTCCGTGATCAGGACCGGGTGTTTCTCAGGAGCCACACGTAACTCATTGTAGAAAACGTGGTGCCAAACTTTCTCCATATTGTCCCAATTAGCGATTATACCGTGCTCCATCAAAAGAGGCTCCTGGGAAAGAATACCGCGTTTGACCTCAGCCTCGTCTCCTACATAGACATCCTTGTATTTCGTACCGACTTTTGAAAGCTGAAAAAGACGAGTTCATGAAAAAAAAAACTTTCAACATAGAATTTATAGCCAAAAGATATAAAGTTGGTTATATCAAAATCCTATTAGCACCAGTTATGAAATTTGACAGAAAGAGATATAACTGTCTCATTTGTTTAGTTTGGTGAGGTATGTATGGAGTTAGGGAGTTATTTCTGAGAGAGAAATCAGGAGCACTGTGAAAGGTATTTTCTAGTGCCTCTACTTTTCGTTATTTTTGTGGATGGAATGAAATCATTCAAAATAGACTCCAAGAAAACAATATCATAGTTTCAATGTCATAGTTTCAACATGTCATAGTTTCTACATGTCATAGTTTCAACATGTCATAGTTTCTACATGTCATAGTTTCAATGTCATAGTTTCAACATGTCGTAGTTTCCGTGATAAAATCGCCCGTGCTGCTTTCTCCCCGTCAGATTTTGTGCGTCGATAAGAACTAATTCAACTCACGTCACATTTTGGCTGCCCCACTCTAGGAGGAAAAACAGCACGCGGGGAATCATCGCCAGCAAAGCCCGCCTTACACATCCCACTTCCGTTGTCAATGATAACTGCTGCATTTTTATTTTCAGAATCTGACATCTTCGCTCTGAATCTAGACTGTTGGTCTGTGAAAATATAGGCAAATATACATAGGAAGGTATTAGAATTAAATTATGTATGTTTTTCTTTATTTTCGAGGCTTTTCCGTCCAACAGCAACCAAAGTCATATGGAGACGGGTGTCTAGGGAGACACCAACAGCCAGGGCCATATGGAGACGGGTGTCTAGGGAGACACCAACAGCCAGGGTCATATGGAGATAGGTGTCTAGGGAGTCACCAACAGCCAGGGTCATATGGAGACGGGTGTCTAGGGAGACACCAACAGCCAGGGTCATATCATTAAGGGAGACTACGAGATACGTCGAACATGAAATGCTTTACCAACATATTTTCGTTGTTTAACCGAACAATGTTTCTCTGAATTTTTTGTTGTTAAACGATACAATGTTTCTCTGTAGTATTTGTTGTTTAACTATACAATGTTTCTCTGTAGTATTTGTTGTTTAACTATACAATGTTTCTCTGTAGTATTTGTTGTTAAACTATACAATGTTTCTCTGAATTTTTTGTTGTTAAACGATACAATGTTTCTCTGTAGTATTTGTTGTTTAACTATACAATGTTTCTCTGTAGTATTTGTTGTTTAACTATACAATATTTCTCTGTAGTATTTGTTGTTTAACTATACAATGTTTCTCTGTAGTATTTGTTGTTTAACTATACAATGTTTCTCTGAATTTTTTGTTGTTAAACGATACAATGTTTCTCTGTAGTATTTGTTGTTTAACTATACAATGTTTCTCTGTAGTATTTGTTGTTAAACTATACAATGTTTCTCTGAATTTTTTGTTGTTTAACTATACAATGTTTCTCTGTAGTATTTGTTGTTTAACTATACAATGTTTCTCTGTAGTATTTGTTGTTTAACTATACAATATTTCTCTGAATTTTTTGTTGTTAAACTATACAATGTTTCTCTGTAGTATTTGTTGTTTAACTATACAATGTTTCTCTGTAGTATTTGTTGTTTAACTATACAATGTTTCTCTGTAGTATTTGTTGTTTAACTATACAATGTTTCTCTGTAGTATTTGTTGTTTAACTATACAATGTTTCTCTGTAGTATTTGTTGTTTAACTATACAATGTTTCTCTGTAGTATTTGTTGTTTAACTATACAATGTTTCTCTGTAGTATTTGTTGTTTAACTATACAATGTTTCTCTGTAGTATTTGTTGTTTAACTATACAATATTTCTCTGTAGTATTTGTTGTTTAACTATACAATGTTTCTCTGTAGTATTTGTTGTTTAACTATACAATGTTTCTCTGTAGTATTTGTTGTTAAACTATACAATGTTTCTCTGAATTTTTTGTTGTTTAACTATACAATGTTTCTCTGTAGTATTTGTTGTTTAACTATACAATGTTTCTCTGTAGTATTTGTTGTTTAACTATACAATGTTTCTCTGTAGTATTTGTTGTTTAACTATACAATGTTTCTTTGTAGTATTTGTTGTTTAACTATACAATGTTTCTCTGTAGTATTTGTTGTTTAACTATACAATGTTTCTCTGTAGTATTTGTTGTTTAACTATACAATGTTTCTCTGAATTTTTTGTTGTTAAACGATACAATGTTTCTCTGTAGTATTTGTTGTTTAACTATACAATGTTTCTCTGTAGTATTTGTTGTTAAACTATACAATGTTTCTCTGAATTTTTTGTTGTTTAACTATACAATGTTTCTCTGTAGTATTTGTTGTTAAACTATACAATGTTTCTCTGTAGTATTTGTTGTTTAACTATACAATGTTTCTCTAATGTTTTTTTTTTTTTTTTTTTAGTCTATACAATGTTCATTTGATGATTTTGTTAAAAAAACTATACATTGTTTCTTTGGTGTTTTTGTCGTGAGACTAAACAATGTTTCAAAAATGTTCTCATATAGGCTAATGCCGTCTTCGCCTTACCAGTAAGTTGTACTAACAATGTATACTTCGTTCGTCATTGACTTTAATGAAACCAGCTATAAATACACATACCTGGTCATGCTTAAGCTTTCTATTTAAATGCCGTTCTATAAAAAGACATTACATACAGGTAGATACACTCCGTGTGTCGAACTTCTCTCAGTCAGTATCGGAATATAAATTTTTGGGGTATTACGAAATTTCGAAATTATTATACCGATATATAAGCTTTAAAAAGTATAGTATCACAAAATAAGACATATTACCTCGTATCCATGGTCAATCCCATTTGAAAGCCTATCCACACATTGCAGCCAAGGAAGTGAAACATAACGAGCCAGTTTGGTATAACTATAGTCTGCTTCAGATAAGTGAATAGTCGGGTAATATTACAATATCATAACCTAAAATACTACAGGTTTATATACAATCTTTGCTTCTTTTTTCTTGAATATGAATCTTAAGCGATCCTTGATCCGCACGCAATTTATCGATTCATCTTATTTCAATAATTCATATCTTCATTTATCTGTTCCTATATAACTTGCTGAAAGTCATGACATTCATTACAGCTATGAGGACGTCATGACATTCATTACAGCTATGAGGACGTCATGACATTCATTACAGCTATGAGGACGTCATGACATTCATTACAGCTATGAGGACGTCATGACATTCATTACAGCTATGAGGACGTCATGACATTCATTACAGCTATGAGGACGTCATGACATTCATTACAGCTATGAGGACGTCATGATATTCATTACAGCTATGAGGACGTCATGACATTCATTACAGCTATGAGGACGTCATGACATTCATATGAGCTATGAGGACGTTGTGACATTCATATGAACTATGAAGACGTCATGATATTCATTACAACTTTGAGAACGTCATGACATTCATATCAGCTATCGGAAACTCGAGAGAGATATCTGTGTTATGTTTACAAGGACAAGACAAGAAGTTTTCATTAAGCATTTTTATTAGGACATACGGAAATTAGGAATATCTGCCTGTGTTCTGATGTAAAGTCCATGAAGCATATCATGATGTTGATATTGATTGTGAAGATCAACAAAAACACGTCTTTTCAAACTGATCAATGTTTATAGAAATCACCGTCAGATTCAGAGCTACATAAGGCAGCGGTAAACAACCGTTTTGTATTACAATTTAAATCACCATCAGATTCAGAGCTACATAAGGCAGCGGTAAACAACCGTTTTGTATTACAATTTAAATCAGAATGATACTAGAATGGAATAAATACTAATTAACAGGTTTGCACTTGTTAAATAAATGACCTATTATCTATGTCACTTTATCATTGTCTATCGTCAATTATCATTACAAAACAGTGTATATAATGCATGTTGATCACCAATAATTCGCGGTAAAGAAGGTAGCTTAATTACACAAGTGAAAATTAATAGATTTCAGGACAACACAATTATTCTTTCATCACTTCTTTCTCAGGATGATATAATCATAAAGATTTACCTCCATGATAAGCAAGCTTGAAAAGCAACATTAACACGAAACATTTATGACGTAGAAACCAAATCATTCTAAATTTGGGATACCAAGCCAATCGATATTTGTGAGCACCGAGACCAAGCGTGGCCAAACCTGTTTGCAAGGGACCATGTTAGACCACGTTTGAGACAACAGAGACGAAGCCAGTCCATATTTAGGCATGTAGGTCAAATTGTTCATTATAGAACTAAAGCAAAGCACATGCCATTTTTTGAACTCCAGATCAGATTGTAGATGTTTTATGCTGGTCTTCTACAGAGATCTATATGAAGTTGTTCTTGACAATCCTCTATAGATACTAACCTCGAAAATGAACGTGTGTACGTTTATTTTTAGAATAACTGCTAGGCAAACAAAACACAAAATAATTTACATGAAAGACATTTGAATTTCAGATCCTGTAACATAGAATTATTTTCTAAAAGCACTTCCGGTGAATGATTCCAGGTCCGCACTCCATGTATTCTTGTTTCGTTGTCCATATCGCACTGAAATTGGAAAGAGACCCAATGATAGATCCTCCAATCCACACGGAGTACTTCCTCTCCGGAGGCGCCACTACTTTTAACAAGATCTTTCCAGGGAGTCTGGTGGATATTTCCTTTGTCAATCTGTCAGCAAAACCTGTTCAGATGGTTAGAAGTTTTGTTTTTATATATAGGCTTGTTCCAGTACATACATATACATACTATCAGTATACAAATATACAGTTATGACTATCAGTATACAAACATACAGGTATGACTATCAGAACATACAGGTATGACTATCAGTATACAAACATACAGGTATGACTATCAGTATACAAACATACAGGTATGACTATCAGTATAACATACAGGTAGGACTATCAGTATAACATACAGGTATGACTATCAGCATAACATAAAGGTATGACTATTAGTATACAAACATACAGGTAGGACTATCAGTATAAAATACAGGTAGGACTATCAGTATACAAACATACAGGTATGACTATCAGTATACAAACATACAGGTAGGACTATCAGTATACAAACATACAGGTAGGACTATCAGTATACAAACATACAGGTATGACTATCAGTATACAAACATACAGGTATGACTATCAGTATACAAACATACAGGTAGGACTATCAGTATACAAACATACAGGTATGACTATCAGTATAACATACAGGTAGGACTATCAGTATACAAACATACAGGTATGACTATCAGTATAACATACAGGTAGGACTATCAGTATACAAACATACAGGTATGACTATCAGTATACAAACATACAGGTATGACTATCAGTATAACATACAGGTAGGACTATCAGTATACAAACATACAGGTATGACTATCAGTACAAACATACAGGTATGACTATCAGTATAACATACAGGTAGGACTATCAGTATACAAACATACAGGTATGACTATCAGTATAACATACAGGTATGACTATCAGTATAACATACAGGTATGACTATCAGTATACAAACATATAGGTATGACTATCAGTATAACATACAGGTATGACTATCAGTATAACATACAGGTATGACTATCAGTATACAAACATACAGGTATGACTATCAGTATACAAACATACAGGTATGACTATCAGTATACAAACATACAGGTATGACTATCAGTATACAAACATACAGGTATGACTATCAGTATAACATACAGGTAGGACTATCAGTATACAAACATACAGGTATGACTATCAGTATAACATACAGGTAGGACTATCAGTATACAAACATACAGGTAGGACTATCAGTATACAAACATACAGGTATGACTATCAGTATAACATACAGGTATGACTATCAGTATACAAACATACAGGTATGACTATCAGTATAAAATACAGGTAGGACTATCAGTATACAAACATACAGGTATGACTATCAGTATACAAACATACAGGTATGACTATCAGTATACAAACATACAGGTATGACTATCAGTATACAAACATACAGGTATGACTATCAGTATAACATACAGGTATGACTATCAGTATAACATACAGGTATGACTATCAGTATAACATACAGGTAGGACTATCAGTATACAAACATATAGGTATGACTATCAGTATAACATACAGGTATGACTATCAGTATAACATACAGGTATGACTATCAGTATAACATACAGGTAGGACTATCAGTATACAAACATACAGGTATGACTATCAGTATAACATACAGGTATGACTATCAGTATAACATACAGGTAGGACTATCAGTATACAAACATACAGGTAGGACTATCAGTATAACATACAGGTATGACTAGCAGTATAACATACAGGTAGGACTATCAGTATAACATACAGGTAGGACTATCAGTACAGGTAGGACAATCAGTATAACATACCGGTATGACTATCAGTATAACATACAGGTATGACTATCAGTATACAAACATACAGGTATGACTATCAGTATAACATACAGGTATGACTATCAGTATAACATACAGGTAGGACTATCAGTATACAAACATATAGGTATGACTATCAGTATACAAACATACAGGTGTGACTATAAGTATACAAACATACAGGTATGACTATCAGTATAACATACAGGTAGGACTATCAGTATACAAACATACAGGTATGACTATCAGTATACAAACATACAGGTAGGTCTATCAGTATAACATACAGGTAGGACTATCGTTTTACAAACATACAGGTATGGCTATCAGTATAACATACAGGTAGGACTATCAGTATACAAACATACAGGTATGACTATCAGTATAACATACAGGTATGATTATCAGAACATACAGGTATGACTATCAGTATACAAACATACAGGTATGACTATCAGTAAACAAACATACAGGTATGACTATCAGTATAACATACAGGTAGGACTATCAGTATAACATACAGGTATGACTATCAGTATACAAACATACAGGTATGACTATCAGTATAACATACAGGTATGACTATCAGTATAACATACAGGTATGACTATCAGTATAACATACAGGTATGACTATCAGTATACAAACATATAGGTATGACTATCAGTATAACATACAGGTATGACTATCAGTATAGCATACATGTATGACTATCAGTATACAAACATACAGGTATGACTATCAGTATACAAACATACAGGTATGACTATCAGTATACAAACATACAGGTATGACTATCAGTATACAAACATACAGGTATGACTATCTATAACATACAGGTATGACTATCAGTATACAAACATACAGGTATGACTATCAGTATACAAACATACAGGTATGACTATCAGTATACAAACATACAGGTATGACTATCAGTATACAAACATACAGGTATGACTATCAGTATAACATACAGGTAGGACTATCAGTATACAAACATACAGGTAGGACTATCAGTATACAAACATACAGGTATGACTATCAGTATAACATACAGGTATGACTATCAGTATACAAACATACAGGTATGACTATCAGTATACAAACATACAGGTATGACTATCAGTATACAAACATACAGGTATGACTACCAGTATAACATACAGGTATTACTACCAGTATAACATACAGGTATGACTATCAGTATACAAATATACAGGTATGGCGATCAGTTTTGCCTGATTTCCATACATATAGATATGTGCTAAAATCGTATTTTTCCTACAGATATGAACACGTGTTAAAAATATTGTTAACTTTTTCATCTTTTTTATCGTAATTACATGCCATCTAATTAATTAATTAACCAATTTATTTACCTATTTATTCAATATATTTAATATGTATTAGAATCTACTTACCGGGACACATAGTGGATCCTCCTGACAGAATCACATTATAAAATATATCTCGTCTAATGTCAATCTCACATGACATGATAGAATCGTAGATAAGGGTATGGCACCCTGGCAAGTTCAGATCTGGAATTAAAACTCTAACTATGAGCGCTGTTTACAATTTATCATTCGTACCTTATCATTATTAGCGAATTAGTAAACATGTGCTGGGTGACAATGTTACGCTACACCCATCTGTGTGAGAATTCGTAAATCATTCACGTAGGATTTTGCTATTTTGACGATGGGAGTGAATTAAAATATTATTTGATCGGTATAATAAACTGTCTCCTTTCACCGATTACTTCAATATCAAGGAAGTAGTATTTAGACAAAGAATGTCTGGCATTTCTAAAGTCAATGTTAGGATGTACAAGTTTTAATTCAGTCAAACAGTAATACAGTTATGAATAACACTTGTGATTGACGTTATATTGAAATAATCAGAAATATAAAAAAACTGCAAAATTTATAGAATTATTGGGCTAGTGCACCTCGTCGTTAAGATATTGACTCAGGTGTTTCCTTGGTCTCCAAATTTAAGCCCTTAGCATCACTGACGAGTCCTAGAAGAATGAAATATCGGTATGATACAGTTATTTGACTCGTCTGTATGCGATGTTAAATTCGATTGACTGATGCTAGTTACTACTGTGTCTTTTGTACAATATTTGAAACATGACAACATAACCAATATGAAATATAAAACGTCACCTAGAAGTGATGGTTGAAAGAGTGCTTCTGGACACCGGAACCTTTCGTTACCGACCGTAATCAGCTGTCCATCAGGAAGTTCGTATGTTTGTTTTACAGCTGACGATTTTGCTGCGGACTCCATTTCACTTTTAAAATCCAAAGAAATATAACATATCTTCTCCTTCATTTCCCGCACTACTTCCTGCTCAGCTGCAATATAAGAAAACTATATTATTCCATCCCGTTTAAGAAAATGTAAAATCATTTGGTAATTATCAGATAATTTTTAAATTGGTAACATACTATATTTAGACGTTTCTAGTACGTTTCGGACATATAATATAACCTGAAGTTGTGAAGCTGTATCCTCTTTCGTGGAGGATCTTCTGAAGGTAGGCTGTGAGGTCACGACCTGCCAAGTCTACACGTTTGATGGCGTGAGGGAGGGCGTAACCTTCGTAGATAGGTACCACGTGTGACACACCATCCCCTGCATCAAACACGATGCCCGTGGTTCGTCCTGAGGCATACAGAGACAATACAGCCTGCATCGCCATGTATAAGGTAGGCGTGTTAAACTTTTCGAACATAACCTACGGAAACAATTAGTTACAAGACAATGATTCATTTGTTTATTTTGTATTTTGAGAAAACAATTCAAGAAATATAAATATTGTGATAAACAGTGATGTACATAACTAACAGATCGAGAATATAAAATGTGCCATGATTTCATTGATATAAAAACGGAGATGGAAAGACGGCGTTTCAAAGGATTAATTGTTAAAACGATTACTCATAAGATTCACCATCAACAAACTATTGTGTTCTGACATTTCTTCTCTGTCAGTGTCGTTGGTTCGTGTTTTCCAGACAACGTACCTGTGCCATTTTGTCTGTGTTTGCCTTCGGATTCAACGGTGGATTTGACAACAGGACCGGATGATTTTCGGGAGATAAATGGAGCTCATTGTAGAAAATGTGGTGCCATATTTTCTCCATGTCGTCCCAGTTGGTGATAATTCCGTGCTCTATTGGGTAATCAAGACTAAGGATTCCACGTTTGGTCTGAGCTTCATTACCGATGTAACAATCAATGGCTCCAAGGCTTGAGTGACATACCTAAAGAACCAAGGTTTGGCTGACTTACATACAGAACCAAGGTTTGGCTGACATACCTACAGAACCAAGGTTTGGCTGACTTACATACAGAACCAAGGTTTGGCTGACATACATACAGAACCAAGGCTTGGCTGACTTACCTGCGGAACCAAGGTTTGACTGACTTACATACAGAACCAAGGTTTGGCTGACATACCTACAGAAACAAGGTTTGGCTGACTTACCTACAAAACCAAGGTTTGGCTGGCTTACAAAAAGAGAATATTGGAAATCAATATTACTTCAACGAAGTCCTTAAGCTGTTCAAAGATTATGTTGATTGCTCAAGACATTAAGGTTCTGCCAAATGTTTTACAGAACAAAGGGTGTGTAACCCACAGAAAGCATAAAACAGATTTCATGTCCTCTAAATGTTTCTTCATTTTCATTTAAATTTGTTTTCTGCGATTGTCGAATATAATAACCCCTTGAAAATGACAAATTTACAGCATGTCAGGTGGACATTGTTTTCTGAATCAAATGACTCACACTTCACGCCTTCCTGTGATGTTCGGGAAAACAAAACTTGCTTCAAAGCCCTCCGCTAATCGTTCGAAATCGTTTCCTGTCGTCACGCCTGGATGTTAATTCAATATCTTTTGTCATTATATCGATTGGATGATCTACAGATACGTTGATCAATCAGAACAACAGAATGAGAAACCAGGTAACTGTTGCTACTAGAATTTATAAGTTGTAACAATATAGGAGAGTCTTTTATAATTTCTTGTAGTATGTTTACAATGCGTTGTGAAAATAACACTACATAACTTACATCATAATGAGGTCGTCCAGTAATGGCAGGAAACACAGCACGTGGTGCATCATCTCCAGCAAATCCCGCCTTACACATTCCACTTCCGTTGTCAATTACCAAAGCGGCGAAATCATCCTCAAAATCAGACATTTTCTTTTATTTTGGTAGAATGGTTGTGCAAAATCTGAAAGTAATAAAAAGCAATAAAGGTAAGTGAGAGGGCCTAATATAAAACGTTATTGTTCAACACAATTGCTGAACACACCATGCAGAAAAAAACATGATATACAATAATTTTGCGTTTCGTTTTAGAGTAAAGTAAGTGGAATATCATTATATGTTTTTGGTGGTAAACTACACAATGTTTTTTGATATTTTTGTTGGTAAACTACACAATGTTTTTTTTTTATGTTTTTGTTGGTAAACTACACAATGTTTTTTGATATTTTTGTTGGTAAACTACACAATGTTTTTTTTTTTTTTATGTTTTTGTTAGTAAACTACACAATGTTTTGTTATGTTTTTGTTGGTAAACTGCACAATGTTTTTTTATGTTTTTGTTGGTTAACTACACAATGTTTTTTGATGTTTTTGTTGGTAAACTACACAATGTTTTTTTTTATGTTTTTGTTGGTAAACTACACAATGGTTTTTTTATTATGTTTATGTCGGTAGACTATCAATGTTTATTTGATGGTTTGTTGTTAAACTATACAATGTTTTTTTTATTATGTTTATGTCGGTAGACTATCAATGTTTATTTGATGGTTTGTTGTTAAGCTATACAATGTTTTTTTTTATTATGTTTATGTCGGTAGACTATCAATGTTTATTTGATGGTTTGTTGTTAAACTATACAATTTTTCTTTGATGGTTTCGTTGGTAAACTATACATTTTCTGTCGTCACGCCTGGATGTTTTCTAGAAAATAAATATCTTCATATCGTTCATATCGGAATGCCTAATTGTCACGAAACCACATATTTTGTTTGCCCTTGTAGAATGACTAGCTTATATGAGATATTTTACAACAATAGCAGTAGGTATTCACTAATGTGGAGTACGACCATACAGTTACAAACATTTTTAGTGTGTATGGGAGAGTGGCAAAACATTTACGGCAACAATTTCACATCTTAAATATTATTTATGTAAATTCCTTCTACCAAAACAATGTTGGAGCGGTTAATATAGTATTTTGTCGTGATACTCGCCTCATGAGGACTGATATTCTACACCACACAGGGTACACATGTGTGTTACGTATAATAAAACATTGATAATACGGATGTGTTATTCTAAGTATGAGCTACATATACAAAGTGTATAGTAGATCCCATACACAACAAGAAGTTCCTATACCTATGTATTCTAATGGAAAAACCGGAAATTATCTATTCTATAATGAATAAGTAAACACCTTATGAGTAGTGTTTATACTGTTGCTCACCTTCGGTTCAATGCACCTCCCGTCCATTGCAGGACTGCTCCCTGTTCAACCCATCATGTCAATTTAGTGATAATGATATGTCTTTGACAGGTTCTCCGTGTCAGTATTTGTTGTTAGGTTCCTGTTTTAGTTATAATGCTAATCTTTTACACCTATCTTGGTATGTAAATACCCTCGATCTGACACACATACATCTACAGGTTATAGCACTGTATACATGTGTTCTATAGTACCGATAATCTAAAAATAGATCTAAAGGTAGATCGCTTCATAGCAATACAGTCACGTAGTGTTGGTTTTCAGTTCGTTAAGGAGTATTAGGTAGGGGAAGATACTAATGAATCGAAGTTTGGTCCACCATCAGCGCTTGGTCATTTTGATATAAAAACTATTTACCTACTTAATATTTACTTGGTGAGTGTCATCGATAAATCAGAAGCTGTTTATATGTCCTGACCACCTGGTCTTGCTATCATTTTGAAGGACCATATCTTGCAAACGTTTCTTTTGTTCAAAGTTCGCTTTTGTTTCGTAATGTTGAATTCGATTTAACACGTCGGTATTTTCTTATTGACAACGAACAACAAACATGTAGGTAATTAACAAGTTTATTATCAACATAAAAATATAACATGTATTAACATATGTATAAGGTAAACGACATATCACAATAGCAGGAAACAATTCATGATAATGTGAATAAATATATTTAATGACAATGATGGCATCTTGTGTAGTAATGTAATTACGATGGATAAAAAGGTATGGTTGTGAAGTATTCATTCTAGAATAAGAAAAAGCAGTGTTCTACACCAAATGAAACAATGCGCTGCAAGTGATTTATGAACAAATGTATATATATATTTATATGTGACAGATTTTACTCTTAAAATGTTCGTTTTTCGTGGATGGAAATAGACTTTACATGAATTCGACATGATTAACATTCGCAGGTAATGAGTGAAATGATATCCAGCCTAGAAACACTTTCTGTGGACTATTCCTGGTCCACATTCATCATACTCCTGTTTGGACACCCACATCTGTTGGAATGTAGATAGAGATGCCATGATGGATCCACCGATCCACACGGAATACTTCCTCTCCGGAGGCGCTATGACCTTCACCGACATGCTGTTAGGCACGACAGCATCCATTTCCTTTTTCAGACGATCAGCAATACCTATAGTATAGGAAGAGAGAAATACTCATTTACTTTTTTGTTTTTGCTAAATAGGATTAAAATGTATATTTGTATTATTTTGTTTCATCCTTTTTTAATTTTGTTTTCAAAAAATCTTTATCGTAAATATAAATCGTCAATAGCCAATCAAGTGAACACACTCACCTGGAAACATTGTGCTTCCACCGGATATGACGACATTGTGGTACAAATCACGTCGAATGTCAATATCGCATGACATCACTGAATTGTGGAGAAGTTCGTGGATTCCTGCTGATTCCATTCCTGTGATTGAAATAGGAATATTTTAAGTCTCAAATGTCAATTGTCAAATGACTTCATTAATCATATAGATTTCAAGAAATATCGGTTTTATTTCATATAGAACGAGCTATTTTACTCTGAATACAGATAATGTAGATGTTCAAACCTTGCTTGAAGAATGCTTATTTTTGTCATAATTTATCTAGAAATAAAATGGCTAACAATTGAAGTTTGTATTTGACAATTAAAATAAAAGGAGGCGCCCTTTTCAATAAAATGAAATATTATTCATTTATGAATTTCATCAATTATTGAGTTATTTCTTTCATATTTACCTAGAAACGAAGGTTGGAAGAGTGCCTCAGGACATCGGAACCTCTCGTTACCGACAGTAATATGTTGGCCGTCAGGAAGTTCGAACGTCTTCTCTATTGTTGAAGATTTTGAAGCGGTTTCCATTTCACATTCAAAGTCCAATGCCACATAAGATAACTTCTCCTTCATATCTCGAACAACTTCCTGTTCCGCTGAAATGGAAATTCAAACTTGTGGTCATCATTGCTTCAGTTGCTTATTTGTTCCTATCTAGAGTTCCTTGTGTGAAAAAAAACACCAATTCAATCGTATTTTTGCATATGAATTTGTGCTTAATGTGTTATTATGATATGTCTTTTTTTTAATCTTATCAAAGAAAATGATTTTCGGCTAATACACCAACCTGAAGTTGTGAAGCTGTAGCCTCTTTCGTGGAGGATCTTCTGAAGGTAGGCTGTGAGGTCACGACCTGCCAAGTCTACACGTTTGATGGCGTGAGGGAGGGCGTAACCCTCGTAGATAGGTACCACGTGTGACACACCATCACCGGCATCAAACACGATGCCCGTGGTTCGTCCTGAGGCATACAGAGACAACACAGCCTGTATCGCCACATAGAAGGCAGGAGTGTTGAAAGTCTCGAACATGATCTGTTAAAGACAAGATATTGCGGATGTTCATACTTGAATTCAAGCTAAATATCGTAAATGTAATTTGATAATTCAAATATCAGACTGAAACGAAATTCTTTGTGTATTTTTTATAATGAATATAGTCATTTCCATACAAACCTGTGTCATCATTTCTCTGTTTGCCTTTGGATTAAGTGGTGCTTCTGTCAACATGACCGGATGTTCCTCCGGCGCCACACGTAACTCGTTATAGAAGGTGTGGTGCCAGATCTTCTCCATGTCGTCCCAGTTGGTGACGATTCCGTGTTCCAGTGGATATCTCAGGGTTAATATACCTCTTTTGTTCTGGGCCTCGTCTCCAATATAACAGTCTTTATTCCCCATGCCTGGCATGATCATCTGACATAGATAATGATAAAATGTAAGGTAAGGAGGTTTTGTTTAAAGGACACAAATACAAGCTAACATATTTTACATATCTTAATTTAAAAAGTTTAATTCGAAAGAAAGAACGTATTAAGGAGATGAATAAGTAAATTGCCTTGTTTTTCAAGTCAAAGTCAGAAAGCAAGCAGCGTAAAAAGCCCAGAACTAAAGATCTAAATGATATATTTATAATCTGTTAATTCAATATCTTTTGCCATTATATCGATTGGAAGATCTACAGATACGTTGATCAATCAGAACAACAGAATGAGAAACCAGGTAACTGTTGCTACTAGTATTCAGAAGTTTTAACAATATAGGAGAGTCTTTTATAATTTCTTGTAGTATGTTTACAATGCGTTGTGAAAATAACATTACATAACTTACATCATAATGAGGTCGTCCAGTAATGGCAGGAAACACAGCACGTGGTGCATCATCTCCAGCAAATCCCGCCTTACACATTCCACTTCCGTTGTCAATGACCAAAGCGGCGGAATCATCTTCAAAACCAGACATTTTCTTTTATTTTGGTTAATTGGTTTTGTAAATCTGAAAATAATAAAATCAATAAAAGTAAGTGAGAGGGTCTAACATAAAACGTTATTGTTCAACGCTGTTGCTGAACACATCATATAGAAGATATATGATAGAATACTATATACGATAACTTTACATTTCGTTTTATAGTAATGTAAGTGAAATATTGTTACACCATTATTTTTTGAAAAGTTCGTTGGCATGATATTACCATTGATCATTTCAGAAGTAGATTTGTTTAAAACACAATGTACACGACAGAAAATATATGAAAACAAAATCAAAGAAACATGTACTTACCTTTACCTTTTTCAAATTAAGTCTCTTTCGACTTCTGTCTCACGTTCTTCTCGTGTAGTTGTGCAGTATGACATCCTTTGTAAAGTCCAGGTCTTTTATAGTCTTCTGGCAGACAAGGCAAATTTGCAAGCTTTTCCTTATTAGGAATGACTTAAATTGAACCGACCTTAATAGGGAACGCTTCGCTACTACCTAGATAAGTTGCTTTCCATATATGGGCAACTGTGCTATATACGATCTGGAAAGGTAATACGCTACACACATCGTTCTAGATAAAGTCTAACGTATACACATACTGACTGTCTCTACTAGAGGCTATAAATAGACATTATTGGTAGTTTACCTAACAGGTTGTTTACAAATGACTTGCTAGATTTAACATGACAATAAATGATACGAATTTTAGAGTATTTCTCAAACACCGTAACACGACCAAAATTATAACAAGATGCAAAGTAGTATTACGAAGGTTAATAAATGCATACTAGATATCGATTACCTTTCTTGTTTACGCTAATAATAAAGTCTTCTTTCAGACAGCAAGAAATACGGGTTAACTTCAGGACAAAAACAATACAAAATCTCAAAACGTTTTCATAATGATCAGATCTTCTCTCTTACTCTCTCTCTCTTTCTCTCTCTGCCTCTCTCTCATCGCGTCTTTCTCTTTCTCTCTCTCCTCCTCTCTCTCTCTCTGTCTCTCTCTGCCTCTCTCTTTCACCGCCTCTTTCTCTCTCTCCGCCTCCCTTTCTCTCTGTCTCTCAATCTCTCTCTGTCCCTGTCACTCTCGCCTTTCTTTCTCGCTCTCTCCGCCTCCCTTTCTCTCTGTCTCTCAATCTCTCTCTGTCCCTGTCACTCTCCGCCTTTCTTTCTCTCTCTCTCTCTCTCTCTTTCTCTCTCTCCCTCCCTCTCTCTCTCCCTCTCTCTCCCTCTCCCTCCCCCCCTCTCTCTCTCTGTCTCTTTCTCTCTCTCTGCCTCTCTCTTCTCTCAATCTCTCTCTGTCTCTCTCAAACACACACACACACTCTCTCACACACACACACACACACACACACTCTCACACACACACACACACACACACACACACACACACACAGACACACACACACACACACACACACACACACACACACACACACACACACACACAAGTATGCGTTTCTAGTTAAGTAATTTATTTTCTGAAATGTTCATTGTATTTATATGACAAAATAGAAGGTCAATTTTGCAATAATCCTACCAATCTATTTATAATGTTTAGATATAAATCACACATACATAAACTTCTATTTACAATACCTTTGTACATAAGTACCATTCAGCAACTTTGTTGATATGTAATTGAGGTTACATACAATCATAGATATTGAAGTTAACAACCTCCCATTGTGAAAAATACAACGCCTATTACAGAGACTTCTATCCAATAAATAATATTGAGGCTACAGTCGAAAAATGAAAAATATTTCATATTTTATTGCTGATAAAATTTCTGATAATTATCATGTTCAGATGATAACATATTTAAGAATTTTATGTACAAAACTCAACAGTATCGAAATCAAACGTCAATCTATGTTTTCATCATAAATAATGGTATATGTTAATCTATAACTTTATTGTCAGACTGTTTTTTTCCATGTTGAGAGAGAGAGAGAGAGAGAGAGAGAAATCCGTCCTGAATACATGTTTATGTGTCTTGCATGATAAATGTTTATTGATTTAGTTCAATTTTTTGTTTTGTTTTTTGTTTCTTTGTTTTTGTTTGTTTAATATTTTGTTTTTATTTGTTTGATGTTTTTGAATTGATAATTTTATGATATTGACACATACACAGGTGTCCTCTCGATTGGAAAACTAGTTTGAAGCTGGTATTAATTCCTGTCGTTAAAATTAAAAGTATATTAAATACCAATCGCTCTATTGTTGAATGACCAGATCACGATAAAATAGATAAACAACATCAAAATAATAAATACTCCCTGTAGTTATACAAAAACACAAAAGTTTAAAGGTATTCAACTAAAATAAAAACTAAAATTTGACTCAAATATTCAAAAACTGGCGCACGAAATATCTAAAATTCGATAGAATTTTAAAGTAGGCTCAATTATTAAGCTTGACCAAGACGTGCAGTTTATTGCTTAAATATAATGATCTAGCTTCAAGTAATCATCTTAGACACTTCCATTTGTCTTACACTTATAGCTTTCTACCTTATCATCACTCAGTCCGAGAGGGTCGAACCTTTAAAATAATGAGGTTTTAATCATTATTCTCCATCTACATTGTAATTGGGTATTTTCATATTCCAAAGGTCGATAATGTGACGTTAAGTTCAGAACAATATTCACGTCAATTTATATATTGTTTCTTGAGGTTTGAGAGATATAGATTGATTCAACGCAGGGAAATGCTTCATGTAATTCAGTGATCGATATTATCTGTCAGTGTATTAACTCATATGTCCACACTCTTTTCCATGTTTTCAGGTTTTTGTATTTTTGTGTGTCTCACAAATTATTTCCTCACAATGCTGATTTTATTGTATAAAGTTCCGTTTTTGTAACGATTCTATATTTTAGATAATATCGGTTATATTCCAGTGTTTCTTGCTTATTCCTCTTTTTATTAACAAGTTATTGATACTTTAACTAATAGCTAAGTTTGAAAGATCACCATTCATGTAAAAAAAATATAATAGATGCAGTAGCGCCAAGTCATGAATTAAACTGCTTCATACAGCTGTTTCGTCTCTCTAAGTCTTATCAGTCATGCTAAAGGCCTTAATTGTGAAACGTCGGAGCCAACTGAGGGATACCAAATCTAATCTTAAGAAACGTCAAATCTAGATAGGGATTATGCACCATATCGTAGTTTTCGTATAACTGATAATTTTACGGCAACAATTTCACATCTAAAATATTATTTATGTAAATTCCTTCTATCGAAACAATGTTGGAGCGGTTAATATAGTATTTTGTCGTGATACCCGCCTCATGAGGACTGATATTTTACACAAAACAGGGTACACACGTGTGTTTCGTATAAGTATGAGCTACATATACAAAGTGTATAGTAGATCCCATACATAACAAGAAGTTCCTATACCTATGTATTCTCATGGTATAACCGGAAATTATCTATTCTATAATGAATAAGTAAACACCTTATGAGTAGTGTTTATACGGTTGCTCATCTTCGGTTCAATGCACCTCCCGTCCATTTCAGGACTGCGGCCTGTTCAACCCATTATGTCAATTTAGTGATAATGATATGTCTTTGACAGGTTCTCTGTGTCAGTATTTGTTGTTTATTCATTTCAATTCAATTCAATTCATGGTTAGTGTCATCGATAAATCAGAAGCTGTTTATATGTCCTGACCACCTGGTCTTGCTATCATTTTGAAGGACCATATCTTGCAAACGTTTCTTTTGTTCAAAGTTCGCTTTTGTTTCGTAATGTTGAATTCGATTTAACACGTCGGTATTTTCTTATTGACAACGAACAACAAACATGTAGGTAATTAACAAGTTTATTATCAACATAAAAATATAACATGTATTAACATATGTATAAGGTAAACGACATATCACAATAGGAGGAAACAATTCATGATAATGTGAATGAATATATTTAATGACAACGATGGCATCTTGTGTAGTAATGTAATTACGATGGATAAAAAGGTATGGTTGTGAAGTAGTCATTCTAGAATAAGAAAAAGCGGTGTTCTACACCAAATGAAACAATGCGCTGCAAGTGATTTACGAACAAATGTATATATATATATGTGTGTGTGACAGATTTTACTCTTAAAATGTTCGTTTTTCGTGGATGGAAATAGACTTTACATGAATTCGACATGATTAACATTCGCAGGTAATGAGTGAAATGATATCCAGCCTAGAAACACTTTCTGTGGACTATTCCTGGTCCACATTCATCATACTCCTGTTTGGACACCCACATCTGTTGGAATGTAGATAGAGATGCCATGATGGATCCACCGATCCACACGGAATACTTCCTCTCCGGAGGCGCTATGACCTTCACCGACATGCTGTTAGGCACCACAGCATCCATTTCCTTTTTCAGACGATCAGCAATACCTATAGTATAGGAAGAGAGAAATACTCATTTACTTTTTTGTTTTTGCTAAATAGGATTAAAATTTATATTTGTATTATTTTGTTTCATCCTTTTTTTTTTATCGCTATTTTGTTTTCAAAAAATCTTTATCGTAAATATAAATCGTCAATAGCCAATAAAGTGAACACACTCACCTGGAAACATTGTGCTTCCACCGGATATGACGACATTGTGGTACAAATCACGTCGAATGTCAATATCGCATGACATCACTGAATTGTGGAGAAGTTCGTGGATTCCTGCTGATTCCATTCCTGTGATTGAAATAGGAATATTTTAAGTCTCAAATATCAATTGTCAAATGATTTCATTAATCATATAGATTTCAAGAAATATCGGTTTTATTTCATATAGAACGAGCTATTTTACTCTGAATACAGATAATGTAGATGTTCAAACCTTGGTTGAAGAATGCTTATTTTTGTCATAATTTATCTAGAAATAAAATGGCTAACAATTGAAGTTTGTATTTGACAATTAAAATAAAAGGAGGCGCCCTTTTCAATAAAATGAAATATTATTCATTTATGAATTTCATCAATTATTGAGTTATTTCTTTCATATTTACCTAGAAACGAAGGTTGGAAGAGTGCCTCAGGACATCGGAACCTCTCGTTACCGACAGTAACATGTTGGCCGTCAGGAAGTTCGAACGTCTTCTCTATTGTTGAAGATTTTGAAGCGGTTTCCATTTCACATTCAAAGTCCAATGCCACATAAGATAACTTCTCCTTCATATCTCGTACAACTTCCTGTTCCGCTGAAATGGAAATTCAAACTTGTGGTCATCATTGCTTCAGTTGCTTATTTGTTCCTATCTAGAGTTCCTTGTGTGAAAAAAAACATGGATTCAATCGTATTTTTGCATTTGAATTTTGTGCTTAATGTGTTATTATGATATTTTTTTTTCATCTTTTCAAGGAAAATGATTTTCGGCTAATACACCAACCTGAAGTTGTGAAGCTGTATCCTCTTTCGTGGAGGATCTTCTGAAGGTAGGCTGTGAGGTCACGACCTGCCAAGTCTACACGTTTGATGGCGTGAGGGAGGGCGTAACCCTCGTAGATAGGTACCACGTGTGACACACCATCCCCTGCATCAAACACGATGCCCGTTGTTCGTCCTGAGGCATACAGAGACAACACAGCCTGTATCGCCACGTAGAAGGCAGGAGTGTTGAAAGTCTCGAACATGATCTGTTAAAGACAAGATATTGTGGATGTTCATACTTGAATACAAGCTAAATATCGTAAATGTAATTTGATGATTCAAATGTCAGACTGAAACGAAATTCTTTGTGTATTTTTTATAATGAATATAGTCATTTCCATACAAACCTGTGTCATCATTTCTCTGTTTGCCTTAGGATTAAGTGGTGCTTCTGTCAACATGACCGGATGTTCCTCCGGCGCCACACGTAGCTCGTTATAGAAGGTGTGGTGCCAGATCTTCTCCATGTCGTCCCAGTTGGTGACGATTCCGTGTTCCAGTGGATATCTCAGGGTTAATATACCTCTTTTGTTCTGGGCCTCGTCTCCAATATAACAGTCTTTATTTCCCATGCCTGGCATGATCATCTGACATAGATAATGATAAAATGTAAGGTAAGGAGGTTTTGTTTAAAGGACACTAATACAAGCTAACATATTTTACATATCTTTATTTCAAAAGTTTAATTCGAAAGAAAGAACGTATTAAGGAGATGAATAAGTAAATTGCCTTGTTTTTCAAGTCAAAGTCAGAAAGCAAGCAGCGTAAAGAGCCCAGAACTAAAGATCTTAATGATATATTTATAATCTGTTAATTCAATATCTTTTGCCATTATATCGATTGGATGATCTACAGATACGTTGATCAATGAGAACATAATAAGAAACAAGGTAATTGATGCTACTAGTATTTAGAAGTTTTAACAATATAGGAGAGTCTTTTATAATTTCTTGTAGTATGTTTACAATGCGTTGTGGAAATAACACTACATAACTTACATCATAATGAGGTCGTCCAGTAATGGCAGGAAACACAGCACGTGGTGCATCATCTCCAGCAAATCCCGCCTTACACATTCCACTTCCGTTGTCAATGACCAAAGCGGCGGAATCATCCTCAAAAGCAGACATTTTCTTTTATTTTGGTTAATTGGTTTTGTAAATCTGAAAATAATAAAATCAATAAAAGTAAGTGAGAGGGTCTAACATAAAACGTTATTGTTCAACGCTGTTGCTGAACACATCATATAGAAGATATATGATAGAATACTATATACGATAACTTTACATTTCGTTTTATAGTAATGAAAGTGAAATATTGTTACATCATTATTTTTTGAAAAGTTCGTTGGCATGATATTACCATTGATCATTTTAGAAGTAGATTTGTTTAAAACACAATGTAACACGACAGAAAATATATGAAAACAAAATCAAAGAAACGTGTACTTACCTTTACTTTTTTTCAAATTAAGTCTCTTTCGACTTCTGTCTCACGTTCTTCTCGTGTAGTTGTGCAGTATGACATCCTTTGTAAAGTCCAGGTCTTTTATAGTCTTCTAAAAGACAAGGCAAATCTGCAAGCTTTTCCTTATTAGGAATGACTTAAATTGAGTCGACCTTAATAGGGAACGCTTCGCTACTACCTAGATAAGTTGCTTTCCATATATGGGCAACTGTGCTATATACGATCTGGAAAGGTAATACGCTACACACATCGTTCTAGATAAAGTCTAACGTATACACATACTGACTGTCTCTACTAGAGGCTATAAATAGACATTATTGGTAGTTTGCCTAACAGGTTGTTTACAAATGACTTGCTAGATTTAACATGACAATAAATGATATGAATTTTAGAGTATTTCTCAAACACCGTAACACGACCAAAATTATAACAAGATGAAAAGTAGTATTACGAAGGTTAATAAATGCATACTAAATATCGATTACCTTTCTTGTTAACGGTAATAATAAAGTCTTCTTTCAGACAGCAAGAAATATGGGTTTACTTCAGGACAAAAATCAAGACAAAATCACAAAACGTTTTCATAATGATCAGATCTTCGGCTCCGACAAGCATGTTCATTTAAAGTTTTCCTTCATAATTTACTCTATCAATACTAAATTTAAATACAGTTCTTTTTATGAAATGTTCTTGCAAACATTTCTTCAAATAAACCTCTTAATTACATTCTATTGTGGATGGAATCAGATGGACAAATTATCGATTGTTTGTATATACTAAGTGGGTCTTATTTTTTGTTATATGCTCCCCCGTCTGACTATGAGTCTCTGACTCACTCTATGTCTTTCTCTCTGTGTCTCTGTCTCTCTCCGCTTCTCTCTCTCTCTATCTCTCTGTGTGTTTGTGTGTGTGTGTCTCTCTCTTTCTGTCCTGTCTCTCTCCGCCTCTCTCTTTCTCCCTATCTCTCACTCACCTCCTCTTTCTCTTTCTCTATCTCTCCTCCTCTCTCTCTGCCTCTCTCTTTCACCGCCTCTTTCTCTCTCTCCGCCTCTATTTCTCTCTCTCTGTCTCTCTCTGTCTCTCAATCTCTCTGTCCCTGTCACTCTCCGCCTTTCTTTCTCTCTCTGCCTCTCTCTCTCTCTCTCACCGTCTCTTTCTCTCTCTCTCTCTCTCTCTCCGCCTCTCTCTCTGTCTCTCTGCCTCTCTCTCTCACCGCCTCCCTCTCTTTCTCTCTCTCCCTCCCTCTCTCTGTCTCTTTATATCTCTCTCTCCCTTCCTCTCTCTGTCTCTCTTTCTCTCTCTCTCTCTCTCTCTCTCTCTCTCTCTCACACACACACACACACACACACACACACACACACACACACACACAAAAGTATGCATTTCTAGTTAAGTAATTTATTTTCTGAAATGTTCATTGCATTTATATGACAAAATAAAAGGTCAATTTTGCAATAATCCTACCAATCTATTTATAATGTTTTGATATACATCACACATACATAAACTTCTATTTACAATATCTTTGTACATAAGTACCATTCAGCAACTTTGTTGATATGTAATTGAGGTTACATACAATCATAGATATTGAAGTTAACAACATCTCATTGTGAAAAATGCAACGCCTATTACAGAGATTTCTTTCCAATAAATAATGTTGAGACTACATGTAATGCAATGTTATTGCTGATTAAATTTCTTATAATTGTCACGTTCAGATGATAACATATTTAAGAATTATATACCAAAACTCAACAGTATCCAAATCAAACGTCAAGCTATGTTTACATCATACATAATGATATATGTTAATCTATCAATTAATTTATTGTCAGGCTGGTTTTTTTCATGTAGAGAGAGAGGGAGAGATCCGTCCTGAATACATGTTTATGTGTCTTGCATGATAAATGTTGATTGATTTAGTTTAATTTTTTGTTTTGTTTTTTGTTTCTTTGTTTTTGTTTGTTTAATATTTTGTTTTTATTTGTTTGATGTTTTTGAATTGATAATTTAATGATATTGACACATACATAGGCGTCGTCTCGATTGGAAAACTAGTAAGAATCTTGTGTTAATTCCTGTCGTCATAATTAAAAGTATATTATATACCAATCGCTCCCGCTTTCATGCTAGTATTGAATGACCAGATCACGATAAAATAGATAAACAACATCAAAATAATAAATACTCCCTGTAGTTATACAAAAACACAAAAGTTTGATAGTATTCAACTAAAATAAAAACTAAAATTTAACTCAAATATTCAAAAACTGGGCGCACGAAATATCTAAAATTCGATAGAATTTAAAAAGTAGGCTCAATTATTAAGCTTGACCAGGACGTGCAGTTTATTGCTTAAATATAATGATCTAGCTATAAGTAATCATCTTAGACTCTTCCATTTGTCTTACACTTATAGATTTCTACCTTATCATCACTTAGTCCGAGAGGGTCGAACCTTTAAAATAATGAGGTTTTAATCATTATTCTTCATCTACATTTTAATTGGGTATTTTCATATTCCAAAGGTCGATAATGTGACGTTAAGTTAAGAAAGAACAATATTCACGTCAATTTATATATTGTTTCTAGAGGATTGAGAGATATCGATGTGATTCAACGCAGGGAAATGCTTCATGTAATTCAGTGATCGATATTATCTGTCAGTGTATTAACTCATATGTCAGCACTCTTTTCCATGTTTTCAGGTTTTTGTATTTTTTGTGTGTCTCACAAATTATTTCCTCATCATGCTGATTTAATTGTATAAAGTTCCGTTTTTGTAACGATTCTATATTTTAGATAATATCGGTTATATTCCAGTGTTTCTTGCTTATTCCTCTTTTTATTAACATGTCATCGATACTAATAGCCAAATTTGAAAGATCACCATTCATGTAAAAAAAAATATAATAGATGCAGTAGCTCCAAGTCATGAATTAAACTGCATCATACAGCTGTTTCGTCTCTCTAGGTCTCATCAGTCATGCTAAAGGCCTTAATTGTGAAACGTCGGAGCCAACTGAGGGATACCAAAGCTAATATTAAGAAACGTCAAATCTAGATAGGGATTATGCACCATATCATAGTTTTCGTATAACTGATAATTTTACGGCAACAATTTCACATCTTAAATATTATTTATGTAAATTCCTTCTATCGAAACAATGTTGGAGCGGTTATAATAGTATTTTGTCGTGATACCCGCCTCATGAGGACTGATATTCTACACAAAACAGGGTACACACGTGTGTTGCGTATAATAAAACATTCATAATACGGATGTGTCATTCCAAGTATGAGCTACATATACAAAGTGTATAGTAGATCCCATACATAACAAGAAGTTCCTATACCTATGTATTCTCATGGAAAAACCGGAAATTATCTATTCTATAATGAATAAGTAAACACCTTATGAGTAGCGTTTATACGGTTGCTCATCTTCGGTTCAATGCACCTCCCGTCCATTTCAGGACTGCGCCCTGTTCAACCCATTATGTCAATTTAGTGATAATGATATATCTTTGACAGGTTCTCCTTGTCAATTTTTGTTTATTCAATTCAATTCAATTCATGGTTAGTGTCATCGATAAATCAGAAGCTGTTTATATGTCCTGACCACCTGGTCTTGCTATCATTTTGAAGGACCATATCTTGCAAACGTTTCTTTTGTTCAAAGTTCGCTTTTGTTTCGTAATGTTGAATTCGATTTAACACGTCGGTATTTTCTTATTGACAACGAACAACAAACATGTAGGTAATTAACAAGTTTATTATCAACATAAAAATATAACATGTATTAACATATGTATAAGGTAAACGACATATCACAATAGGAGGAAACAATTCATGATAATGTGAATGAATATATTTAATGACAATGATGGCATCTTGTGTAGTAATGTAATTACGATGGATAAAAAGGTATGGTTGTGAAGTAGTCATTCTAGAATAAGAAAAAGCAGTGTTCTACACCAAATGAAACAATGCGCTGCAAGTGATTTATGAACAAATGTATATATATATTTATATGTGACAGATTTTACTCTTAAAATGTTCGTTTTTCGTGGATGGAAATAGACTTTACATGAATTCGACATGATTAACATTCGCAGGTAATGAGTGAAATGATATCCAGCCTAGAAACACTTTCTGTGGACTATTCCTGGTCCACATTCATCATACTCCTGTTTGGACACCCACATCTGTTGGAATGTAGATAGAGATGCCATGATGGATCCACCGATCCACACGGAATACTTCCTCTCCGGAGGCGCTATGACCTTCACCGACATGCTGTTAGGCACCACAGCATCCATTTCCTTTTTCAGACGATCAGCAATACCTATAGTATAGGAAGAGAGAAATACTCATTTACTTTTTTCTTTTTGCTAAATAGGATTAAAATGTATATTTGTATTATTTTGTTTCATCCTTTTTTTTTATCGCTATTTTGTTTTCAAAAAATCTTTATCGTAAATATAAATCGTCAATAGCCAATAAAGTGAACACACTCACCTGGAAACATTGTGCTTCCACCGGATATGACGACATTGTGGTACAAATCACGTCGAATGTCAATATCGCATGACATCACTGAATTGTGGAGAAGTTCGTGGATTCCTGCTGATTCCATTCCTGTGATTGAAATAGGAAT